AATTGACAAAAAAACACACACACCAAACTTGTTCAAATGATTGGTTACTCATAAGTTGTAGTCTATAATGGAAAGAGGGTGTAAGACCAAGGAGCCAGACAGTGTAACCTTCTTGGTAAGACACAGTCATCCTTTCCCCTCCTGTAAAATAAAGTCCCGGAAACCTACCTTCTAAAAACTGTTACTGTACTACTTTTCTAAGCCTTATTCCCTCCTCACAAGCATCATGAATGCTGCAGGGGTAGCTTGAAAGGTCTCCCTGCTATGGTCGGTAACTAGCACTAATGTCTGGTTCTTCCTCTGCCACAAATCAGGGTCCCAATATACTTTTCTAAGACTTATTCCCTCCTCACAAGCTACCAGATAGAACTTTATAAAGCTCCTTCCCACATTACGAATGCAGCAGCGGTAGCTTCAAAGTTCTCCTTGCTATGGTCGGTAACTAGCACTAATGTCTGGTCCTTCCTCTGCCACAAATCAGGCACACAACATGACGTGGTCATGGGAAACTGGCAAAGTTGGGTGCCTGCCAGAAGATGGTGGTCACATTTAAGGCTTGTGTGAATGGCAAAAATGATCTAAGGCAGGGCTTGAAATTAATGGTGTCCCGATGGCCAGTGACCACTGAAATGTAAGCTGGGACAACTAAAAAGACAATTTGGGACAATAAAAAACAGTCAACATCAGAATGTCAGCCCTTCTTTTGTTTGGCTCCAGAAAAAGCTACCCCAAATCTCCTGTTTTACTCTACAATTATAGCGCTCCTGGAAGTCAGAATGCAAGCAAAATAAAGCTGATTTCAAGTTCACATCCTGAAAAACAGGTTGTGACAGTTCACCCTCACTTTGGGACAATTGAAATTTATTTTTGGGACAGTGCTGGGACAATAGGAAAAAAAGTTAATTTTGAGTCCTGTAAAGTATCACAAAAAAGTGGTCAAATTGGCCAGTTGGTCTGTTACACATAATGTAGAAGTGGTGTAATAATTTTCACTTTGAAATTCTTGATTGTCATACAATTCGTAGCCTCCACCAGGCTTCAGATTCCAAAGCAGCTGGAAAGAGTAGAAATGACCATATAACATGCCAGGGAGCTACATGTAGCCTGGGTGCCAGACCCATAGCACACAGGACACAAAGTACAAATGTATCTCAGTGAGCACACTGAGATACTTTTGTGTCCTGTGTGCTATGGGAGGTAGCCCACTGAAGGAGTACTGTTTGCCAATCTGGAGAGGCTATATATGGTCGTCAGAACATACAGGTGTTACCCTTCTGTCCACTTCCACATGTTTAACCTCTATATCCACAAGGTTAATTATGATGTCATGATTAAAGTTAGTCTCCAATAACCTTGTGCTGTCAGAGTTCAACCTTGAGCTGTCCAAGGTTAACTGTGAATGACAAGGTCAAGACAAGGTCGTGACATGGAATTGCACTTGGTCAGATAGAGCAGAGATATCATGGCTGAACTGAAGTGAGGTACTGTAATTCCTGATTTTTTGCACTGTACTGTTATGTTCACTGTTTTCACTGTCACTTCTTTACCGTGAACTTATCATTACAGTTAACAAATAATTCCTGGACTTTCCTTTTCCTGCACCTGTCGCTACCGTGAACATATATTTCGGTGAGCATGTCCATTTTTCTCAGGCCGTGAACTTTTGCTACCGTGAACATAAAGTGAATTACAGTATTGCTCTTGACTGTGTTTCGTCTTGGGGTGCCAAAGTATGTGGCATATCATCACACAGTGGCGTCCAATGGCCGAGAGGTTAGGTTCAACTTCAAGAGGTGACAGGTTCAATTCCTGGCATTCCTGGCTAGAGTAGAATCTGATATTCCGATATTGCGTCAGTTGGAAAGGCACTTTAAATGACTTTCCTCACTCCAACAACAACTGTCAGTCAGTCTTAAGAGACTATGACTGCACTTTCAAACAACTGGATGGCTCAGTTCCAAATTTTACAATTTTTCTCACTCCACCCAGGTGTAAAATGGGCACCTGACTTCAGTTGAGGAGGTAAAAGGCAGTGGAAGGAGAGGGATGGGCTCCGACTTCCAGTGGATTAACAACCCACTGCCTCTATATCTACCACCTCAAAAAGACTAGTAGAATTTCAATCTCAACCAGACTTCAATGGGTTGCCATAATAAAATAGTAGAAATTGGGCAAATGCCAGAGGAGTTGGCCAGCCATAGGAATACATGTTGTAGCCCACGGAGTCTGTTTTTAATTCCCAAGCAATCCAGATTGGTCTCATAGAATCTAGTAAAAAACAACATCTGATTCAGTATTCCACAAGTCCAGGCTTTTATACCTCCCAGGAATTAATGAGAAAACGCTCAGTCCTGGATCCACAGTTGTTCCTCCCCACGGCTCCAAATAAACGACCAGTTGATTGCTCTGAAATGGGTCGTTAAGTGGCTGGATGGCACTTCTGGCCTCCCGGGTAGTAAAAATACCTAGCAGGGAGAAACATTAGGGGACGGGATGTAGCGATTTATAAACCCAGTTTGCCACAGGCGGTGGTAAGATCGATACAGGTGCCGCAGACCGCTACATCAGGAGTGACGAGTGTGCAAGTGTGGCGAAGTTGTTGAGTGGACTGTTCGGTAATTGGTGCCGGGGAACCCGAAACACTTAGAGAGATCAACGTTTTCTATTGCGGTCGTTTGCGGGAAAGAGTGCTGCATAGATCTCTATGTGGGAGTTTTAACGTGTTCAGCACTCTGGTGTAAATGTGTATAACATTTAATGGCATTTCTGACCTCAAATTGGTGGTGGGAACTCGAAACACTCAGAGAGATCAACATTTTATCACCGTGATTTGTGATAAAGTACATCAGCTCGGTGAGATTTGTACATGCTCAGAAATTGGGTGTGAATGAATAGGTTTCAAAGTGTAGTAACTGTTAAATTGTGCTGCACACTCCAACATTTGTAATAGTGTGACAGTGGGAACACTCAGAGAGATTAATTTTATTGCTATGAATTGCAGCTACAAGTGTGAAGTGTAATATATGTCCCAGTTCTATGAGCACTACAGCAGGGGGCTGGTAGTGTTGTGTATCTAACCTTCCCATACTCTTTCTCATAGATACTGAGTGCTAAGCAGAGAAAGCAGTATGTACCATCTTTGGTATGACCCGGCCGGGGTTTGAACTCACGACCTCCCGGTTACAAAGCGAACACTCTACCAATTGAGCTATTGTGGCAATACTATAAGGCTTTACTGAAATTATTAGACAAGATGCTTCAATGGGGCAACAGTTGATGATTCTAGACCTTTTTGACCTTGCACTTGGCCACCCCACCCACACAGAACTATAATGAGGGCTTAGCAGGCCATTAACTATCATTGCAGAGTCATTCCAAAGCTTCAAAGAGCCTTGCGACATCAAACACACTCCATGCATGAACTAAGGAACACCCTCTAGCTTTACATACTAAACTAAGGCCACACCGTCTTAATTTTATGGATGACATCCTCTGAGGACCCCCAAACTAGTGCGCGCGGGCGAATAAAAAACAAATCTGGCCAAAAATAAAAATGCTACTAGACCACAGGAACTTGACAAAGCTTGTATTGTGAATTCGCGGCAGTACTAAGCGACGCATATGACAAGCCGGCACATACAAACTTTTTGCGGAATTTATGAACTGTTACTGTACTGTACTGAGTTCTTGAGTCGTGGAGCTTCGAATTCGGTAGCCTGGGTGCCCGGCTCCGTATTGTTGCTAACTACAGTGTACCATGGACTACCTACGCCTAGGGCCAGGCCAGAGCCTCGGTGGACGTGATCTTTTTTTTTTTTTAGGGCGACAGGTGAAAATCAATGCGGGTGCGGATGTCATCCATAAAAAAGTCGGTGTGGCCTAAGGCACACCTTGCTGGCTTTACATACAAAATGTACCAAACTAACTTTCGTACTAAAACACTACATTTAGTATGACTCATGCAGCCCCACAAAAGTTAATGGCTCATCTTACTAGCACTGTATTGGGTGGGATGCGGCCTTATTTTGTAGCTTCCTTTGTAATTCTAGAAAATGGACATTGGCCAGACTATATAACAAGTCGTAAACATTGCATGGCCATTGTATGAAACTACATTGTAGAATTCACAAAAGTTACTTTAAGAGTCTAATACACATTTAACATTGGTCTCTACATCTACACGTACATTTACATTATGTAGATTCAGTTTTTTCCTTTGTTCTCTGAGACCTCAAAATGATTAGATTTTGGGCCACCTAGCGGCTTTTGTTGGTACTGCAGCAGAACTTCTGGTTTTGATATCTCGTGATCTGGACATGCTAAGGTCAGGAATTTTGGGTGGTAAATAGCTCTTGGGCTAGGGAAGAAGTGACAGCTTGTTCTCCTAGCAGGGCCCCTGCTAGGGCCCCTAGCAGCTTGTTCTGGAACTGCAGTGGAACTTTCTTGTTTATTTTCAAATTTGAGAACCAACTTACAGATTTGATTGGTGATATCTCCCCTGAGTTTAATGGTATGTATCCAGGCGTAACAGCCACTACTGCAGTTTTATCATGATCAATACTAGACACAAAATTGCAACCCTGTTTCTTTACGATGTGTATAGATCACAAGTACAAGGCGACAAGCTGTGAATATAAACTACAAGCTTCCTTGGCAGAGTTCAGATACAGGGCAAGTTTACAACTCATTCACCTAAAGATACAGTGTAGCACACTAAATAAAGTTTGGCTACCAAGTCTCTATTGCTTACAGGGTTGGGCAGCAGGGAGAAGGTTAACCTTTAGCATACTAGTGTTGAAGTAGCCCTTCGGCTACCAATTCTCTACTTGTTACAGGGTTAGGCAGCAGGGAGAAGGTTAACCTTTAGCACACTGAAGTAGCCATTTGACTACCAATTCTCCAGTGATTGTGGGATTGTGCTTCAGCGAAATGGCTAATGACTAAAATATATCTTGACGTAATTGTATGAACTAATTTTCTGTTGTTTTCTTCCCCTACAGTGTGGCACAGCTCCGGAGACTGGGCCAGCGGAGTGGACTATGGGTTCTACGACTCGGAGGGGGCGTTTGACGCAGAGGGAGGGGGGGTGGCGGCGGAGGCTGTGGATGACTACGCAGTCATTGCCAACGCAGACACACTGGTGAGTGGTACTTTGTGTGTACTGAATGAGTTTGGTGTCTTATAACGTATATATATCTTAGGTCTTATATCATATATCTCATGTCGTATCTGTATATAAGATGGTTTAGCCATGTACAGGGGCTTACATGCCCTTTTCCGTAGAGCATAATTGGCTGTTTTAATTCTATGTAGAGCGTAGACAGACCGCTCTAATTCAACGTAGAGTGTAGTGGACCTTTCCTGATCGAACACGTCAAACCCTCCTGTTCTATTTGGGTCTAGACCTTAATTTCAGCCAAGTGGTTAGAGGGTCAGCATGTGAACTGGTCCTCGGGTTTGGCCGGGGTTTGATCCCCGGCCCGGGACCAGGGGTTTTTACCTGTTTCTACTCGCTCCTCCTGTTTCTTATACAAGATCTAGGATCTGAAATGTCTCTTGGAAGGTGGGTTTTGGTTATCATCAGGATCCTTGCAGAGGTAGTGACAAAACTGTGATGAGCAATGTAGATTATTTTAACGAACCCTTCTTCTATGCCAGACGGATTATTCAGTGATCAGAGGGTGTTTGGTCCTGCCAAGAGTTTGGAGAAAACCCCTAGTTAGACAGAGATAAGAATCAACAATAATAAACAGTGCAGATTAACTTAATGAGCCATGTGTATTCCTTAACACCCTATGGGGCCTTTACTGTGCCAGGAAGACAGCTCAGAAGTCAGATAACAATCATTGAAGATGAACAGGGTAGAATAATCAGCAGCTACTGTCCTATCAGGCAGGATTAGCTAGTCCCCTAGGGGGTCTTCATTGTGCCAAGTTTTCAGGAAGATCCTTGGAAGAGGCAGATAAGAATCAGCAATGATCAACAGAAAGTCGTTCTGTCATGACAGGTGGATTCTTTAGGCATCTATGGGGTCTTGGCTGTGCCAAAACTTCAAGGGGACTCTTGTTGGGTAGAGATAACAATCTAATGATGATGAACAGTGTAAACTAATGAATCTTTCTGTCAGGACAAGCATCTATGGGGTCTTGGCTGTGCCAAACTTTTTTTATAAGGAAACTCCTGTAGGGTAGAGATAACATCAGTGATGATGAACAAAGTAATGAATCTTTCTGTCAGGACAGGTGGATTATGTAGGCATCTATGGGGCCTTAAGTACTCTTTCGTAGTCAGTCAGTCAATTCAACATCACTAAATGAACTGATACTTGTTAAGTGTTGACTAATTCTAAAGAAGAGTGATGGATGTCACTCAAAACATCTGGACATAATCTCCATAATTATCCAGTATAGTTTGCATCAATGTCTTTGAAAACCTGGAAGACAGAAGCATGTATGGCTAAGAATCAAGGAATTAGAGTTATTTTAGCCTCAGGGATAGTTGTACACATTTGGGACTTCTTTATCCAGTGGTAGAGAGCATCAATGTCTTTGAAAACCAGAAAGACAAAAGCATGTGTGTCACACACATGCTCTTGTCTTTCTGGTGAGTGTCTAAGAATCAAGGAATAGACTTATTTCAGCCACAGGAATACATTGTAGTTGTACACATTTGGGACTTCTTAATGATCCAACAGGCTGTGTTTATTCAGTACAGCAGGTCCATCTGCTGGCCTACTTCCAGACTTCTTGTAGGTTTTTCTTTACTGGGAACCCCCCTCAGGGATTCACCTGAGGAAAATCTGGAGAGAACTTGTGAATAACTTGGAGGTTTTGAAAAGTTGTGCAAGTCTTTTTTTTACAACAAACAGCATGAAAAAATGGTTTGGGAAACTTGCATAATCTTCTGCTTTCAGAACATTAATTTTACTCCAATGTTTCCAGACTACAACCTTTCCAAATGTCATCTCCAAAGGCCAGTTCTCAGCTGAGAATAGAGATCATAAAAACTAATTTTTTTCATAAAAAAAAAAAGAATTTTTCTGAGCCACAAATCTATTGCATAACCAGTGCTAGTGAAAAACTCTCCTTATAATGCCACTTGTCAATGTATACTAGTCACTGTCACTGAGTAGAAGGAAAAACCCCACATTACATGTACACAGCTGTCTACCTGTTACCAGCTTTGACAGTTGGTAGACCTGTCTGCACCTTGGCTATCCATCAGTATCATCACCTAAGTTGCAGATCAGGTAAAGACCAGAAGGGCTCTGGGAACAGCTAGCCTGAAAGCTTCCCCACTGGGCTGGTGACAAGGGAAGGGTTTGAGATGACAAAAACAGTCTGTTCTCTGGTTTCTGCCTGTTTCCATCATTGCCCTATGTCTGGCTCTGAAATATAACAGTCCATTCCCTGTTCCTACTCAGTCTTTTAGTCTTAAGCTTTTCAATTATAGCTTTATGGCTTAAGAATTTTCCTACTAAGCAGGACATGATAACAGACTGGTGTGGGCATATCCTTCAGTTCTGTAGCCTGACTGAGTGTATAAGCTTCTATCACTCTACCAGTCTAAGGTCAGGGTTTTGGAAACTGACAACACCAGTTTTATGTCACCAACACAGTCAGAAGGAATTCAACCCGTAGACAACTAAATACAGTTCCTACAGTCAGGTTGGAGTATAACAGTCATGCCCGTAGCCAGGATTTTGAATGGGGGGGTTCGTCCCACTGCTTGAGTGGACCTCGAGCGCCGTAGGCGCGAGGCGAGCGCCGAAGGCGCGAGGTTCCTAGGGGGGTCCGGGGGCATGCTCCCCCGGAAAATTTTGAAAAATGAACCTTCTAAAATGTCATTTCGTGCATTTTTGACAGGATTTCCAAGAGAAACCAGAGATAAATTTTTATTCAATGACAAAGAGAGCAGTTTTTCTACGATTCCAGTCCATCTTTTCAAGAAAAAACTTGGACCTTTACATAAAATGTGGACCAAAAAGTGGACCTTTCCATAAAAAGTGGACCAAAAAGTGGACCTTTGAGCCTTGTGGGGGGGTTCTTCCGAACCCCCCGAACCCCCCCTGGCTACGGGCATGACAGTATAGCTGTGTATAAGCTAATAGTATGATACTAAAGCTTATACCAAAACAAGTAGATCATTACCGTATAACAATAATCTAAGTCAGTGACAGTGTTGTCCTCAATCTGTTCAAGTTCTCAACCCCAATGATATGACTGGTGGTACTGAGAGTTTAAAGTACATGTCCTGACATTGAGGCTTGGTCTGAGATGCTTCCTAAGAGTTTTAAGTTTTGAAACCTAAAGATTTTAAGAACTTCAAGGAGTGCCCTAGATGTGTGGTCAACTGTTGGAACTTCTCAGAGACAAGAGGAACCAGACTTGGGTTGTTTTCTTTTCTTTTAAGTTCACATGTCCTGAAAAGGGATCGACATGATATGTGTTGGAAGGACCCTTAGTTTTAAGATTTTGAACCACAGTGGTTTTGAACTTAAAGATTTCATTCAAGGACTTTCAGAAGTGGCCTAGATTAGTGGTCAACTGTTGGAACTTCTCAGGAACCAGAGCTGGGTTGTTTCCTTTACATGTCCTGAAAAGGGATCCACATGATATGTGTGGGAAGGGCCCTGTCCATCACGGCAAAGACTTAAAGACTTGATGATGAATGTCTTGGGAACTTGAGACGTTTGCAATGGCACTCAAGTCTTCCAACACGGGGTTAAGTAATGGCCAAAGGTGAAACGGAGGGCAGAAGGTCGCGACCTTGTTCTGAGCAAGTGCAAAGTCGCAGGGAGGGTAGGCCACGTACTGGCACGCAAGCTTGATTTTTTTAAGGCCACATAAATGTCTTTTCTGGTTTCTTTTTTTGGACCAGAAAAACAGAAATGAAAGGTCGTGAATTTGTTCTGAGCAAAGTTACAGGGAGTTGAATCCAGATACTGGCACGCAAACTTAATTTTTTTTAGGCTACACCAATGACTTTTCTGGTTTCTTTTCTTTCGATCTTTGACCCTTAGAAATGAAAGGTCACGAACTTGTTCTGAGCAAGTGCAAAGTTACAGGGAGTTGAAGCCATGTATTGGCACGCAAGCTTGATTTTTTTTAGGCCACACCAATGTCTTTTCTGGTTTCTTTTCTTTCAATCTTTGACCCTTAGAAATGAAAGGTCACGAACTTGTTCTGAGCAAGTGCAAAGTTACAGGGAGTTGAAGCCATGTATTGGCACGCAAGCTTGAGTTTTTTTTAGGCCACACCAATGTCTTTTCTGGTTTCTTTTCCTTCTTCTTTTCTTGGACCCTAGAAATGAAAGGTTGTGAACTTGAGTTGTGAACTAGGCAGCTGAAGCCACGTACTGGCACACAAACTTAATTTCTTTTTTTAGGCCACACTGATTTCTTTCTGGTTTCTTTTTTTAGACATGTAAAAATAAAAAGTCTGGACCATTTTTTGAGAAAGTGCAAAGATACTGGGAGCAACATCAGGTAAAGTCACAAGGAGCTAAAGCCACGTACTGGCATGCAAACTTACTTTCTTTTATAGGCCACACCATTTCTTTTGTTGGTTCTTTTCTTGAACCCTTAGAAATAAAGGGTCATGGCCTTATTATAAGCAAGTGCAAAGCCTCCTATAAGTTAGATTTATCAGTGTCAAATCCCCTTTCCAGAATTAGAATTCTAACATATCTTATTGTGAACGTGAGAAAGACAATGTCAGGAGTTAAAATGGGAGTTGGACCAGTGTCAAAATCTATATATCTATAGACCAGATAGTGGAGAGGTTTAACTTTACGTGGCAATATTTCTTCAGAATCATTGAGGATAAAAGGAAAGTTGTCCAAGAGTAAAAATGGAAGCTGGAACGATGTCAAGAGGAGAAAATCTAGACAAAACAATTCACCAAGAGGTTGATGTGGCAATATTTTTGCAGAATCATTAAGGATAAAGGAGTCCAGGAGTAAAAATGGAAGCTGGACCGATGTCAAGATGAGAAAATCTAGACAAAACAACTCGCCACGTTTACTGGGTGTCATCCCTCCTGAATTAGAACACGAACAATTTACTTTGAAGAAGAGAAAAACATGTGGAGACTTGAGCCAGATTTGGATGCGTGTCAAAAGTTTGATGTTTAAACCAGACAATTCGTAAGCTTCAAGTGGCACTATAGATCCTTGTAGACTCTTGATAAGAATTTAATTGGGGCACTAACTGTGAAGCAACTGTGAAGTAGACAAAAACATGTCAAGGGTTAGTTTGTGAGTTGGAACGATGTCAAAAACATTGAAGTCAATACCAGAAAAGGGCCACACCAATTTTATTTGTTGGTTGTCAGATTTGCCTGGTTCATTTTGTTCCGATTTCCAATGGAGCTTATATTTTTGGTGAAGAAAGATCTTGTAGTTGACAATTTTTCCATTTATCAATGCATTGATTTGATTTGATATTTGAATTAGGTAGAACATCTATTGTTTGAATTATAAACCAGCCTAGCATGTTGACTTTGTATGGCAGTATTTAGGTGTATCACCGGAAGCCTAGGTCTGTTTTATATTAACTTTCTCCCCACTCACTTCATTCATTTATTGCAAAATCCATGTACCAAGAAGTCAAATTGGGTTGGCCCGATCAAGCAAGTTTTACAACTTGTGTTTTTTCCTGCACCATTTATTCAAGAACTGGAACCAATTATTCCTATAAGTCAGGGGTTAACTCATGAAGGGACCAACATCAAAACTAATGTTTAGACTACAGATTTAAAACAGTCCATGTGACATTATTATCAAGAGTCGGCACATATCGAACATCTCAAGTCTAGACTAGGTAATTGAGTCAGCTTACATGGGCAAATCCCTGTGAAATAAGAATTAGAAACACATCTTTGACTTTAAAAGAAGACTATGCCAGACAGACTATATGATAACTTAAACATCTTAATCAGAATTTTTGCCATTACTTTTGGTATATATGGGCTGTGCCTATCTGTCTTCTAGCCCTTGGGCCACATAGGCTTTCTTGAAAGCTATCTGGTACGGAAATATCCCCTTTGACTTGAGTCCAACTCACAGTGTAATCCCCTGACTTGTTTTTTCTCCCTCTCACCCTTGGGCTTGTATCAGTTTGCTCAAATTCTTGATAAATCTCGAAGAATTAATAGTCTACAGAGTTTCTTGAAAGCTATATCTGGTGAGGAAATCTCCGATTTGACTTCAGTCCAAATCTCACTTTAATCTCCTGACTTGTTTTTTCTCCCTCTCACCCTCACACTTGTATCAGTCTGCTCAAATTTTCAAATTCTGGATAAATCATGAAGGATTAATGATCCATAGAGTTTCTTGAAAGCTATCTGGTTCGGAAATCTCCCTTTTGACTTGAGTCCAACTCACAGTGTAATCTCCTGACTTGTTTTTTCTCCCTCTCACCCTCGGGCTTGTATCAATTTGCTCCCCTAAGCAGAGGGTTCCAGAAAAACACCTGCGTGTCTCCTGATCATCACACCCTGCTGTAGTTCAGGGCACCACATAAATCCCTTTCCTGGAGTCTGGCCAAGACCAGTAGTTGAAGTCAGTAGGAGGCTTTGAACCATGATGCGGCACAAGCAACTGAGTTGATAGTTTGTAGGCAAATGTGTGGAAAAATTTTACTTGGAAACTTAGCATGAAAGTGCATCTGTGTTGGTATAACGTAAAAACGCTGGTATTTCGATATTTTTTATAGCTCTACACTCCTTGTTTTGCTGGAGTTCGGCCAAGACGGTAGTTAAATTCAGCAAGATAACCATATGGCTATTGCAACTCAGTTGTCTGTTTGTGGGTAAAGTCTGTGAGATGCTAGAAGAACAGAAAGTTTTTAGTTTGTGAATGACTAAAAAATGTGTGCCTTTGTGTTCTTCTGCTTTCAGATTTGCCTTTTCATTAAAACAGGAACCTTCCAAATCTTTCCCTCTGACATTTCTCTAGTTTAATTTCATCAGGCATCAATTACACTCCTCATGGGGTCTTATGCACCTTATTAAGGCCCTAACCTATGGGGTCTTGGGTGCCATTTGGTTCCAGTGGTGTCATTGCACAGCAAAATGGGCGTCTAATGGTGTGTAGCAGCCCTTATCGAAAACTAGTGACAGACAAGCCCAGGGGGGCCACAGCTCCTGTGACCTTGAAGTAATTTGTTTCACCTTGAGATGATATCGCCTTGCAAAAGGGTGTAAGTCTAGAAGGGAGAAGAGAGATGTTAGGCAAGATTGTGTTGACAAATTTCTGAGGTAGGGAGTATCAGAGAACAGGGCACAAGATGCTTTGATGTCAGGAAAAGGACACTAGTACTAGCACATCAGCAGAATGTACTGCAAATGTGGGAAACCCCTAATGTACGTCATGTAATGTGTTTTGGCACTTAAGAAAAAAAAAAGCGTGTACACTGCACCTAGCATTCTTCAGGCATTTTTGTAGCCAAATAGCCTTTGAAAAATGCTTGAAACTTTACCAATCCAAAACTTTTGTTGTGGTCTTTCAGTCCAACAATATATTTTGACAACCCCTAACTAACCATTAAAGGGCAGAAGCCACCTCAAAAAGTACCTGAAATAGGCATAGATATCAAAAATATACATATAGTACAGTAAGTTAAAAGTGTTTGTAGTCACTTTTACCGAGAAATAAAGTTTATACAGCTTCTCAAAGTGTCGTTTTTGGAAAGCCGCGACCCCGGCGTAGTAGCCCCATTCCAGAAGCCGTCACGTGATGCCGTGACGTAACACAAGGGACGCACCCGCTATCTGCCAATTGTCTGTTTGTTTTAACAATGGCAACACCGACCATGGACGCTGACGAAGTTGAGACTTTTTCTGACTGCTCATCTACCGTAGAATGTATCTGTGAGGAATTTGAGTCGGACTCAGATTCGGAGGAGGTCGTAGGAGTTCTCATGCCCTACAGATTTGAGCCATATCTCTCTGACGTGCAGTCAGACGAGCCGAATTCTGACAGCGACGATGAAGGTGAGGCCGCTGGTGACGCCATGGCTGATGGCGGGGAACTTGAAATCGACGGACAAATTCCGCTTTCTAACACCAGGAAGTAACGTTACAGACCGTGACCTTGGAATGTTCTATTTTGGCCCAAGGTCATCGCCAGGCTCAGAAGATTTCTACCCTGGACACTCCGAGCTGACAGAGCAGATATATAGGGTGTCAGGCTGTGATCTAAACCACGTCCAGACTCAAATGGGTGGACTTAACTGCCTCAGAAATTGAAGAAATCAGTTTCTCGTGTGTTGGCACAGAAATAACCGAGATTAAACGGGCTGAAGGATTGCACTCTACGGCGCTAGACCTGCGCTGGATAATGAAGCAGTTAGGGGATGTTAGGGGAAGGGAGCACTTTGGCAGAACATACTGTGCCTGTGCAAAATTTTTCACGGTTTTTGTTGGATAAAGAAGCATTTAGGGGGTGTTAGGGGAAGGGAGCACTTTGGCAGAACGTACTGTGCCTGCACGAAACCTGGAATATTTCACTGTTTTTGTTGGATGTTGGATGGTCAACGTTTCATCAGAATTTTGCCTGTTGCATGCAGACAATATCTTTTCCGACACAACATTTGAAAACTACAGATAGGACAACATACGACCTTAAATGAGACATTCTGCCAAAAGGAACTTAAAGATACTACCTAGAAAATAAGACATCACACATAATTATATAAAACTACATTTCAGGCTATCAGAATATATATTTTTGGCTCATTCAAAACCATTCAGATAAAATGCTTCATTTAAACATTTCAGGCCCTACATTTTTAGAAATATGACATTTTTTTATTCAATTTTGCAGTCTAACTAAAATCTTACACTGTCAAATAGAGCTAACATTATTATGCTGTTGCTTTGCCAACACTAATACTTACCTAACCTTCATGTCTAGTTAGAACTCATCATTAATCTTTCTCTAAAGCTCTAAAACAGATGTAAGAGTCACAATGTCTGCAATTTGTCTGAGGTTGGGCAGACTTGTGATCAATCTTGATGAAACTTGGAATCATTCCCAGCTTCTGTAGAGCCATTCAGGCCTCGAAATTAACTTTTCTTCCTATTGTCCCAGCACTGTCCCAAAAATAAATTTCAATTGTCCTGAAGTGAAGATGAACTGTCAGAACCTGTTTTTGGGAAGTATTGTATGACTTCAACTTGAAGTCAACTTCATTTTGCTCATGTTCACTCTCAGGTGCACTATAATTGCAGTGCAGACAGGAAATTTGGGGGGACTTGTGCCTGATAAACAAAAGAAGGGCTGACATTCTGATGTTGAATATTTTTATATTGTCCCCAAAATGTCCCAAAGTGTCTTTTTAGTTGTCCCAGCCTAAATTTTAGTGGTCAGTTGCCAGTGAACCACCTTTGATTTCGAGCCCTGGCGATTCCCTGCCAATTCTATCACATTATACTCCCCAAACACCCTAACAAGGTACACGTGTCTCTAATCGTATCTCAAACATACAGTGTTGCCTGCAGATGTTACATTTGTGTCTCTGCCAAGGGGGTTATGTGATAAATGTTGTTGGTAACTTGGTTTGGTTGTCAGTAATATAATGTAGTTGGAAACAGCATCAAGATTATTGTGTCAAAATTCTTAGTTCTCCGAGTGGGACAAAGTTGAATCTGACTAAATTCACTCCCTCAGAAACTGTGTGTAACAAATTGAATGTAAGGGGCTGCAAAAGTAGCATTACATAAGGGTTAATGTAAATGTCTTTTAACAGATAATCTGTCAAATCATGAAATATCACTCTGAAACTCTGAAACCAAATTGAATGCAAGTGGCTTCAAAAATCAGAAGTAACATTATATGATGGGCATGTAACTGCATGTAATGGATAATCTTCTTTATCAAATCTAACCTTTCATAAAATATCATGGTGCATCCAGAAGATTATGTTTTATATAATAAGTAGCTTTGTGGCTTCCTAGGATTTTCTTTCCATTGATCTAGATTACATAAGTGACACTTTACAAGATTATATATCTATACAGTAAAAGTAACTTGTCAAAATTGGGTACATACAATGTATAACTGCCTATTAACAAATAATCTTATTATCAAATCTAACCTTTTGTAAAATATCATGTTGCATTACATAAACGTTCATGGATCTTTACCAAAGATTTTAGATGCTTTTTGGTAATCTAAGGTTTACCTTTTATTGATAGATTACTTAAATAACCTTTTAGAAGGATAATCTTATTATCAAATCTGACTTTTCATAAAATATCACCTTTCATAAAATATTACACGTACCTTGCTACACACTGTGCTCTTATGAAATCCAACCTTTTATAAAATGTACCTTGGTACATACATTGTAGAGCTGCAGATAATGTTATGAAATCTAACCTTTAACGAAATATCAAGGTACGTTACATAAAAATGGATGCCAAAGGTTTACTTCTTATTGATAGACTACATACTATTAGATAACCTTTTAAAAGATTATGGCTGTGTATCATGTATTACACTGAGTTACATAAATGCAGAGACTCTTGCAGTCACTGGTTTTATTTTTACTTCCTAAGATGTGTGTCTCGCAAGGGATGAAGAAATAAGTAAAAGACATTTGAATTGAAAATACTTCAGCACCAAGGACAGGGATAGGGTATATACTGTAAGTGGTTTTATTTTTGTGATGATCACCTCCACCGAAAATTCATGACACTACAAATAATGATAATGATTATTATCATATAGCCGGACGGCGTGGACCAATCAGAGGCCCGGATACCCGTGCTGTTATTTCCCGATAACAGCACATGTGGTGTTATGGCGGAATAACAGCACATGTCGTGTTATGGCTGATACCATTATGTTATAGGGTATAGGGGCATGCGACTCTTTCTGTAAACCTTTGTAGCATTTTTCTGTCCAATAAACTTTTTTGTTTAGCTTCATTTAAACTACAATTTGCATTAAATGAAATTATCCATATTTGTTTTAAAGCGTATAATATATTCGAATGTATTTTTATGTATGTATATATATTAAAGCTGTTGTATTTCAAACAGGAATTGTGTTGATTGACAGTTTGGATAGGCTATATGATAATAATTTTAATGCACTGCCTTTTCCTCGTTGTATATGGTGTCATAACTGCATGGGCAGCTGCCATAACCACCTCATAAACCACCTCGTTCGCTTCGCTCACACGGTGGTTTATTCGGTGGTTATGGCAGCTGCTCATGCAGTTATGACACCATATACAACTCGGGGCAGTGCATTAACCCTTTATTATTGTATTACTAATTTACTACTGTACTAAACTTGTGGCAAACAACACTAAAACTTTGTTTGCCCCTTACTACAAAATATAGCCCTATTGTATCCCTATTGACTAGCCTGTCTAGTGCCATGCCTGAATGGGTTAGGGTTAGAATCAGGCACGGTTCTGGATAGTCTCTGTGTATATATCCAAGAATATAGATTTGCCTTAGGTACGGTTTAGGAAATGCTTTATCCAGAACCGTGCCTGAGCATGATTCTGGATAAAGCACAGTTCTGGATACAACCACCAAATGGTGAAATTAAAAATGCACTTTACAGTACATTACCAAGAGCTTCAAACCTATGTCTGCTCTTTCTAGTGACAGGTGTGAGAGGTTTTTAAAGTGTCTAGTCTTGGATCTATGCCAGTTTAGCCCCTCTATACTCTATCCACCCACGGTCTGTCTGCAGTGCCTACGCAGCAATCTAATACCAGATCAGAAAAGAAGAAGAAATAGTCATGCCTTCAAGTACCAAACAAGGAGTGAGGTGTTCAAAACTCATTCTTTCCTAGCACTATTGCAGAGTGGAACTTACTATTACTAAGTACAGTAGGGGCATTATCATCAGAATCTGATAGCTTTAAATGGTGTTCAGAGTTAGATGTTGAAAGGTTAGGTGCAACAAGACGATCGGTGTAATATAGCCAGCTGCCTATGACTGCCTTTTCCTATGACAGGTGTGATAGGTTTCTAAAATGTCTAGTCTCAGATCTATGCCAGCCTAGCCACCTGAACCCCCTCTGTACTCTACTCTATCCACCCACCTTCTGTCTGCTAGCTGCCTACGCAGGAATCTTAGATGTCAAAACTTGTTGCTGCTTGATAATTATCAATAGACTTGGTTGTTGCGTTAGGGTCAAGCCTCCAGGCATATTTGGTAAGATTTTTCATTCCTGTTAATATGCTTCTAGGAAGGCCACACCAATCTATTTTATTGGTTCTTAGATATTCTTAAGTAGAAAGTTACAAGAGGACAATATAAAAACAGAGGGCTAAGGGAGGAAAACTTGAATCTGAACATATTCTCTCCAGTCTTGCCCTCTGTACTCTAAATCCACCCACGGTCTGTCTGCAGTCCTACGCAATATTTCGGACTTGTTGCTTGATAATAGTGATGGACTTGGTTGTGGAAAAGGCTGTCAAATGTAGGTTGTCAAAAAGAATGATAAGAGTTTAAACTTTCTGTCAGAACAAAGATTTTTGTGCAATGCACGGCCATACCAATTTATTTTCTTCGTTCTTTGAACTTTGTAGTAAAAATACATGTATATTTTGTAGTAGTGAGTAGTTAAGTACATGAAAATGGAGGGTTGGGGGTCTAGATCTTTCCTTTTCATTTTGACTTCTAAGTTCTTGTTTCAATTTTGCTTTTGAAATGTCTGAGAACCACAGAAATAAAGTATTGGGGCCTTCCAATGTGGTATCTAGAATCTAACACCCCAGGTATCAAAATAGCGTCTTGCAAGTTTGCAAGATTTTGCGGGAGATAACCCAAAGACTGACACGTGGAACACAAAACCAGATCATCCATAACCACTTTTCTTTTTGGATCACCTACGCTGAACCTCAAAATTAGTTTAAGCTGAAAACCCCACATGTGAGTCAAACCTGTCTAAACAAACCCTTGGCCAGTCCCACATAATTTTCTCCTCCACTCATGTTGTTACAACAAAGGCAGCTATTGTTGACTGAAGCAGGAAAACTGAGAGGTGAAGGTGCGGTGTCCTGCCTTGTGACATTCTTGGAAGAAAGCCAGTAGTGTAGCCTTGACTTCTGTTTTTCTTATAAGGCCAAATAAACCTGGTTTTGTGGTTGATATTTTAAGCTTAGAAAGACTCAGCTGGTATTACATGACTGTATGCTGCTATATATATTATCGAGTCTAGTAGATATATGCCACCAACAATGGACTCCACAAGAATTTAAATGTGCCGTGTGTGTGTGTGTGTATGTGTGAGTGTGTGTGTGTGAGTGTGTGTTTGTGTGCGTGTGTGTGTGTGTGTGTGTAGGTGTGTCACTGTGTATGTGTATGTGTGTGTGTTTGTGTGTGTGTGTGTGCCTGTGTTTGTGTGCACGTGCATGCGTGTGTTTGTATTTGATTCCCATTGTCCAATACATTTTGTCAGAAAAGAGGTATCATAATTAGTTTGCATGTGATCTAACTGCAAAAGTAAGGTCTTTATTCATGTGATGTTTTGAACACTGAGGCTTGACAGGCAGTCTAAAGGGTGACATACTGCCTGCCCTTGCTGGGGTGCTACACTGTTTATTTATCTATTTACACCCAAATTTTATGCATAATACAATTAGTATTTGTCTGTGTCTGTGAGTTGGTTCCGGGTCAGGTAATGAGTTGACCTCCTGTCCCATTATGAGATTTGTTGACCCCCCCTGTGGAGCCCATGGGGGTTAGGGAACAACTTACACCAAGTTGCAACCAAGTTGTCACTGGGAAAATTTATGAAGTCGTACCTTTTCCTCTAACTTGTATATTTAAACAAAAGAGAAAACTCTTATTAAAGTCTTAACATTTATAGTATATAGTATACGCATTTTCTTCTTCTGTTGTAGATTCTCTAGGCTAATGTATAATGTATTATGCTCTTTTTTTCCTTGCCTATCAATTTGCTTTAACTCAAAACTGTCATCCTTGGGTCAACATCTTAAACTGAAATCTGTCTTCAAATCAACCTCTTAAAACTGTCTTTCCTTTAATTCTACATCTTTAAGTCAAAACTGTGTTTCTAGAGTCAACATCATAAACTCAAAACTGCCCTCCTTAAGTCAACATCTTCTTGCTGTCTCAGCCTTTTTGGACAGAGAAGACTGTCAAACTTGAAGGCTCCTTGGTTTTAAGAAAACATCGGAGTCGAAGAAAGAAAAACAGGGTCTGTCCAGGTGACTGCACAGACTGACAAGAGTGTTTGTAGGAGTTACAGAGGCTTGGAGTTTATAAACATGACAGGGAGGTTTCCTGCATTCTTTACCTACTGGGAAGAATACTTCTAGTTCTTCAAACAAACTTTTCAACGTTGTCTATCTAGAGACTAAGCCTCATTGTAGGGGGCCCTCAAGCCCTTTTCCGTAGAGCGTAATCGGCCGTTTTAATTCTACGTAGAGCGTAGACGGACCTCTCTAATATTTTTGCGTAGAGCGTATTCGGCGCTTTAATTCTCTACGTAATGCGTTGTAGCCACTTGGAATTCATCGTAAAGCGTAATCAAGAGGTTTCCGAATTCAGCGTAGAGCGTTGTCGGGACCCCCCCTTGCAGGCCCTCATTGTAAAGCAGATCTCCCATTTTTACCATGAGAGCCCCAGAATACAAATCATAAGGGTGGCTGCTAAGGATTTGTTTTGTTCAATGTTGAAGCATCATGACAAACTACGTCGACTTAAATGAGGAGCTCCTTTCTTAGAAGGAAGACAGTTTTAAATGATGAAGACTCAAAGGGAAGACATTTTTATAGACAGACTGTTGAGTTGAAGATTCCTCTAATTGTGGGGGGTGAAGTCATGCTGTTTTCTAAACCAGTAAATAAACAGTTGTCACGCTAAATTTGGAAAGCAAATTTTCCAACCCAGTTGGATGCCCTCAGAACATTTCTGGAATCATCTTGTTGTGGTAGTGAATCATACTTGTGGAACTGCAATAATTTTTTCACATTATTTTAGAGGCCATTTGAAAATTAAAAACTGTGGGCCATAACTTTAATTTCTTTCAGCAGAAACCTTTTGTCTGTGTTGTGCCTTCTGTTGTACTTGACATGAAAATCCTGTTTTCCACATCAGTTGCCCGCTGGACAAAACATGTCAGTCTTCCCTCTAGAAGTCTAAGCCCTGTATCTGTTGTATTCAGTAAGAAACTGTCAGACTGTACATGTACACTTTAGAGGAAATACTCTGTCTGGTGAGAATTGTGTACAAAATCTCTCAAGTCTAAGTTCAACAAAGAGTCATGTCTGTTACCAAGTACATGTTGAGGAACTTCAAGGAAGAAACACTTCGACGCAATGTTGAAAACCTGAGAGACAACCCTGCTTTAAAAGACTTGTAAGTTAAAAGGCTGAAGACACAAACACTTGAGTCAAACTAAGATGGCGCCAATGTATTTCCTTTTCAAAACTCTTTGTTTCTGGCTCTGTTTCTGTTGATCTTCCTACTTTCAGAAATGTTCTTTCCAATCCAAGAGCCTAGAAATAAAATTTATATAGCCTTAAGGTCTCAATGTTGAAAAACTGACATTTTCTGATTTATAAACATGATTCTGATGTTGGAAAACATACCCAAACAGATTGAACCTATCTAAAAGTCACATTGTTGAAAAAATCTGACAGCCCATGACTATAAACACTCAAGTTGAAGGACTTGTGTTAGAAACACTTCAACACACTGTATATAATGTTTCTAACACACGTCCTTCAATCTATGCATTAAGATGGTTTCAGCAGTACTGAAGACATCTTAATGGACAAGTTGAAGGACTCTTGTTAGAAACACTCCCAGAACAACACAATTCAGGGCTCAAAATACTGTGTGCATAATTATACATCCTAGTGCAAGTAAAATTGGGACTGTGCAGGTATTTCTGATGACAGTCTACTTGCACCTAACCTGCACTGGTTCATATGTTGTTGTTGTTGTTGTTGTTGTTCATATACATTGTACTGGGCTTACAGCCTTACACACAAATATACTAGGTGTATGACTGTGTATTTTCCCAAGCTATATTGACTGACATCACCATGAAGTATACTTCCTAAATTCTGAGTGCATGGTGCAGGTAAAATTCGAGCCCTCAGGTCCTTCAGTATGTGCATTAAGATGTTTTTGTCAGTACTCAGACATGTTAATGCAACGGTTGTTACAAACACTCCAACACAATGACTCACTTGGCCTGACCTGTGCAGATAAACGCTTATCTAGAGTGCAGCTGATGTTTATGAGGAAAAGCAGCCCAAGTTGTCAAACTGATGGAGACTGGCTGCCAAACAATGGCAGTGGACCATGATGACCTTGTCATCAACCGTGACCTTGGAGCAAACAAACATGGCTGCTGCCTCTTGATATAAGATTCTAGAAGTCTTTTAGCAAATGAATAATTTGTAGAAGACTGTTTTACACTGTAGTGTAACTTGAATTTTCTAGAAGATGATAAGAATGAAACTATTTTCGTCTTGACTTAACTTATGAAATATGGGGATTCAAAATTGGAGCCGCATACATATTATAGTTCCCCTTTAGAACTTTTATTCAACCTGTCACACGACCAGTTTTGCCTCTGTGGCTTCTTCAAGTGTACAGAGGCTAAAAATGCTAAATCATTCATTTTGATATAATTATTTCTTACAGATCACACATCTTGCTGGACAAGACATGTCAGACAAGGCACAGGTGTGGGTCTGTACCAAGCATTGATGTTATAGATGATTTCGTCAATAATCAATACTAAATCATTTATATGATTTATCCCAGATCACACGTCTTGCTGGCCAAGACACGTCGGACAAGGTGATCCCCACGGTGATCGTCGGGATCGGGGAGCCCATGGACGATGACATCGTGTTCGAGAACGAAGAAGCCTCCAGCTTGCCACAACAGCCCACTACACTAGCCACTACAAGTGAGTTTGTTTGAACGATTATTTATGAGCTCATAAGCCAGGCCACCTGTAAAGATATCACTCACTAACTGGCTTAGTTTATTTCAGAAGCTGTAACTTTCACACCAGGCTACCTGGCACTCCAGTAAGTCTCACACAGAAATCATGACTTGCACAGCGAGTGCAAGATCGAGTGGGTATTTTGAGCCCTGCATTATGATATAATTGAATATTGAGTAAAGAGACTTTTTTTACACCACCAAATCTTTTATTCAGCCGATGTTTCGGTGACCGTCTGTCACCTTCCTCAGGGCAATTCTGACTGGTTCACATTTCACTGCAGCACAGGTGTCGCTGACATAGATGCATTCCCAAACGTACAATATATTAACACATATGCGTCTATAGCAGTGACACCTGTGCTACAGTGCAATGTGAACCAGTCAGAATTGCCCTGAGGAAGGTGACAGACGGTCAATGAAACGTTGGCTGAATAAAAGACTTGGTTGTGTAAAAAGAGTCTGTTTACTCAGTATCTTACCAACCTGATGAAACTATTCACGGATATTCAATGTCTTATTTGATGCATCCTACAGGAAGTGTAGAGAGAGCGACGCCCCCACCTGCCCCTCTAACTCCCGTCATCACCTGTCAGGAACTATATTGTTACGGCGGAGGGACATGTGTGTTCAACGGACGTGAAGGGGCAACGTGTCACTGTCCTCTGGGCAGGCAAGGATACCAGTGTCAAGAAGGTAGGTGATGTTCATTGAGCAAATGTAGAGAAATGTGGACTCACTTAAGGCTTTGCTAGATTTGATCACCTTTGCATACAAGAGCACTGTTCTAGAATTATAAGAGATATAAGAACTTGAACTGGTACATGTAGTACATTATACACAGCATGTACATTTTTTGCATTGAAGATACACAGTTCAATATATCTGGTACACACTCCAATATTTTCACACATATTATATTATTCAGCTTCTACATACTTTCATTCATTCATTCATTCATTCACTCACATTTTTCTCATTCTACCTTGTCTCCAAACAGGTAGAATGTACGATATTAGCCTTGTAGTATTGTTGTTTGATAGTTGTTGCCTTACATTCTTACACTGTACCCTCAACCTGTAACATCTGTGTCCATAATATCACCAGGGTCCATAATATCGCCACCTTGAGAAACAGTGTGCTTAAAGATATTTTTACTGCAACATACTTTTGGTATGCACTCCTTCACACAGAAAATGTACATACCTAGGGTATGTTGCAGTAAAAATCTCTTTAAGCACACTGTTTCTCAAGGTGGCAATATTATGGACCCTGGTGATATTATGGACACAGACGTTACAGTTGTCAAGCAATTCCTTCTTGCTTAAACATTTTTCTTCAATCATTTCTCTCCCTACAGAGGTAGAAGTCCGGTACCCCAGGTTCCAGGGCGAGTCTTGTAGCATTTTCGTTTGATAGATGTCGCCATACATTTTGCCTTGTATAAATGTTCATTTATACAATAAAGTTCATTTATACAATCTTACACAATGTCATTTTTCTCCCCCAGAGGTGGAAGTCCGGTACCCCAGGTTCCAAGGCGAGTCTTTCCTGTCCTTCCCGCAGCTTGTAGCCTCCAACATGAGGTTCCGCGTCTCTCTGGAGTTCAAGGCTGAGAGTCTGGACGGACTTCTGATGTTCAGTGGGAAATATCGCGATGGCAGGGGTGATTTCTTCTCTATAGCACTGGTCAACGGGCATGTGCAGTTCAGGTGGGTTACTTGGATATTCTATCGAGGTGGCAAAGTGGTCTTGTGGTTAAGGTAGTTGACTGACGGAAACAAAAGATTCTAGTTTTAAATCCCTGGCAAACCTCACTGTTGTGTCCTAGTGAGAAAGGTGGCAGGGACAGCTTCTTCTTTATAGCACTTGTCAACAGATGTGTGCAGTTCAGTAAGATATGCAAGTACTAGAAGAAGTTTGAAGGTACAGTACAATGTAACTTTTTGTTGTGCCTTGGATAAAGTAAGAGACAGTGAGTAAATGTGAGGCTGAGAGTCTTGACGGACTTCTGATGTTCAGTGGGAAATATCGGGACGGGAGGGGAGATTTCTTCTCTTTAGCACTGGTCAACGGACATGTGCAATTCAGGTGAGAGAGACTTTAAGAAGCTTGAAGGACTGATGTACCTTAAGGAAAGTAAGAGGCAGAATCTTGGCATCTGAGTTGGTAAATTACCTAATGAAAATTTAACTGTTCTCCAACTCAATTGACTGACAGGAATTCCCCGACCTTCAGCTATCATTATTCTGACTCAATGCTGTAGACAAATGATTTTTTTGCATGTGTGACGTCAACACTGGCTCAAAGTTCGACAGAAGTTTGTTCCTCTCCAAAAATAACTTGTCATTAGGACACCAACAGAGAAGTTGGAAAAAGAGGATGAAATGGTTGAATTATTGGATGAATGATGACTGGGAATGAATCAGTTGTCTAAGAACTGTGTTGTCAGCTAAATTGTTGTCTTAATTTTTATTCCACAATGCAGACAATCAATACATGATGCCTAAAATAACACTGCAAATGACTTCGCTGGATTTTAAGGATTTGTAAACCTGCCAAAAACAAGGTTGTTATCTTGTAGATAGTGCCTCAAAGGAGGCCATAAAATGTAGAAGAACACCAGGGATGTTGTAATGATGTCCTGGTGATTTGGACTCATTAAAAACTGTCAGTCTGTTACGATTGAACAGCGTTCTGATTCAACAGGGTTCCCAATTGCTCAATTGGCTCTAACCAGTTCATGTGGAGACTCAAGGGACAGAAACAAAACTTCAGGCTGAAGTAATACGTGCATGGAAAACTAAAGTCAATTTTCATCGAAGTGTCTGAAATATACAGGCTAAGATCTGAAGTCTTCCCATTCAAGGTACCATTATAATAGCACATTGCAAATGTTGCACTGTCGCTGACTCTTTTACAATTCTGCTGCCTTTCTAAATGCAAAGTCTCCCATGCCTATCTCTTGTCAGCCTGTGACAACCTTGAGCGCAGGCATGTCCAATAACCGTCACCCTTAGATCTTCATCAGGGCTCGAAATTCATTTTTTGGAATAGGCGCACCCAACCTAAAAAATTGGGTGCACAAAAATTTTTTTGGGTGCACTTGTCTATATGAAACAAAACCTAGTTGCAGGTCTTGCTGCTCCTCTTCTGTGCTTGAATCTAAAATGAGAGCAAACTTCGAAATCTTAAACATCACTCCAACAAAGATTTTATTATTTTTCTGATACTTAGAGACCAAGAATATCGAGTATACTATCAATAATACACTTCTAATGTTGAAATTCCTACAAAAATATTTGGGTGCACCAGTGCACCCACAGGAATAAATTGTGTGCACTAAGATGCGCATGCACCCAGTATTTTGAGTCCTGCCCTATCAAACACTACATGCACATGTAAAGCCCCTAAAGCTTCTATCAGTCCCAGTAATCTAAGAGGATTTAGACTGATCCATATCAGAATATCAGATATCTGGGAGGATTTGAATTGATCCATATCAGACTGACAGATAGCTAAGGGGATTTAAAATGATCCGTATCAGAATATCAGATATCTGACATGTATATCAGAAGAACTTTATTGCGCGACAATTGTACATGGTACAATGTATAGCAAGAAAAAGGGTATAAAATGAAACTTAACATCATAGTTACTAAAACATCAAGTTTAGTACAATGTATGATATATAATACGCTAATTATGAGTTTTGATATTTTTCTGATGACAAAACAGTCTTTTACGTATTTACCTATTTTTGCATTGTGACAGTTATTGTATTTCAATATGTGACTCTGTATATCAATCTACCCTTCAACCTCAGAGATATAGAACTTTCACCCTCTTTGACTCAGTCTCAGTTATCTGACAGTAAAATATCGGATTGTTGGATATCTGGAAAGATTTGGATGGATGTTTATCTGACAACCTGTCAACCTAAGGGAGATAGAAAATCTACAACCAGTGCTATATCTCAATCTCAGTTATCGAGAGGATTTAAACTCATGTATATTCGACAACCTTCCAACCAGTGGGATATGGAAAATCCATGGCTAGTTCTGTAGATAGATGGCACCAATTGACAGTCTGAAGGGTGGAATATCCTCCCATCCATCTTCATAGGTCTCCAGATGTCAGGGGAAGTAGGGGAACTAGTAAAATGCAACAAAGTGCAGAAGGAGGAAAAGGCTTTAAAAGACTTATCCTACACCCTCCTCATTTAACTAAAAAAGGACATGGAGATTATGTTTGTGTTGTTTTTACCAACATTAAGGCAGAAACTTGGCAAGTATCAGTTCCTGAGGAAGTGGTTTTAAAGTAAGGGGTTCAAGTCAGGCTAGGTCAAACATATTCCATGCATGCTTTGCAGGCCTTCAGTCAAACTGTAACATTACCCTAGAGCAGTTTGATATGGGATTTTGGGATCAGTGGTACATGTATATTTTGTACCTTAACTTTCCCATCGAGTAAAGTTGTGAATGAATTTTGGAGAGCTATTTTGGGCCAAGATCCTAGAAGTTCATTGAAAACGGGTCTCCCCAGAAATTCATAGGGTAGAGGTGAAAAATCAGCAAATTTACTTGAAAATACTAGCGGAAATCACTAAATTTGAACATTTTGGGAGTGGTGCTAGGATTTTTGGGAGAGGGGAGCACCATATTGCTTCATTGCTTGGGGAGAGCCCTGGAAAAGTTGACTATCTCCAAAATTCATTCACAACTTGTACTTAAAAAGTACTCAAAAGTACCACTGTGACTGTGAATTTTTGGGATAATGTCTGAGAGCCAAGTAACTAGATTAGCATGGCCTTAGTCTTAATGACAGGAAGCGTGGATGGTGTTTACTGCATCTGGTGTAACAGATTGCACAGATAACAACAAAATCATTTCCCCCTGTTAGGTTTTACATAGGAAATACCACAGAGGTGTGAGGGGCTCTGATAATGGGACAGTATTCCCAACCCATTTATTTTTCAAAGAGTCGGACAATTCATCTCCTACTGCCTCCTGAGAAGAATTAGTCAAACACCCTAATAGCCTGACTAGAATAGTATCGCATAATAGAAAAGTAGTTACCATGTTCCGCTTACCTGTTTATGTATGTTATTACTATTACATATCCACTCTTTTACATAATATCATCCATTGTTGTATACATACGTTTAACTTATTAGTTTGAAGGAGAGATATAAAGGGTGCTGATGATGGGAAAGCATTTGTCAGGTCGTTAACCTCCAAGCAGATGTGTGTGGTTCTGATTTTTACCTCCAGGTACGGAAGTATTGTTTTGGGTGGCTGAGTTTGTGGGTTTGTCAGTCTGTGTAGAGTTGGTTGACAGAGCACTTTGGCAGAATGTAAGCTGCCTGCGTGAGCTTTTCATGGTTTCTTTCGATGATTGGTCAATGTTGCACCAGAATTTTGCCTGTTGAAGACGATATTTTGCCCACACAACATCAATACAGACTGGATGTCATCATTAAATACATATACGCAAATGCATTCTTAGCATAGACATTCTGCTGAAGTACCACGCACAACACATTGTTGATCTAACACAGACACAGTGCAGGAAATATTCTGAAAGGTCCCTGTTTCACAAAAAGTCTGGATACTCATTGGCTTCAATAGGAATTGGATAGAAATTCAGAGAGTGTGTCGGTTCATACTGATGCTAAAAGTGCCCTCTTTCTTTTTCTACACAAACTGCAGGTTTAACTGTGGCACTGGTCCAGCAAACATCACAACCAACAGCACAGTACAGCTGGGAAGATGGCACAAGCTCACAGTCTACAGAAATCGGTGGAACGGCTGGGTCAGTTTGGACAACAAGGATACGGTACATGGGAGAGCCAAGGTGAGTCATGTACTGAACACCATCTATAGTACATATAGAGAAACATGCCTGTCCTTGGTGCTGAATGCCATCCACACACATGCAAACATGCCTGTCCTTGGTGCTGAATGCCATCCACACACATGCAAACATGTCTGTCCTTGGTGCTGAACGCCATCCACACACAGGTGAACATGCCTGTCCTTGGTGCTGAACACCATCCACACACAAACATGCCTGTTCTTGGTGCTGAACACCATCCACACACAGGCAAACATGCCTGTCCTTGGTGCTGAACACCTTCCACACACAGGCAAACGCACCTGTCCTTGGTGCTGAACACCATCCACACACACAGGCAAACATGCCTGTCCTTGGTGCTGAACACCATCCACACACAGTCAAACATACCTGTCCTTAGTGCTGAACACCATCCACACACAGGGAAACATGCCTGTCCTTGGTGCTGAACACCATCCACACACAGGCAAACGCACCTGTCCTTTGGTGCTGAACACCATCCACACACACAGGCAAACATGCCTGTCCTTGGTGCTGAACACCATCCACACACAGGCAAACATACCTGTCCTTAGTGCTAAACACCATCCACACACAGACAAACATGCCTGTCCTTGGTGCTGAACACCATCCACACACAAACATGCCTGTCCTTGGTGCTGAACACCATCCACACATAGTCAATTTTGCTCATAAGCAAAAACTATAGGGAATTTTCAAAACTTTTAGCTTTTTTATCTACACCCCCAGGGTCTGTATCATGGTATCACCTTCCGGCTTCCCTTATACCTTGGCGGAGTGCCAGACCTCGGACTAGTCCAAGAGCACACGGGGGTGGCAGAGGGCTTTAAGGGCTGTGTGCAGAAACTGATTGTGAACAAGGAGAGATACAACATGAGGCCTCAGCCTTATGGGAAGGCAGTGTCTGGCATCAATGTTGGTACGTTCCTGTTTTATATATGTATGTGTAGATGATTGTGTCGATGCTCATTTATTTGGACATGGAAATCAAACAAAAGGTTTGAAATCAGCAAAATAATGATGACAGTAAAAGATACAACACATTTGTCAAGAAACAATAATAACCAAAACCAGTACTTGTATAGTAGTAGGCATCCTTCCATCTACTTGTATAACAGGGGCTAATATCTTTGTCCTTTGGATCACTAAACTAAATTAATATGCCAATCAACATAAGTCAACCTATGAGTGTTCTTAGGGTCAAACTTGTTGTTTCATTTATTTGTTATATTTTAAACAATGCGTTATCTTGGTATGTATTTGTAAAACTGATGTTTTTACATTTGAAAATATTCTATGATCTTTGCATACCGACATTGCCTCTGATTTTTTTTGTATATGTTGAAAATCATGATGTTGTTGTTTGTCAAGTTGATGATGACCATTTGACATCAGCTTTTACATGATGTACATGTATAGGTAGTTAAGAATACCATTCATGTCCCTGCTTGTTTCTCCAGGAGAGTGCAGTGAGGGTGTCTGTGACTACGTGTACTGCCGGAACGGCGGCAAGTGTGTGGCCGGGTCAGCTGACTCACACCTGTGCCTTTGCCCCCTGGGATTTACTGGGACCAGCTGTGAACGGGGTAAGTAAGTTAGTGTGACAGTCAGCAAGGAATGGGGTTGATATCTATGGTAACTTTTGAGGTAAATCTTTAAGTTTGGTCTAAATTAAAAACAGTTACTGCAATAGAGTCATGTCCATCTAGAAGTAAGATGCACTGGTGCTGTTTACTGTTTGAAGCTGGTGTGTTACACCGAAGGGTGGTTATACCGGCTTCACAGATACAATACAGATACAGAAACATCTGGCACACTGAAAGAGCCATTTGGCTATCAATTCTCTATTGGTTACTGGATTAGGCATCAAGGAGTAGGTTCAAGCAAAGCTGCTTTTAATGACTGGAAAATAGATGCTGTCTGAAAAATTATTCTGCTTTTAATTTATTGAATAGAATGTTGTCTGAAAGATCAAAGCCAAGTAAGCTTTAATTCTTTTCTTCCAGACCAGTCTTTATGAAAGGCTTACAAATTTAGATCTTGAAACTTACACTTTTAATATTAACAACTTAAATTTTTTTATTTCAAGATTTGGACCTCAGCATTCCTTTCTTCAACTCCTCTCGCTCCGCCTACTCTGCCTACCCGACCCTCGGTACAAAGTTTCTGTCCTTCATCGAGATTGAGGTGGTTTTCAGACCTCAGGCCAGAAACGGCGTGCTTCTGTACACTGCCCTGCGGACGGATGGATCCGGGGATTTCCTGTCGCTTGTGTTGGATCACGGTTTTCTGGAGTTTAGGTTTGACTGTGGGACTGGACCAGCTATCATCAGGTGGGTTTGCTTGTTTGTTTGTTTGTTTATTTGTTTGTCTAAGCACCGGGGTACCATCCACACACAGGTAAACATGCCTGTCCTTGGTGCTGAACACCATCCACACACACAGGCAAATACGCCTGTCCTTGGTGCTGAACACCATCCACACACAGGTAAACATGCCTTTCTGTGGATGTTGATGTATGAAATCCAGACTGTAAAGTAAAAAGAAAAACCTCCCTATTCTGACTATTACAGGAGTGCAGAGCCTGTGACTATGGGTGAGTGGCACCGAGTCATCCTGTCCAGGACAGCACGGGACGGAGTCATGACGGTCGACTACAACCCCCCTGTTACAGGCACAGCCGAAGGGGGGTTCTCCCAGATCAGCTTCATCACCCCCCTCTACATCGGAGGGGTCGCTGATTATGAAGAGGTGGCGAAATACTCGGGGGTTTATGAGCCCTTCCATGGAGACATACAGAAGGTAATATTCATTAACATTTATCTATCTTTATCTATCTATATCATAGCCTCTACCAGGCTTCATAAGCAGTTGGAAAGAGTAGAAATTGGCCAAATAACAGATAACATGCCTGGGGAATTTGCTGCTCTTTCCTCACTCTACCCAGGTGTAAAATGGGTACCTGACTTCAGTTGGGGAGGTAAAAGGCAGTGGAAGGAGAGGGATGGACTCTGTCTTCCAACACTGTGCCCTAGACACAGTGGATTAACAATTTGTTACCCCTACAGCATTAGAAAGGTTATGAGACTACCTTTCCAATGTTTTTGTTTCAATTTTGCACCCACAGATCATAATCAACGACAGTCCCATGGACCTGATCTCCAGCGCGATTGTTGGGGTGAATGTGGCAAAAGCTGACCAACCCTGGAGTAACAATTCCTTACCTCTACAGCATTAGAAAGGTTATGAGACTTACCTTTTTAATGTTTCCATTTTACTTTGCACCCACAGATTATAATAAATGACAGTCCTATGGACCTGATCTCCAGCGCGATTGTTGGTGTGAATGTGGCAAACGCTGACCACCCATGCGTGGGGGACCCTTGTGTTAATGGAGGACTGTGTGTGCCTGATCACGATTTCTACAGCTGTAATTGCCCGCTCGGCTACCACGGCATGGACTGTGAGAAAGGTAGGTTAGACTCAAGTTGCGATAAACAGATGCATGTACAATTAACTGCTTCAGTCAAACCTGTACAAGTGACCACCTAGGCGAAGTCGTAATTTCACCAAATTCTGTCCTTCATAGAAATTATATGATCATAAAACATTATTGTTAAACTATTTTCTGATCAAGTATAGTCAACCGTTTGGGCCTTATATCAATGTGAAGACCGTAAAAAACAGCCATTCTGGGTGCCTCATATACAGGTTTGACTGTAATAACATCAGCATGAACTGTTTTTAGGAAAATGATTGTTAGATTATTATAATATAAATGTTGCATGTTGTTCTTCAAAGTACATGAATATATCTTAAGCCTCCAATTCCTGATATTGTTTTAACAGAATTATTTTAAAGGTATGAAGGTGTATGTTGGTAGTTGTAGTTTTTGTGTTTCTGTGGTCCCTGTGTCATTAACATTTTTGTGTCCAGTTCTGACATGACTTTACTGTACACACAATTGTGTGGGAGGGAAATCCAGGAGCTAAGGCCACTCTAATGCAGTCTGTTGGTTCTCAGATTAAAAAAATTGCTGATAAAAACAAGTAGATCAACATGACAGCGGAGCCGAGTTTTTAATTTTTTAAAATGGAAATTCTACAAAGATATTTTTCGAGTTTTTTTTTTCGAGTTTTAATTTTTTGTCATTATAGCAATTTTTTAAGAAAGAAAATGTAGAAGGCTAAAGGCAAAAGGAATGAATGTTTGAGCAAATTTTCACACATAACACACATATTCTTTGGTATGACAAATTTCATCTGTTATGAACAGAAAAATTCAAATAACTGACACTGTTAAAAAACAGCAAATGTCCTCAAATAATTAAAGAAGCATGCCCTTCTTGAAAATTTTGGAATCTGTCTTGTAAGAATTAGTTCTCCTACTTTCAGGGGAATGTTTTGTGTTTTGGCAAAACTTCAAGTAAATCTTAGAATTTTGTTGTTGACTGTCCTTTTGGTCCAATTCATAAAACATCCAAGAACCGAGGATCTGTATGTGGTGTGGCCTAACCCCGCTCCTGGGCGTTCCTCCCTCCCCCCAGCTAAGGTTCCAGTAGTGGTTACACAGTACAACGACCTGACCTACGACTCGGAAAACCCCTTAGCGGCCCCTGCACCAGGTACAACAGCCACCGGACTACTCTCACTACGATCACCATCAGCCATCCGATATCCATCCCTCCTCATCGTGATTCTCCTAACTAATAATTCCATAGAACTTAGAAGTACATGACATTGTACTAAAGGGACGTGGCAATAATCTGGGCAGATGGAACACCAGGGAAAACTTTAATTATCCAGAAAAAATGTCTGTTGTTTGTCCTACAGAAGAAACAGATTAAGAAGACATCATTCTTAGAAACAAGAAACAAACCATTTAAAACACAAATTTTAAAGCAGATCAAATGCAAACTTTGAGAAAGAAGGAATTTTTTTAGGTTTGTTTGTTTCCTATTTTGCAACTACAGTACAGCAACTGAAACTTGTTATCAACTCTTGAAGTTTAGTACAAAGTTTATTAATAACTCTCTTGGATTCAAAGTTTGTTCCAGACCTTCATTTCTTACCTGTGACTTTCAAAGTTACAGAGTGAAGACTTAGATATCTGACTGAAAATAATAAGATTCAGATCTTCAAAGTCTTAAGTAATATTAAAGATTTAAATGAAGAAAGAACCTTTGGGTTAGTCTTTTCCATTAATATTAACAATGAAAACACCAGTTTTACTGGTGTTCCACCTGCCCACCCACTATACAGAATCCCAGTAGAGCATGCCAATGGTAGTATATATGACTTGATAATGCTTGTACAATATTATAGAATTATTCTCCTGGGTAAGAGTTGTGTGCTGTGGAGTGGTGTGGTGTGTGGCTGTACTCTCCAACCTTCACATCACACTGATGCCTTCTGACATTCCCATGGATCAAGTCTGGTTTTAGTTCTAATGCTGGTTCCTGAGAGAGATGTGGGAAAAGTTTGCATTTTCTGGAGCCCAACAATACCCAAAATTTTAAGTGTATGATTCAATGTTTACCTTTAGTAAAAGTTAAGTAAATATTAAGTTTCTCAATCACCACGGTTTAAAAAATGCCAGTTTCATAAATGTCTTGAAATTTTTATCTTTTCCTTTCCTTTTGTTGAAAAAAAAGAAAGGATTGCTAATGACTCAACTTTTTAGTATTACTCTGAATTCGAAAAGTTATAAAGAGCGACAAAACTTATACTGAAATTTCATCTACATTAATCATCATGTGCATGTTACTGTAACAGTGAATTCCATTGTTCATGTACGTGTATTCTTTACATCTTTTGCTCCCAAAATTTATCTAGAATGCAATTTCAATTAACAGTAAGTAATGCTGCATATACACTGTGCAGTATAGACCGCATCTCTCAGGACTAGCATGTTCTAAAACCACATTCCTCTAATCCGATGGTCACCCCAGCTTTCCAGTCCTGATGTTCCTCTAACTCAGCACGTCGGCAGAACGTACTGCACCTGCGCGAAACCCGTAATGTATTGTGCATAGCACTTCGGTAGAACATCTCATATAAGCTTGTACTTGCGCATATAAGGTTAACATCCCGTCTGTAGTTTCCAAATGTTATGTTGGAAAAGATATCCTCTGCAACAGACAAAATTCTGATGCAACGTTGACCAAAAATCCATCAAAAACCATGAAAATACAGGGTTCTGCGCAGACGCAGTACGTTCTGCCGACGTGCTCTCTAACTCTCAACATGCGGAATGTTCTCTTTCAGAGTGTCAGACTAGATTTTAGCCTCCATAGTTTTTCTTCCACGCCTTTTTCCTCTTGCTGCCTATCGTAGTGCATCTGTGCCCTGTTGTGAAACCTCTGATTGATTTTTATGCTCTTTGTTTTAGAGTTGAAAAGTCCAGTTACTGTGCCCAAGTTCAGTGGAAACAGTTACATGCAGTACACAGGAACACAGCTCATGAAAAGGTAAGGGTTCATACTTTTCTGTCTCCAATGTTACCTTTGAAACTTCTCTGTTTGTTGTATTTGTGCTTCAAGATATCTGGACACCAAGGAAATAGATAAAAGAGTGGTATATATCGAACTTTTGATACAAATGAATTGTTTCTAGATTATCTGAGTATAGACTGAGGTGACTTCCAGAGCAATGTCAGAATGGGAGCAAAATTGTCAGATTCAAATTCTTTCCTCCAATCCTTCTATTTTCATGGTAACATAAACTTACTCAAATTTTACTTTTAAAATTGCAATTTCTGATATGGCCACAGCAAGTAAATTTTATGGATGACATCCTCCGCAGACTAATGCGATAGGGCCAGAAAAACTGGTCCCTACATTACGAATTTTGATATCAAAAACCTTGTTAATCAAGAAATGATAAATATACTGTGCTAGGTTTACTGTCAACCATTACAACATCCATTTGCAACTGAAACAACTTTTATACACATCTCTCCAGATTGTCAGGAAACAGGAATGATTTCCAGATCCGAATCAAGACGACAACAGCAGATGGCATGATCCTGTGGAGCGGCTCACTTCCGATGGGCAGACATCGTGACTTCATCTCCATAGGGCTAGAGGGTGGTGCTGTGGTGCTCAGGTTAGTAATGTTTGTTTGTTTGTTTGTGGCTTAACGTTTGGGCAGACATCGTGACTTCATCTCTATAGGGCTGGAGGGGGGTGCTGTGGTGCTCAGGTCAGTAACGTTTGTTTGTTTGTTTGTTTGTTTGTGCCTTAACGTTTGGGCAGACATCGTGACTTCATCTCCATAGGGCTGGAGGGGGGTGCTGTGGTGCTGAGGTAGTGTTTTTGTGTAAAGATCTTTGTAAGTTCTCTTGTCCCTTAAGTTAGTTTTGTGGTGCTGAGGTCAGTGTAAATTTCTGTCATCATTATAATCGTTGTTGTTGTTACAAAGTTAGGTCAAAGGTCCCAGAAAAGTTTCTTGCTATATAGATAGTATAAGGATGTGTGTTACTCCTTCAGTGGGAATCAGAGGGAAAGTGCATGATTGTATGAGACAAAATCTGCGACAAATGCACAATAATGACTAAAACAAGATGTTCACTCTAAATTAATCATCATCATCAAGTCGGGCGGCTAGCCCAGACCGAGTCTACTCTCTCTTTCCAGTCACTTCTGTGACCATTTTCTGAGACAAAATATCCATAAATCCAATATTCTTAAATTAGTGAAGTGGTCTGTCTGTTTTTACCTTTGCACAGGTACAACCTGGGTAGTGGGGAGGCTCAGTTGTCCTCCAACTCAACCATCAACGACGGCAGGTGGCACAAAATCAGGGCCAGAAGGTCAGGATGGGTTTATTGGACCTCAAACATTCTATAGGATTTTTTTTTAGTTTATTCATTTACAAGGTCTATTTATTTACAGCAACACATACACACATTTGGAATAAAGTGCTGTTTGTCCTTTCTTCATGTAGGCATTCCTTGGTCTCGTTGTCCTATATTATGTTTACCTTCGCAGATTGTAACACATGTTTTTGCTCAGTTTCTTCTTCTCCAAAAAAAAGTCAATGACCCAGACTAGATGTCTGTGACCATGGTAAATTGTGCTGTAACAGACACAATGTGGTGTTGGGTTACAGTTTGTAGCAGATTACAGCTGGAGAGCCTGCCCACCATGCATACATGTATGAAATGTATTTGACTTTGAGTAAGAATAAACAGTGCAGTTAGCTTGTTGGGCTAGACCAGGTAAACGTTATGCATTTGCCTTGCTAGTTTGTTTGTTTGTTTGTTTGTCGTTTTTAACCTGCTGACCTTGGTTGCCCATGCAGGGACGGCCCGAATGCGGTGCTGATTCTGGATGACCTTGACCCTGTCCCCGGAACTTCACCAGGCAGACTCAAGCAGCTCAACACCAACTCAGGACTCTTCCTAGGTTGGTTGGTTTGTTTATTTGTTTGTTCACTTATTGTAGCCACTGTTTGCTGTTCCCTTAGATAACCTCCGTGAATAATTTCATCAGGTTGGTAAGTCACTGAGTTAAGAGACTCTTTTTTACACAACCAAGTCTTTTATTTAGCCGACGTCTGTCACCTTCCTCAGGGCAATTCTGACTGGTTCACATTGCACTGCATCACAGGTGTCGCTGCTATAGAATAGTAGATACTTGGGGATGCATCTATATCAGTAACACCTGTGCTGCAGTGCAATGTGAACCAGTCAGAATTGCCCTGAAGAAGCTGACAGACTGTCACAGAAATATTGGCTGTGAACAAAACGCTTGGTTATGTGAAAAGAGTCTCTTTACTCCCTTAGATAACATTTTATACATAGACCCGAGCATTAAGAATCCTGTCTATAGTGGCCACCTGTGAATAATTTCTTCAGGTCCCTTAAATGGCCAGTATAGATGGGTCAGTGTGGGTAAGGGGGTGAACTCTGCCATCTCTGATTGCCCTGTGTTTCCCAGTATGTGTAAAGGGGTGAAGTCTGCTACATGTAATTGCCTTGCTCTTTGCTACCCCCCTCCCAGACTTTTTCTTGTATGTTTGTAGTTTGAAATTCTTAACCCTTGTCCTGCTGGCAATTTTTACACAATATTTTCAAATAATTTCATGTCTTAATCAGGTTACAGACCCTTAACTTTTTTTGCCCCGTGGTAGCGTGGTTACTTCCGCATTCGTTGCGTTTTGCTGCGGTGTGATGCGTTGCACGAGAAACACCCCCAAATCACACATATACAGGGCACTATATAGATGGTACTGTATGTACAACCCATATATATATGGGCCCCGCAGGACAAGGGTTTTTTAACATACACTACAAGCAGCATTGCAACTCAAGCACAAAGGACACAAAGCACTAAGGGTAAGGGGGTTAAGTCTGCCATCTTTTGCTTTTTTGATGTCAGTTTGCTAATTCTACAATTTTCTCTCCCCCCCTCCAGGCGGCATGAACAACATTGTGATGGACACCGGGCGACACTACACCCGAGGCATCGTGGGATGCATCTCTCACGTTACCTTGGCGACCGACTATCACATCCGCCTGTACGAGGAGGCGACGGCCGGACAGAACATCGTCGAGTGCTCATGATACAGGGAAATCTTTCGTGTAGGAGATTAAGATTAAGGAGCGTATGCTTAAGGATGGAGGTTATCCTTGGAACATTATCCAAAGGATAGGTTGTATTCCTGGGACATAATCTTGAGGATATATCCTTAATCTTAAAGATATATCCTAAAAATTCTGTCCAAAGAATACATTTGGATAATGTGTATTTTTGAGACATGACAGAAGAGCATCCTGTCCTCTAGCAGCTTAAGGCACCCAATGTGATTTCAGGGCAGCAAAACTGGAAATATTCTGAATAAGGCAATCTTTGTGATATTGACACATACTGTCCCACATTAGCACATTTGAGTCAGCATTTCATACTTTGGACATTTAAAACTGCAGAAACAAGGTTCAAGATGAGTCCTTTATTTTCAGGGTGGTACCTTGAAAAGCAGCCCAGGGCCCTTCCAGTATCAATTCCATCAGAAATTTGAAAATGACCAGGAATATTGGCTTGGAAAATGTTGCTAAGCCCTAAAAACTGCACTGGATGCCTTTAAGCCTCAAGGATAGGGCTTATTCTTGAGATCTTATGAGGAGGGTGTATTTTGAGACATCTTATTATAATAAGGATAAATCAAGTGCTTGAAAACTCTTAAGCATAGGGCATGTTCTTGGGACATCATTTGCAGATACCTACAAGAGACTTTCGAGAATAGGGAATATTCTTGAGGCATTGTGTTAAAGATACATATTCTTGAGATGTTATCCTAAGAAACAGAGCTTAATCTTGAGAAATTATCTTCAGGATACAGTGTATCCTTGAGATATCTTAAGGATAGGCCCAACTGCGATAGATTGGACACCAGTCTACGCGGACTCTGACAAGGCCAGTAAAACGAAATCTGAATCATACTGTTAGTAACGTTACTTGCCGGCCAGTCAAAGTATTTTCTGTACATAGGGGCTGGGTTGAAGCTAGGTTGGGGGTCATTTATTCAAGTATAGGAAGTTATAAGGCTTAGAAACGTACTGTGTATTATTTTGTTGCCTTTTATTTAACTTTTGTTTTCTCTTCTGTATGTTTTATCAGCATTCCAAGGGTATGTTTAGCTCTCAGGTTTATATTGTTGTCTCCAAAACTGTGTTGGGGGGAGCCACAATTAGGATTCTGTTTGAGTTGAGGTGCTTTTTGTATTCTGTATCTATTTTAATCTATGGTCAGTGTGGTTTTAGGTGGTTTTATTCATTGCCATGTATTTTATGCAGGATGGTTCTAAACTCTAGTCACTGATAAAAAATCATACTCAAGTATATTATATCAGCCTTAAAACATTATTTAACATACATGTACGGTGTACATTGTTCATTATTTAACAATACTATTTTATTGTGCAACTGTACATTATTTAACATCATGTTCAATGCACAGCCACAATCATGCTTTTTGCTAAATTCTATGTATGGGCAATACCCTCATTGACAACTCAATTTCATTTTTTTACCACTCACAGTATATTTTCCAAAAACAGTGCCAAGTATTGTTTACAAGTGAGACAATCAAGAGTATCTTGTTAAGAAATTGCTTAAGATTATGACAATTCTTATATCAGGTTTGTCACTCTTACATTAGATATATCTAAAGTGCCATATTTTGCAGGTATGTAAGTTTGTAGGTATTCAAGTCATTCTTGTGTAGTTTGTCAATGTTCTGACTATCATTATAGGTTTGTTATTTTATGTGAGTAGGGCTGTATCATGCTTCTTATACTGTACTATGACAGTTAAGAATATTTAATACTGTTCTAAAATAATGGTAGACTTCTGTCCACCCATTTTGAGTTTTTGGTGCTACATGTAAGTGTATTATAATATTATATTTCGCATTGTATTCACACTAGTTTTTACTTCTTATGTACAATCTGTTTGTGTATAAAGTTGATGAAGTACCCATGAAGGTAAAATCATAAAAATGGAGTACAATTGTAGTACAATGAGTACAATTGTAAAGGGCAATAAAAAAGCTTACCAATGATGCATTATACAATGTAATTTCTTATGTCTGAGTCTTTATATTATAGTATAACGGTAAAGTAACACACAGCAATTTTGGCAAAAAAACTCCAAGTTTAACTGGTTATATCAGCCCTTTTGAGAATGTTTATGTCAAATTAAGAAAATACAGGGCTAAAACGGTTCTTCTTCTGCCCTTATTTGGTAGTTAGTAAATCAGAGAACGCTCCAAGGTCAAGAACAAGAGCAGGAAAGACTTGAGGTGAAACCCCCTTAAGAGCCCATCGCGTTTCCCAAGTCGCGAATTGGCCAAATCTGGGAATGAGCGAGGCTTCGTTAGCGAGATACGGGCCTTTTCGGAACGAGGGCCCGAAAACGGGGGTGTGATAGGGGATAAATATCCGCTTCTTCAATTTTAGAAAAATGAAACTTTTGACATTTTTCGGCCTCCATGTTCTTAGAGTATACTCCGTGGGGTGTCTATTCTATTCCTACTTATTGCCTTCCATCAAATTTGCTCCGTTCTCGAGTTATACCTGAAATTGTGTTTTTACGATCAGCTGATCGCTTGCAGAAGTGGTCAAAACCTTTGCAGAAGTGGACTTTTCGCTGTCAAATACATCACCATATGAATGAAAACCAAGCAGAGGTTGGGAGGGATGTAACATATAACTTTTACTCACATGGATTATCATGTGAAAGTAGGATCTTAAGCGGTAAACAGCGCTTCCTGTGTTAGGTTATATGGGGCATAGGCGTGACTCGGAGATCGTATAATAATGATAGAACGTCCGCTTTTGAAGTTGGTGTGTTCAAGGAGTTAGATGATGTGTTCAAGATTTAAAATATCAATTTTTAATTGGTGTGATAGGGGAAGGGTTATACAAATTATTAAACATACAGAGATCGTCCTGCCTGAGCTGAAGAAATAAGTCGGTTTTTATTCAATGCTGAAGAGCACTTGAAGATATGGAGTATGAAGACAACACTACTAGCCAAATAAGGCGAATCGCTAATTAGCTCCTCACCTGAAATCAACCGGTGGGCATAGGTAAGTGTGGGTGTATCATCATAATTTACCCAGAAAGCTTGGTCTGCTCACAACAAAAAGCAAAATACAGGAGAAATAAAGCGATAAATAAAGTAAAACATGGATGGATCACGGTTCATTAGTAGTTGGGTGGTTCCTGTTGCTGGAATACGGATGTTGGGCATCGTTTTCTTGCTTGGTTTGATAAATAAGGCTACACGATCATACCACAAACAAAAGTTACAGTGAGCTACTCCGGACCCCTTGGCATGACAACGTGTGGTCATGTTGCTCTTTTGAACAACAGCCTCCCTCTTTGGTTATACACCAATGAAAAACGGGAGAGATGGCAATCCAAGTGGGTTGTCATGTACGAGCCTTGGACGGCTGAGCTGAGCTGTCCTATGGCTTAGGAGTCCACTACTTCTCTGTCTGGGAAGTTAGTGGCTCAAAAACTAGGGCCCTCCGCGGTGCCCTTAAGGCCGGTCTGGCCGCACCAGACTGTGCTGCCTGACGCCACGTAACACAACGTTGCATTATGTTAGACTTATAACAAAAATAAAGACAAATCTTCATTTATACGTTCATTTTACCCCACAATTTCCCTGATCCCTCTAGCCCTCCCCTCAATACCGTGTTTAATATTGTTTCGGCCTTTTATACCCCAAACCCCGCCTACACCCCGGCAAATCTTTACACTACTTCCATAGGAGATATCTCTCGTTCGTGGGACTTAAGTTCGATAAATTATGTTCATATACACCTGTGCCACAGGTGAGTGTAATTAACCTGAATATATTAAATGTTGGGCTAGTACACAAACAAGACCAGAGGAACAGATCATGGAAAAGTATTCTTTATTTCTTTCAAGTATGAGACATGGGCAGGAAGAGAAGACAATGGGTAATACTACAGAATATGAATTTCATTCTTACATTCATTCTAACCACTGCCACAAATTTGGCAAACATGAACAATAAAATGGCAAAAAGAACACTATCAATTCTAAAATGAAGGCTGCCTTCTTACATGTACATACATAGTGCTCACATGTTTGCCGCATGCAAGTCATGGCTAATATAGCAGGGTTTAGACAATAATACAAGAAGCACAGTCCGTCACTTTTCCCAACATTTATACTTAAGATAAGAGCCAGAATAAAGTTATATACAGAATTTGTTGCATGAATTTGCATGTATGTGAGACTTCCTTTAGTTTGTTCATCAACACTTGTTATGAACGGTTGTTTCCTTGACTTAAGGAAACAAAATCAGCAAATACCATATGGCAACACTGCGAACATTATAACAACTCTTTACTATGAAGTCCACCTCCTTAAGCGTAACACCACTTCTAAAGAACGCTTCTTTCACTCGTGGGCCGGACACAAAAACGGCCATTTGGGTAAATTATGTTGATATGCATCTGTAACACAGGTGATCATAATTAAGGCTGGATTGCTAAATCAGTACTAGTTAACCATGGGAATTTTACAGCACTCATATTTTAACACAGAATGTGTACATGTATATAGTTACGCATATGTAATCAACAGAATACATTGTACCTAGAGCTGTGTACCGGTACGCAGTACCGATACTGTACCGGAAAAATTGATTAGGTACAGGTCCAAAATACCTAATCCCTCAGTACCGGTACTGTACCTAAACAATTTCACACCAATTTTATGCCTATTTGTGACCTCAAATCGGTCCCTGTGTAAGGACAGTGTGTTCATGAAAACAAAAACATCTTTAGTTTTGCCTATATTTCATCTGAGCATTCGCCATAAACAAAGAATAAACCTTAACTATCAAGTTTATTAATTTTTTTTGTTATTGAAGGAGTTCAGAAGAGCATATAAATTGGTCGAATTGTTCAGGTACAGGTTCAGGTCCGGACCTGTACCTAAACCTGTGTACCTGTACCTGTACCTGTACCTAAAATTTGTTTAGGTACACAGCTCTAATTGTACCTGTATTTTTTTAACGTTTTATAACTTCAGCATGTCTGCAGTTCCCTTGAACTTCTGCACCAGTCCCTCAGCAGGAGGAATATGTCAGATCTGGCCATGGTTAATCGCCTGGACAAGCTCGACATCCAGCACTACAGAAACAGGCAGGGAGTGTGGTGGAATTAACTTTAATAACAATACCGACACATGTACAAGTATAACGTAATTTTCACAATCATGACAGAGAATCTCAGATAGACACGTTCACTTAGTCATCAGCAAAGTTATTACTTGAGGAGTAGAATGGCTCAACGTATCGAGGAATATAAACAAATTATAACGAAGGCATCACCGATAATATATATAGCCACCAACAGGGAAATTAATAAAGAAACTGTCCACAACCGACAGAAACGGAAGAAATCATTCACAAGTACATACCTGAGCGTCCTCACTTTAGCTGAAATGCAGCTAAATTTAGTAAAATCCGTCCGGAACTCCATCGAAACACGATCTAACATGCCGCCGGCTCACCTGGCGAAACTTTGTGACCTTTGACCTAATCTTCTTAAGCGCCGGCTAGCAATGCATGAAGGTACTACAGCTTCCTGGCCTCCAGCTAATGAAGCATGCAATGCTGCACATGGCCGTGACACGGTCTTAATTTAGCGCCGCCCAGTGGCGTGTTTCGGTACTGCAGTCCCTGGCATCTCACATTATGAATGCTGATGCCAGTGCCTGCAGTACTGAAATTGATCACTGGGCGGCGCTAAATTGAGACCGTGTCTGCGTCAAGTGCGTAATAACACGTACAAATGCATGTGTTTTCTTTCGTCAGAAACCGAAGCTTAATTTCCTCAGAACATGAAAAATATCACAATAAGGACACCGTTATTGCGTTGTTATCCAGCTAGGATAGCATATGTGTAACTGCGAAGGAAGGAAAGATCAGGAAAGGCTTTGGAAAGGAGAAATCGACAGGTTTTCCTGGCTACGCAGTTTCGCCGACTGGTGGTAAACAGGTGATTTTTCGGTCGTCTTTTTATACCTCCTGATTACCCAACTAGTACAAGTTATGTCGCCTGACGGTTAGGTGCTGGGTCAAAATCAACAAGAATCTAACCGTTAGGCGGACTTATCTTGTACTAGTTGGGTAATCAGGAGTTAAAAATAGACGACCGAAAAACCACCTGTTTACCACCAGTCAGCGTACAATTGAGTCACTGAGTGTGGTTGCCACGTATTCCTGACCGCTGTGGTGGTAACAATGTGGAAATTGGGTGGTTTTATCTCCTGATTATCCAAATAGTACAAGTTATGTTCGCCGGACGGTCAAATGCATACTGCAAATCGAAAGGTTTTCATCATGGCTACGTAGTTTCGCTGACTGGTGGTAAACAGGTTAACATTTGGTCGTCTTTTTTTTATCTCCTGATTACCCAACTAGTACAAGTTATGTCCGCCTGACGGTGAAGTGCATACTGATTCTGATGGCAGATATCAGTGACTGCAGTACCGAAACACGTCACTGGGCGGCGCTAAATTAAGACCGTGTGAGCGTTGGCCGTGACAATGGCTTTTTAATCCTGATTACCCAAATAATACAAGTTATGTTCGCCGGACTGATAAACCGTCTTAAACGTTGAATTATCGCTACTGCTATGTTACAACTGTTTGTAAAGAAACAAATATACTGCAAAGTGCAAATGAATCAGTAAACAGTCTGCTTTTCTGCAAATTTCTTTATTGGAAGCCTTTATTGAATGAACACTGTTTGTTACCATTTTGCTATCATTGTTACAAAATTACGAAAGCTAACATCAAACTACATGTAGTTTCCGCCTTCCTTTCTTCAATAAAAACATGAATATAGGAGGTCCTAGCATCTAATTGTCTTCTAAAGGCTAAAAATCTAAGCATACTCATCAGCTAACTTCACTGTGGTTATACATGTACATGTAGAGCACTTGCATATCTTTTTCTCTTGGAAATTTACATCTCATAATATAACACTATTGTAATGGAAATAAATTTAAAACATCGTAACATATGAGGGCTACATTATATGAAAAAAAAGGCAATTGCAGAAAACATTACCAGATGGACTGATTTGTGACATTAACTTCAAGAACTTATCGTTGAAGAGATTCATCAGTCACGTATAGTGCAAGTTCAGTAAGATAATTCTTTCAATCAGTGACTATTAAATCCTAAGGTACATACCTCCGAATTTTCGACGACTAGTCAGTTCGTCTTGGTCACAGAATGATCCTAGTCTCGCAAGATAACGCGAGACTAGGACGAGACTTGCGTGGATCTTCTGCCCCCCTCTGCCTCCTTGCGGAGTAGAGGTAGGTAGGTCATTCTGTGACCAAGACGAACTGACTAGTCGTCGAAAATTCGGAGGTATGTACCTTAGGATTTAATAGTCACTCATTGAAAGAATTATCTTACTGAATTCAAGAACTTAATACTTTAAACACTACAAAATTTCACTTATAATATAATGATTGTATTGCAAAAATCAAGCTCTGGTTAGTGTAGTCGTAATAATTAACATTAACTGTAGAAGAAATTAATTAAACAATGGTTTACAATTGCAAAGAGGTTCCAATCTTGATTAATAATACTTTCTGGACCAAAGTTCCCTAGCTTCTCAAATATTAGTTAATATACACAAACATATGCTGATTTTAAATTAACAGTCAGCACAAGACTAACAAACTAATTATGGCACTTAGAATTCCTTTTACATGACGTTTACTGAGGAAAAAATCTTCTAGCAAGACAACTCCAACTATTAGTAGCTTCGCTGTCTTGCATGCAGTCTATTTTGAAAACAAGTGAAACTATTCTTCCTTATTTGCTATTGATATGTCTAAAAGTTCTAGAAATACACTTGTAGTTTGCTGCAGACTACTAATACTTTCATCCTAAAACACAAACTTGTTTTACTACACAATATTAGAAGGATGTTGCTGTTCTCAGGTTATAAGGCTTAATCATCACACAGTATCCAGAAAAACATACTTTCAAAGCTGGAAGAATTTCTTACATCTGGTTTCATACTGGATATAACATTTACATCTGCCGATTCACAAGAAATTAACACCTTGGCATCCAGTATGAAAAGTAGCTGCTATAAAATAAGCTTTATGTATGGAATGAATGATCAAAGTATGAATGTTGAAATATTTTTCAGTTATTCCAGAAAGAGAAAATGAATTATAGGAATGTTTACCTCAAGTGGATAACTTGATGAAGATAATAGATGAGAAATGTTTTGTTTGTAGTATTATAAAAATGTTTGTAATGAGTTCTAATCAAACCCATGTCAACTTGGCACAAATTCTGAAAGCATCAAGCTTTCATCCAAACTATAACATTATTTGCTCGTACCTTAAATTATCATAATATTACTGTGAACACTGGTGAATTTGTACTGCCGAAATTCGTGGCATTCAGTTATTTTGTCTGTTAGTTCGTTAGTGGGCGAGTTTAAAAAAAAATGACAACTTTCAATCAGTGCATAGTCAGATTTTTGTCACATTTGACTTGAATGTGATTTTAAAAAAGTTTTTCTTTTTCAAACTGAAGAAAATTAATCTATATTAGATTTCATAAAGAAGAAGACTTAAGTTCTGTCTATATACATTGTATGACGTAACTGTAGTTGGCACAGCATAGCTTCAACATATTTACTGGAGAGAATGTTCAAGTTTTGATCATTTCACCTAGCACTTTCTCTGAATCTTTAGCTTGGTGTCTAGTCTATTGAGGTTAGGGTTGGCTCTCTTTAGGGCTGCCGAAGCTCTTCCCCACCCATCTCAACTAGGCTCCCTGGTAGGTTTTGCACAACAGGAGTTCAATAAGCGCATGTGGTGGGGTTACCAGTATCAACTCCTTCTATCATGAAAGTTCATCTGTGTTGGTAGTTACTTGTTTAAAGTTAAAACTTTTGGTCCAACCCAAAAACTTCTCTCAGCTAGAGCTTTTGACCAGTCACTCTGGTCAGTCTACTGAGAAAGACCAGAGTGACTGGTCGAAAGCTCTAGGTGAAAGAATTTTTTGTTTCAGACCAAAAGTTTTAACTTTAAACAAGTATCAACTCCTGTCATGCAAGACTCATACAGATGCAAAACTCCAACCGGGAGGCTTTTTAAGCTGGGTGGGGGAAAACTGCCTACAAGAGCCCAGAAGAGGTCCAGTCCCAACCATAACCTTCCCTGTACCTTAAGTCAGTACGGTCAGCACAATCTTGCCCTTGGACTTCTTCAAGATGGAGACTGCCTCCTCGTGGGTAACTCCTTCCAGGGGTTCGCTGTTCACGGCAACGATCTGGTCGCCACGTTTCAGACGGCCGTCTTCTGCCGCAGCACCCTGGAATGAATGAACCAATGGTTCTTATCTTATCTTAATATATAATTACTAAGCCAAGGTCCCGCGAGGGACATCGTGCTCAGGGACTAGGAGGTGCAGACCCAAGCTCGGCCAGTGGTGCTGTGGTGTATTCAGGTTAAAATCATTTGCAGCCATCTACATGTAACTTCTTTATCAACATAAGGCACAAGAACATTCTTGTTTTCTGGTGTCCTGTGGCACAACGGCAGAGTGCTCATCTCGGAACCAAGAGGTCCCAGGTTCTAGTCCTGACATGCCACCAATCTTGTGCCCATGGGAAAGGCACTTAACATGACTTTCCCCCCTTTACCATAGGTGAAAATGAGTATTGTCTGTCCTGTATTTGTTTCTATGCATGGGGCACAACACCAGCAACAGCTGCCCGCGTCCCATGTGTACATGTATTGTATTGTTACTAAATCAAAAATCAATGTCAATAAATCAAAAAAGTCATTCTAAAGGCTTGTGTTTAATGCAATATTATGACCTTACCTTGGCGAAGACAGTCTTGACGTAGATGGGGAGGTCTCCATGAGGACTGCCGTGCCCGCCCACGATACTGAACCCCAGGCCGTCGGGACCACGCTCCAACTCTATTGTCTTGTACTGGGTTGGGCTGAAATGTAAGAAACACTTCATGTTATATTATGATTTGTTTATAAAAATGCATGTAAATGTGTGTGAGAAATACATGATGAAAGCACACTGTGCAAATGGTGTGTTGTGTAATTGTGATAAAGCTAACTTATCCCTGGTGTGCAATGTGTCAAACATAGAAGTCTCTTGCAGTTTTCTGAACCCTGCTTTATCCAGATTGAACTTTGCTCAGGCACAGTTCTGGATAGTCCAAGCATATCCAGAATCCTGCCTGGGGCAAAATTACGTTCTTGGATACAGGGATACTATCCATAACTGTGCCTGATCCTAATCCTATCCAATACAGGCATGGAACTAGATAGGCACTGTTCTGGCATGGGCACAATATCCCTTACAAAACTTGTTCTGAACACACCATAAGTTAGAACTGGTCACATGAAAGGTAACACTCAGATAGAACATGATATTTGTCCTTACCCTCCCAGGTCGTCGTTGAAGTTGAGCGGAGAAGCTGATTCGCTGCTTGTTGCCATGACGTTAGCGACACTCGGGGCAGCGTCTCCTCCCGCCATGTTCGCCAACTCATCGCCCTGGGACACCTGTGAAATCAGAAATGTGAAAATTCAACAATTATTCTTCTACATTCATGGGTGGAAGATTTGTACTTTTCTTGAACAATGGCAGCTCTATCAGTGTGTAAGCAAAGGGACATACATGTACACTAACTTACTGGTATACACAAATACCGGACGTACATACATGTATACATTTGTAAAGCACAAAACTGGACTGTATGGGCTTGATAGATACAATCATGTATCTAATAAGCACAAAACAGTATGGTATCTTTCTTAGTTCCTTCTTCCATCAAGCTATGGCTCCAATCCTACATAATGTTAGAGAAAACCAGGCAATCAGACCTGGCAGACTTCACTCCATCTATGCAGGTCTGAAACAGACACACACTCAAACAGATGGACACAAGACATACAATAATGAATACTTCAACAATACTTCACTCCCCTTGGTTGAAGTAACTATTGATAAGATCTTCCATACCTCCAGCACGACCCTGCCAGTTGTCTGCATGAGCATGTTGACTGCCTGTGCGTGAGTCACCCCCTCCAGGGGCTGTCCATTAATGCTCAGGATGCGGTCTCCTACCTGTAAGGGGAAGTCAAGTGCAAGGTCAGTTACAAGGAATTTACTTATCTAATATCTATCTTGGGCAGATATGGGTAGTTCCTTCAGCTGAAAGGGACTGCTTTCCAGGGGGGCAGCCAATGATAAGGGATGCTGTCTCTTCAAAAGAACTTCAAACCTAAGAAATTAAACAAAACATATCATAGCAGGAGTCTCTTCAATAGATATAGCTCTAAACAAAAAATGGAGTCAGATATGAAGCCTATGCATGGTACAATATTTTTAAAAATGGTTGATGCTAGAGATTCCACCAATGATTCCAAAATCACATTCTCATCCCATACTTCTAGCTTGGTCCTGTGTAATTTATATATAACTGGCTTAGATTGGCAGAACACAATAGTACTGTTGTTTCCTCTAGCTACACAGAAACGCAGTTATACTGGTGGACTGATCATGTTCAGAATAAACTGATACAAGTACGACATCTCACCCTGAGTTTCTGTGTCTGTGCGGCCACCCCGTTAGCCTGCACCATGGTGATGAAGATAGGGACGTCCCCCAGGGGGCTCCCCACCCCCCCTGCGATGCTCAACCCCCTCTCCCCACCCCCCTTTCGATGCTCACCCCCATACTACAGTTCTAATACTACTGTTGTTGACAATAGTAGATTGTACATTGTACCTTTGTAATTGTTGTTCAATAAAGTTTATTTATGAATGGCTTAGCTAGGTATATAATATAATAACACAGATCACCAGCTATACAGAAAAGGTAGTTATACTGGTTGACCAATTAGATACAGAATATGATACAGAAACTGCCATCTCACCCTGAGTTTCTGTGTCTGTGCGGCCACACCGTTGGCCTGCACCATGGCGATGAAGATAGGCACGTCACCCAGGGGGCTCCCCACCCCCCCAGCGATGCTCACCCCCAGAGAGTCTTGAGGCCCCTTGTACAGCTCCACCATACGCACACCCTCTGGGGGGAGGTCCACTGAGTCTACTGCTAAAACACAGAGAAGATTTGTCAGTTATTTTTGGTGATATCAAAATTTTATCAAAACTGGGGGTTAGGAGAAGTCAGAGAACTGCGGCCCCTTGTACAGCTTCACCATCAGAACCACCTCTGGGAGGAAGTCTTCAGCTAAAGGGAGGAAAAGTTGGTGTCATTTCTTTGGGGATTGAGATATTAGGTCAGACATTAGGGGTGGAAAACAGTCACCAGGGGGCTGCCCACCCCCCCAGCGATGCTCACCCCCAGCGAGTCTTGTGGCCCCTTGTACAGCTCCACCATACGTACTCCTTCTGGGGGGAGGTCCACTGAGTCAGCGGCTAAACAGAAACGCAAGATTTAACTATACATGTATAAACACATTTGTGTACCTAATTTTTGATGCAAGGCACTACAGTTTTGTACACTAATATAGCATATTTTCACCAGTGCCCATATTCCAATATATGAATTTCAAGCCACAAAGTGTCACCATCAAAGAATTATTCCTAGAACTGAATCAATCTAAAGTTTCCATTCCATTTTACAACTTTTTTCTTGGACAAAATGCTTCGATGCAAGCACTGAGATAGAAGTACTAGTACATGTTGAAACAATGTACCAGTCCTGTATTTACTTGCAGTTCTGTATCTTAGTTTCTTTAAGGTGTGATTTGCCTTCTATTTAAAGATCTACTCCTTTCAATACTGTACTGCTGAATTTATACTGCCTACTACAAGACTTAACTTGCCTGTGCGTTTATAAAGATGACAATGGATCTGAAAGAACAGTGAATGTACATATCATGATTGAAAAATTTACAGTAGCCTACCGCCAGCCACCCTCCTGGGCCCTGTGATGATGCCAGCCCGGTCCATGCTGCCTGTGGACCCAGTCTTGTCCAGCGGGTGGGACAGGCTGCTGGAACTGGCCATGGAGGTCCTGCGGGAAGCCTGGGAGCTAGCCTTCAGCCGCCCTATGGTCAGGACTACCGTGCCTTGGGCAGTCTGGAAAAACAAACAAAATCATATCTATAAATAATTATATTGAATACTAGCCATTGAAGTCCTGCAGGAAGCCTGGAAGCCAGCCTGTAGTCAGAACTACTGTGCCTTGGGCAGTCTGGAAAAGACAAACAAAATCATATTTATCATTATATTGAATACTGGCCATAGAAGTCCAACAGGGAGCCTGGAAGCCAGCCTATAGTCAGGACTACTGTGACTTGGGCAGTCTGGCAAAAAATAATTTAGTATCCTGTGATTAAGTAAGATCATATGCAATGGGCAAACGTTTGGTGCAATGTTGACCAAACATCCAAAGAGAACCCTGAAAAATCAAGGTTTCAGGCAGGGTACTGTACGTTCTGCCGACATTATAATATCAGACCAGTGAACTAATCTTAGCCTGACACCTACATGTAGCAAACCTACCTTGAGCACAGCGGCAGCGTTGTCCTGTGTTGCACTCCTCATGTCCTCCCCGTTCACACTCAGGATCTGGTCTCCCTGCATCAGGCGGCCATCTTGTTCTGCCACCCCGCCCTTCACTACATCCGAGATGAACACCCCAACATCATTCCTGAAAAGGACAACAAGAATCATTCATGTACATGTACACTTTGCACAAGAAAGCTAGAGACCCAGTAGTGCTTCTTTGCTGAAGGGTTCTACCTTGGAACAGGAACCAGAACACTGTTCTATCTTGGAACCAGAACACTGTTCTACCTCAGAACCAGAACACTGTTCTACCTTGGAATCAGAACACTGTTCTATCTTGGAACTGGAACACTGTTCTATGTTGGAACAGGAACAGTGTTCTGGTTTCGGAACACTGTTCTATCTCGAACCAGATCACTGTTCTACCTCAGAACCGGAATTACTGTACTAATGTTCCAACTCACCTCCTGCCAACAATGCTGAGGCCGAGTCCCTTCCCGATTCGTTTCTCCAGTTCCACAGTGAAAACGTCATACAGATCCTCCTCCTTGTACTGGTTCTCATCCCGAAACACATTACACAACAGAACAAACAAACAAACAAACAAAAGGTTCCATCTCACCTCCTGCCCACGATACTGAGCCCGAGTCCCTTCCTGATGCGTTTCTCCAGTTCAACAGTGAAAACGTCGTATAGATCCTCCTCCTTGTACTGGTTCTCATCCCGAAACAGAATCAGCCAAACAAACAAACAAACATACAAACAAAAGGTTCTATCTTTACCTCCTGCCCACAATGCTGAGGCCAAGCCCCTTCCCGATGCGTTTTTCCAGCTCGACGGTAAAAACATCGTACAGGTCCTCCTCCTTGTACTGGTTCTCATCACGAAACACGATCAGCCGAACGCGGGACGGCGTCTGGCGGAGAACGTTGATGGCATGGTCGTGGGTCGCATTCCTCAGGTCTTCTCCATTCACCTGGTGAAATCAATTGATTCATTTGCTTTTTCTTACCATGCAAAGACATGACAAGCTGATGCAACATACAGCTGTTATACCAGGAAACAGGATAATCAACAACTTAAACTCAAACATCATGCAGCAAGTCCACCATATGTAGACTTGGTACTGTCTTGGCAAGTACATTGTACATATCAACACAGACACGAGCTCAAGTTCTCTAAGTCAAAGCATCAACTGTTTAGAAGCTATATTACTGTGTTAATTCATTTTGTGTTTGTTCAATTCTATCTGGTTCTGAGCAACATAGCAACTTTGATATGGTCTTTGAGCAGGAGCAAACATGTGCAAGAAGTTATTGTACCGGTAACTGTTACTACATTTAGTACAACACTTGACACATACCTCGAGTATCTGGTCCCCTGCCCACAGTCTGCTGTCCTTCGCTGCTGCCCCTTCCTCATAAACCTCATGGATTATAATGGCACCCTGGAAACAAGGAAGAAACCCTAGTTTGAATGTTTACCTTCGCATATGGCATGCTCTGTTAATTCTTACTCAAACACATTCATACATTATGGTGACAGGAGTCTAAATCCCTCCTACTAGTACTATAAAATTGCAACATGATGTAATCCAACACCAGTTACCATGGTGATAGACTGTGAAAAAAAATGACTGACCAGTAGTGTGTCCGACCCCCCCACAATACTCAGTCCCAGGCCCGTCTTGCCCTTCTCAATATCGATGACTGTGATACGGCCGGGGATGATGGGACAGGTGCGGGGGTCCATATGGTCAGGGTGGTCCTGAGGAGGCGATGACTCCTCCAACTGGTCTTCCTCTTCTTCCTGATGCTGTTCTTCAAATGGTACTCCGGACACTGGGAAAAAAACAACTGATGTCTTAGACCTTAGTCATATCACCAGAAATAAAATAAATGACACAAGTCACTCAGTCTATAAAACATTTTTACTTTGGAAAACTGCTCAACTGCTCAACATTGTTCTACCTCAAAACCAGACAATGTTGTTCTTTGGAACACTGTTCTACAGTGTAATTCAGAACACTGTGCTATTTTGGAACACTGTTCTATTTCAGAACACTGTTCTATTTTGGAACACTGTTCTATTTCAGAACACTGTTCTATTTTGGAACACTGTTCTATTTCAGAACACTGTTCTATTTTGGAACACTGTTCTATTTCAGAACACTGTTCTATTTTGGAACACTGTTCTATTTCAGAACACTGTTCTATTTTGGAACACTGTTCTACTGTGGAACACTGTTCTACTTCAGAACACCATTAGAGGACTGACTGACTTTATGAGCAGTGTAAACATATGAGGGAAGTTGTACTAGGCCTAGAAAAGGACAACTGTTACAGTGTATCACAGTGTCTTACCAACTCTTCCAAAAGACTGCTACCGTGTTAAGTTGGATGCACAATTTGGGTGGCAGTCAGTGACAACCAGGATTCAAACCCTCAACCTCAAGTTCAGTAACCACAGAATCACGGATGGAAAAGTAAGAAGTCTCACCCGTGATCTCGTCCACAATCGGTGCCTGGTCCAGCCCTGTCTGAGTGACCGGTGCATGGTTCACCTGTGTAGGCTGGATGTATGCCGGCTGGTCGGTGGGGATGTAGCGACGATTATCGGAGCAAACCGTCAGCCTCACTGTACCCTGGGTCTTCCTTAGGATACCTACAGCCTGGAAACAAGACAATAAGTTATGATTTTACATTCAATAAGATTGAGTCTTTTAATCCCATCTATAGTTTCAAAATATTGTCAGAAAAGATGTTGTATGTAACAGGTAAAATTCTGATGCAATGTTTGCCAAACACCCTACGAAGACCATGAAAAATCCGGGTTTCGTGCAAGCACAATATGTTCTGTTGTTATCCTTAACGTGCGTACCTTGTCCCCCCAATGACTAGCTGAAGACTCTTGGTAGGTGCATGTACTGTATAATTACATGTACGTGTAGGTAAGATGAGGACTAACCTGGTCGTATGACAGTCCCACCAGTGACTCATCATCCACACCCAGTATCTGGTCTCCCATCTGCAGACGGCCATCCTGAAAAGAAAAAAACAATAGCCCTTAGCCTAACTACTGAAGGATGTCAGCATCAACCCCCTGTGCTTGGCCAAATTCTAGAGGACATAACACCATTAGCCTTCTACCTTCTATCTAATCTAGCAATGGTATGGGTCGAAAAAGAAAGGTATATGTACATAATATGGTCCCAATGATTCACATCAAAACAATCTTTAACTCTTGCTTGATTGCCAATGATAAGGTATGTATCTCCACTGACCTCATGTGCTGCGCCCCCGTCTGTGATGTTCTTGACAAATATCCCGGGGTCTCCTGTACTGATGTCACGCCCCTCACCTATAGCAAACCCCAGGCCAGTGGGGGTCTGGGGGAAGCAAGAGAACACCATGTCACAAATACTAGAAAACTCTTCATATAAAATATGTACAACTTATTACACAGTACAAAATATATTGTGTATGTACAGGTATATTGTTGTAAGCTGTGGAGAAGATTTAGAGCTGAATGAAGAGACTCTTTTTACATAAATTCAGCCAATGTTTTGGTGACTGCCTGTCACCTTTCTCAGGGCAATTCTGACTGGATCACATTGCACAGCAAAAGTGTCGCTGCTACAGATGCATTCCCTTCTTTAGATGCAGCTATATCAGCAACCTGTGCTACAGTGCAATGTGAACCACTCAGAATTGCCCTGAGAAAGGTGACAGACGGTCACCGAAACGTCGGCTGAATAAAACACTTGGTTGTGTAAAAAGAGTCTTTTCATTCAGTGACTTACCAACCTGATGAAACTATTTACAGAAAATTAAGAGCTGTCGAGCAACTGTTACAGCGACTGACCTTGGTGAGTGTGATGACCTTGACATTGTCATAGGCGCTGTAGTACACTCCAGACTCCATGGGATGGTCCATTTGGGAGGAGGGGGGCTCCTCAGCAGGGTGAATACCATTCAGACCATTCATCTTCTGAAACAATGCAGATACAGAAAAGAATGGCAGTTAGTATTACCAGTACTGACTATAACTGAAGCCTACTCCCCATCCTTGGGCATTAAGGCCACAGACATTTTATGTTGCTGGACTCCAGGAAGAATAGTGATACTTAATGACTATATTGCTTGCACAAGCAAAATTTTGGTTTTCTGAACATAAGTGATGCATACCGGTTCACTGGACTTGGATCCGGACTTGTAAGAATGTTTAGGTTCAAGTCCAAAAAAACCTAAAAGTCAAGAACCGAGTCCGGACTTATTACCATAAAAGACCATTTCACATACCCCTTTTCTTTCCAAACCACCTAAAACCTTCCGTAGATTGTAAAATCTTTGCTGAAAAACGAACAAAACATTGCCATCGGGCATCATCAAGTGTCGGCCTCCATGTTATGTTGCCAAAGTATCACCCAGACAACATTGCAAGGTTGCCAATATGCAATTTTGTATGTGTCATGGGTAATTAGGTCCGGACTTACAAGTCCGGAACTGAACCTAAACCTCTGGACTTGAATCCGGACCTGAACCTAAAATTGGGTTTAGGTATGCAGCACTACTGAACATATTAGGCAATGAGACACAGAGGATAGAGTACAGTCTCCTGGGTCTGGTAATTGAACCCTGGCCGCAAGCTCACGAACCAAACAAACTAACCTCTAGGCTAAAAAGTATGGATCTATAATACTGGTCAGTTTGTGGCACTTGAACCCTACTGTTAAAACAACAAAGGTGTGCAGTACTTACCATGGTAGGCTCCATGCTGGGAGGCACAGGACTGCCTGGATGGGAACTCTCACCATCCTGAGGGGAACAGTTGCTTTATGTTATTGACAATCAAGCTGTGAATGCTGCAGCACATGTAGTAGCCTGACACTTTTTCTAGTCTCCAAACAGATGATGCAGTGGCAAGGCAGTATCCATATTGGCCAGAGGAGTGTCCATCAGTCACCTAGTCCTATGGTGGCTAATGGACAATGGATACTGCCTTGCCACTGTATAATCTGCTTGGATATTAACTTTTTCAATAACTAAATTATCATGGCAATTGTGCGTTACCATCAATAAGCTGTGGAATGCTAGGGCACGGTGCCAGAAATGATAAACTGCTGGTTGGTTCTTCAGTGATGGCAAGATCGTCATTACATCGCGCGAATCATAAATTTTATGATATATACAATGTATTATAACTGTTATTGTTACAATATATTGAAGCAGAGAACAGGCTGAAAGTTAGAGTAAGAATCAGGGTTAATAGAAAAGTGCAGCATATAGAAGATTGTGGTGGATTGGGATGAAGGTTTGAGTGAGTTAAAAGGCAGAGGTTTTGTAACGTACATGTACATGTACATTGTCTGTATAGCTTTTGAAAAGTGCTGGAGTGTGATCAGGCATGTGCAGGAATTCTAGAAGCAAAGCATGCAGAGTGCGAGAGGGGTAGCCTCTACCAGGCTTCAGGAGGCAGATGGAAAGAGTAGAAATTGGCCAAATAGTCAGAGATAACATGCCAGGGGAGTTGGTTCATTAGGGAGTAGGGAGCGGCAAAATGTACTCTCTAGCGAACCAACTCCCCTGGCATGTTATCTTTCTCTACTTGGCCAATTTCCACTCTTTCCAGCCGCCTCCCAAAGCCTGGTAGAGGCTAGGGGTGGATTGGGGTAGAATGAAAGTTCAACCTGTCCCAGGAGGCTGACGGAAAAGTCCGGAGAAAGGAAAGAGCTGACCCTTCGCTGGACAGCGTCCTGGCTGCCGGGGTCAGAGTAGAACTGGGGGAGGGAAGATGGTGAAACAAAGATTTGGACATTTTAGGTTATGTTACAGTACAAAAACGTACCTGTAACCGTAACAAATTGTAGGTTAAGTTTATTAGGTACAGGCCTGGACCTGTACTTGAACAACTTTTAGGTACACAGATACACAGGTTTAGGTACAGACTCAAACCTGTACCTGCACAGGTATCTGTACCTGTACCAACATGTAAACAAGTTATACAATTATACTAGCCTACTGTGTTTTTTAGTGGTAGATTTTTGTCTTGTAGTTGTCGTGAACTGAATTGTTGGCATGAATGTTTATGTTAAGGATGAAGTTTGGCATGAAAATCTAGATATGTTGGTGAGATACATAATTTCACAGATTAACCTATAATACTGGACAATAAAGAAACTAAACACCACTCTTACCTCTCCAGATGAGTTGGTGAGGAACCTGATAGGAGACATGGACAGGGAGTTGGCTGCCTCATCACTCCTGCAGCAAGGCATCAAACAGGAGAAAAAAACTTTCAAAAATATACTTGCAACTTTGAGCACTAACACACCCATATACATTGTACATTGTGTACACACAGTAGGAAAGCTTACAACTAATTAACATTGGCAGAGTCCTAATGCTTGTCCAATTGTTAAAGGTTATTTAGTGTTGATGCAATGAGTCCCATTTGCACCTACATGTAGTCTGAACTGGCATGCTAGAAAATGGGGCTGTACTATCATTATGTACCAATAATACAAACATGCAAGCGAATTAAATGTACCTGAGTAAGACAATCTTGACGACCCCAGGTGGGATGCTCTTGATGACCTGAGAGGCGCTGTGGTGAGTTCGGCCGTACAGCACCTCTCCATTGATCTGAGATAGAAAGTACAACATCAATATCTACAGTTTGGTACATAAAATATTTTCTCATCATTTCTGTTATCATCATTGCTTTACAAGTACATGTGACTGTATGTTTTTTTTTTTCCATTCATTTTGTGAACCTACATTGTACCTCCAGCAGTTTGTCCCCAACTTGTATCCTGCCGTCCTCAGCTGCTGCCCCGTCCGGCGCCACCCCCACTACAAAAACACTATTGCGCGTACGGTCACGGTTTCCCGCCAGACTCAGGCCCAAATTAACAAGACATTTCAGCTACTTGCTAGTAAAATCTCATCAGGGATCTCCCCAGGGAATCATAAGGGAAGAGGTGCTCCCTAGTTGGTTGATGAAAAATCATAAAATTTTCAATAAATATGAACATTTGGAAGAGCGGTGCTAGGATTTTGGACCAAGGGGGAGCACCCTTGCTTCATTACTTGGGGAGAGCCCTGCGAGTCTTCATAATTGTGACCTTACCTCCAGTAGTTCGTCCCCGACTTGTATCCTTCCATCTTCAGCTGCTGCCCCGTCCGGCGCGACGCCCACTACAAAAACACTGGTGCGCGTACGGTCACGGTTTCCCGCGAGGCTCAGACCCAGCCCACGCTCTCCCTTCTGCAGCTCTACGATGTGCAGTTCACCGTTCAGGTCTCCGTAACGCTTCTGTACTGTCTCTGTTTGTGGGAAAATATTAGGGCTTTATGTTACAGTAGTAATTTGTTGTAACAGTTATAATTCTGTTACTGTAACAGTAAAACATTTTGTTATTTAAACCTGCAAGTGTCAGACATTAAGATTCTGATGTGAAGTAGAACAGCAAATTATCTACATTTGTACATTGTAGTTGGTTACTACACTCCCAGGTTTAAAATCTTATTATAACTAACATAAGCCAAGCATATTGATACTGGTACCATGGCATGACGTATTTTGTTTTTATGTCTCACAGACCTTATCACAATTCTACATTTAGTCTCATATTATCTGAACCCTTGCACTTTCTTAATCTTTACTGTATGTACATGTACCTTTAGTAGAATAAGTCAACTTCACAGAAAACAAGACCATAGTATAACCATGAGGTAAAATAGAGGAACCAAGTTGAACATGGAAAAGTTAGTACTGACCTAAACCTGAAAAGCATAATATTAATAACTGTAACATGATTCTTCATTGGACACTATATGACTACAAATTTATGTAACTTGATATAAGTATTTCATACTATCAAAATTCCCTTTTAGTACTAAACAGGGCCCCTTTTATCATTAATAATTGAATCCTAAGAGAATTAATCAAGAGGGCTGTGTCAAACACCAACCTATACAGTTACCATGTAAAATTGTGGAAAATATGGGACCCTTCAAAGCTGTAAGGCCATTCAGTTAACTTTATATTGCACTGATGCCCTTCACTATAGCTAGTTTAAATCATTTGTAAGATGTAATTCCTGCTTCTAATGCCATTTAGAAGAGAGTTTAGGAACAGAAGTACTATGATGTGCCATGTAACAATGGCAGTGACACAAAGGAACAGCTACACATATGGACCACAGACAGTTGAGAATGCTAAGTGTGTGGGTACAGTACATGACCGTATATACCTTGTGTGTTAAAGTGTCAGAGGCCTGCTTTACACATAACTTTTTCAAGTCGACTAGAACTCAAGATGACTTGAGCTAGTCGACTTGAGCGAAAATTTCCCTGTGTAAAGAGAAATAATTCAACTCAAGTCGCATTCTAGTAAAGACGACTTGAGTCGTATACAAACCAGACTTAAGTCGGCCAGCGGGTTGCCAAGTCCGCTAGCTTTGCGTGTGTAAACGGGCGAAGTCGACTTGAGCGTCTCTGCGTAGTAGTAAGGCAAGACCGAGCCACCGAGTCTACTTTGGGGGAGGGTGGCACAGCGGGAGTGCTTTGCGGTCTCGTGTGCAAACAGAAATTTTTCAAGTCGACTTTGCCGAGTCGACTTAGAAATGCTGTGTGTAAAGCGGGCCAGAGTTACCTCTGTGTAACCTGTGACAAGCATGACTTTCTTTGCTTCTCAGAAAGAACTGTGAAGTGCAGTGGCTGAGTGAGTTGTGTAATGTGAATGTTTTACTTCAAAATGAGAAAGATTTGTGTAGTAGTGCTGTGGATGATGAGTGTCGCCAGAAGAGAATCAATGCTGGGACTAAAACATAAGAAAACAACAGTTAGCAAGTGAGGTGTTCTACGTGTAGATGAGGTGGGTAGCAGTGGGTGGGATGAATAGCATAAGCTACATGTACCTTGTGAACAGATGTAGGTGCAGTACAAAACTGCTAGTTGTTACCAGTTTGTCACCTGTCACAAATGAAGGAACAATAGCAAGTGAATAATAGTGAACAATAGCAAGTGTTCTACGTGTACAATGTAGATGAGGTGGGGTGTAACTTAAAGATTTGGGTGGGATAATCTTAAAGGAGCAGGAAGAACATCCCACCATCCATGGACAGCTTCTCCTGCAGCACCTTGACCTTGGGGCTGACATCTGTGGCCTTGGGGAGTCCCCGTCTCAGTCCTGCACGCACGTCTTCTAGGGCTGGGCCAAGAACAATGTTTCCTTAGGGCTTATCGTTGCTTGTAATGTAAGATGTGTTACATGACTGTGTGTCCAATGTCTATTATATTTAGTCTTACTGGTGTGTTACGCTGAAGAGCGGTTATACCGGCTATACAGATACAGATACACCAGTTTAGTGTTTCATCAACAGTTACTCATGCCATCAGTGACACAAAGAAAAATCCTAGTATACAATATGCATTACAAGTCAGGCGCAGAAATGGTAGATGCTGTTATAAATTATATAGTTATAATAATAAAATGTATCTAAATCCCTTACGCTTTACAGGTAAAGAGGAATAATAATCAGCTTTAGCTCTTATAATTCATCAAGAACAATGAACAGCATACCACAGAAACCCTTTCTGTAGGCATGCAAGTCGAAGCACTAAGTATGGGATTCAAACTCGTGACCAGAACCACAAGACAATGCACTTACATGTATAAAAGAAGTGAGAAAAATGCAAACTCACCGACCCTACTCCACACCCTTGCCATACCAATCAGATGGGCCAACAACTGAAACATTGTCACCCACCACCCAAATCCACCACTACAATAAAGCACTAATCCGTAAGATACTGCCTATTGTAACAGCTTAAGCCCTGATCTAGCCTGATGGAGAGAACAGTTCAGTAAATGGAAGTGTGTTGTTTAGTGTGTGTCTGACATGTATGTCCTCACTGGGACTACTGAGCTAATTGAAATGCCCCATATAAGGTGACAAGGGTCTATTGATGTTTACTGGTCATAAACTGTATGTTGTGTTATTGTGGGTTGTGAAAAATTTGTTGAGTTTGGTTCAATGCTTCTCCCTTTTGCACAACAGCAAAGTTTCAAGCTCATTTTGGACTGGAGTTTTTGAAAACACAAGACAGTCAAACCTGTAAACATATGCTGCAAGTCTTGCTAGAACAACCTGTCAAATATCATAGCTAACAGTTTTTGTTTTTTTCCTATTACATGTAATCCAAGCATTATATAATTTAAGATTCTTGTCTGTAGAGGCAATTTTTTTGGTCCCATGCATGTTTGCTTTGATTGTGACAGGTTCGACTGCTATGATTTAGTTTTTGCAACATACACCTCTACCCTTGGCTAGGTCCTCTACGCAATTTTTCCCATTATGCATCACATGGTTGAATTACAGTACCTGTCAATGACTCAGAGAGAAATCAATCTTTTCCCACATTGATTGAAGCATGGTGGACAGTGGAAGGTAATATGTCAGAGTCATAATGAGTGGTCTTTGACAGGGAAACATTTGCCAGCGTGGCCTAATTTCCACTCCCAGTGATTGCTCTTTGTCCTGACCAATAAAATCTAGACCATTATTATTATGCAAAATGTGACTACCTTTATTCCTAACTGTGTGAGTAATGAATAGCAAAGTTCTTTGATCACAACCATTAATTTTTTTACGAGCCGACGTTTTGAGATGTTACTTAGTGCACTATGAACCAATTATTGTAACACCTTTAGTGCACTATGCACCAAGTACATGTAACATCTAGCGTCAGTGCACAGTAAACCAGTCAGAATTGCCCTGATGAAGATGACAGACGGTCATCGAAACTTCGGCTCATAAAAAAGAAATGGTTGTGATAAAAAAAAACTTTGCTAATTCATTCGTTCACCAACCTGATAAAATTATCTATGGATGCGTGAGTCATGTTTTTTATTCAAAGAAACAATACAAAGGAAAGGACAAAGACAAAGTGGCGGTTAACAAGTTGTGCACAACTTATATTCTAGCCGCCACTTGTACACTGAAAATGAAATGCTTGACAAGTCACTAAAAACAATACACATAAAAGCAATGGCTTTGATGAACGTGAGTCCACCCCCCTCCCCTTATTTAATCCTACATTTTCCTTAAGCCTCATAAGAACCCAGTTATAACTAGTTCAGACTTCAACTCTGAAGACACTTTATTGAAGACATTAAGTACAAGGCAGATACTGGCCAACTTTAACATCCATTTGCATTGACTCTACACGTATAAAGCTGTGGCTTTAGCTCCAAAATAGCTCCTTGATATCGGTGAGTCATTAAAAGTTACGTTACACTACTAGTAGCTAATATTTCACAACTTGACATTATCAAAACATACACCAAGTCCTAGAATTCTTCACAGACTAGTAAAACCATACACCTTTTGTGTTATACTTAGTATATTCAACAGTTCAAGTTAGTAGTAACTTCTTGACTGTAGCAAAGACAACGTTACAACTGTTACTAACAGTTAGTGTAACACTTTTTCTTCTTATAGACCAATTTACTCCCATAGTACTACCCAATGCTCATAGACACTTTACCTACAAGACTAACTAGATAGAAAAATCTGACCTACAACCGTTGAATGCACCAAACATGTACATTTGTAGTCACTGTCACTGTCATGTAGCCATGTGGTGGCAGTGGTAAAATACTTCTGTCAGTAACACTGAGTAATGTACTTTGTTAAGTTGAAAAATTAATAAAAATGCCAAAACTTTGTGACTACATGTGTGGTACAATGTGGTAGCAATATGAAAACCTACTACTACTAACAAATAATTATTGTGTGAAATGCCATGATTGACTATTTTTGTGTAATGAAATTAATTCAGCAATTGTCAAGCTTTAATATTCTGTAGATAAGTAATACCTACATTGTCATCTGAGGTTTTAAGGACAAACTGAAAGTATGAGAAGTCATTGTTTACTCTTCAACTTAAAAGCTTGTAGTTATCACACTGAATTATAGCTGGTCATGATTCAAATTAGTTAAAATACCTCAATTAAAGGTGAAAGATACCTACACATAAAACAGTTACAGAAAACAAGTATCTCAACTAAACAAAAAACAAATGGCAGCTACAAAATTATATTGTCTACAATTAAATTAGATAATACTGTGGTTAAAGCCATAAAATGTAATAAATAAAACTGGCCAAACTCAAAAAGCAACAAAATTCTCTGCAACTGAAGTAAAACTATCAAGCCACTGGCATTAATGTGTAAAATCATGAGTAATACTCATAGCAGCAATCAACAATTAAAACAACTAAATGTGTTTTCAGTAATCTATCTGAAATTCTACTTTCTGAGTCTTTCTGCAAGGCATACTCAGCCATAATGATTTTGTGACAATACAACACAAAGCATCAGTGGTTGGTTGAATGAATTCAATGTACAATGCTGTGTAACTACTGGTCATGTTTTTCAATGAGTGCTGTGAGTTGCTGTCTAATTCAAAACGTACAACCCAGTGTAACCACCATGCAAAGTCCCCAACAGTGGATGTACAGTTACTAGTACTTATTTCTACTTATCAACTAAGATGGCAAATACTGGCTGAAAGTAGTCTCTAATCAAATCCTGCTGGCCACTCGGAATGAGAGGAGCTCAAAACACGATTCTCCTCTTTTTAAGTACATTGATTCATTATATAATTTATAATCATTATGTAAGATTCTACAGCTAGCTTTGTCAAGCTCTCTAAGTTACTAGTCCCAGTCTAAGTGTTACGTTACCTCTTGCTTCTTGATTTTTTTCCAAATCTAAAAGAATTTCAAGTTTCTAATAGATAGCCTCACTACACGGAATGACAAGACCTTTTTTTACACAGAATTACAGTTACTCATCATTTAAGAAAAAACTTTTCTTCTTCAAGACAGTGAAACTTCTCTTTCTAAAACTCTTCATCTTTAAGTGAAAGTTATCTTCATCTTTAAGACAGTGAAACTTTTCCTAAGACAGTGAAACTTCTTTTGTCTAAGATAGTGAAAGTTCTATGACTTCTTTAAAAACTTAAGACTCTTCATCTTCATCTTTAAGTCAAAGTTCTCTTCATCTTTAAGACAATGAAACATCTCCTTTCTAAGACAGAAAGTTTTCATCTTTAAGAAACTTCTCTTAAGTGAAAGTTCTCAAGTTCTTCATCTTTAAACTTTTCCTTTCTAAGACAATGAAACTTCTCCTAAGACTCTTCATCTTAAAGTGAAAGTTCTCTTCATCTTTAAGAAACTTCTCCTCTCGCAGGGATGCAGGATGGGTGCAGGGGTCTGCTGCCACTCAGGCTCCTGCAGAGGACAGTGGGAGCAGCAGGGTACAGCGCAGAACAGGGGTAGAGAGAGCACAGCAGGGAACGAGGTAAGACAGGAGGAGAGAAGAGAGAAGAAGAAAAAACATGACTTCAGTGAGGTGCATGGAAATATGTTTGTATGATATATAATAACTAATAATCACTTTAATTTTTGGGAGAGGATTATTGAAAAGGAACGATCACAATTAAATGCATGCACAGGAAAAATTAATCAAAACCTGTCGTCCTGATTCTTTCAAACAATTACGATTATCAAAATTTCAAATTTTGAAAACAGTACGGATGAGATTGGCAAAAATAAGTTCATCAGCAAAGATGTTATAGAGTTGGTTAATTTCTTTACATAAAAAGCAGAGAGTATTTAGTTAGTAAGCCGTAGATGCTCTAGTGGTTTTGTTAAAAGAGATTTTTAAAAACTACATTGAAAGACAGAAAGACACCCCATAAAAATTAAAAAGCTGTGCATGGAGCTACCGGTATCAATAGTTACATGACATTGTGTAACTCTCATTTGTTGTAGAAAGTTATTGATACAGTAAATATCTACTTTGAAAGAGTGGGCAGCTTTAGCAAAGATAGTTGTAGTGGCATGAATTCGTGAGGGAAAAAGAGAAAAAGATGTGGCAGAAAAAAAACAATGGAAGGAGAGGGCTGCAGGACACTGCTGTTTTCTTCAGCAGTAGTGCTAGTGGTGGGGTTAGTTGTTCAGCCGGACACCTTAGATTTTTTTATAATTCTCCTACACATTGTAACTGTCTTTAGTTTTCAAACTTGTATCATTATGATACTAACAAAATAGTCAAACTTTTAAAGGGTGGTATGGTATACAAATAACCTTTCGAAAGCACCTTTCAAATATTTCATCTTTATGGATACAACCAATCAACTATGAGCTGCTTTTGGTTTATGAACCTACATTGTTTGTAAGCTTTCTCATTCCACTAACTTAAAGATAAGATACTGAAGACAATTGTATCTCCCTGGAGAGGTATTTCATCTAGTTTAGAAAGAAGCCACACCAAAACCACTATATAAATTTTAAAAAAGCTTTTTATAGTTACGGTAAGGAAATTGAAAGTAACTCTGAGTCATTAGTCAGATTCCTACCAGGTAACCAAGGCTTGTTTCACCTTTGCTGCTACCATATCTCCATAGTCTATAGTAAGCTATAATATCAAAGATTAAAGTGGCTTTATAAAATTCCTAGCCTGGATGCCAACCCTTTTAGCCTTAAAATTTGACTTCTCTGCCAAAAAGACTGGATAGAATATGTCCAGGGTACTAAAGGCTGGCATCCAGGCTAAAAAATCCTAGCCTGGGTACCATCCTACTTGTATGCCGGGGCTCCCATACTTACTCCCTAACAACTATTTCTTAGGGAGTAAGTACATGTATGAAAGCCCCAGCATACAAATAGGATGGTACCCAGGCTAATAAAATTCCACCTTTCTCAAAAATTAAAACCACTACTCACTGTAGGTGTATCCAAACTCATCCTCCTCTTCGCTGTCAGAAGACTCGTTCACCATGACGGCCGTTGCCATGACGATAGAACCATCGTTGCTAGGCGGGGCTTCCGTCGTCGGGGAGCTGAAGTGCATGACTGGTGCACCCTGGGAAGGTACACATCCTTTGTTCATACATGTACATGTACACATGTACAATCATCATGACTAAGTTGTACTACAAACCGATACTGGATAGTTTTCCTGTTGTCCCTTCTTACAAATATATTCATGAGGATATATGTGAACAGATATCAATACATGAAAGATATCATACAGGTCTGGTAATGAAATTATAGATCTAATAGATTTTTGTGACTTTAGTGTACATAGTACATGTATCCTTACTTTATGAGACTACAATTGTTGGTGATTAGTTTACTTCAATCTTACAATGTAAGTCACTCTTAAAATCAAGTGGATTTAATTCCCTTTATTTTCTCCAGTGTTTACTTTCTTCATGTTTCTTGATAATGTTGATAAAGTTGATATTTGTATTTCACGGAGCAACATTACGCTCATAATTAGAATATTTAGGAGCATGCCATCATAATGTATACTATACATTCAAGTCATAATCATTATGTATTACAGTCATGTACACTGTATACTAAGAGAGGGAAAAGATAATTAGAAAACTGCATCATCTGGACCACACCAGCGGGGTAGAGGTGCCTAGAAGTTAATCTACATGATGTGCAAAATGATTCAGAATTCTACAGCTACATGATGCATGATCTGACCAATCGTGACCCAGGACACAAGTCAAAGTTGTAACACTCTGCCCTATTGGTCGGCTTGGTTTGGGAGAAGATAGAAGTTCATGCAAAAGAGGGCAAGGGTACTATAATGTCATTTGCAACAAAAATCAAAGGAGCAACTCACTACAGAGGCTAAAAAACAAAGGGATGGAACAAATGAAAAAGAGGGAAATTTTGAGGGTAAACTACATGCTACAGCTTCGTTTATCTTGTAATAAATTAATTAATAAAAACAAAACTGAAAATAAAAAAAAATGGTCCTGCCAGCTCGGAGAAAACATACCTCAGTAACGCTGGCATCTTGTTGTTCTACCACTGTTCCGGGGGAAATTTCCATGGATTCTGACAACTGTAAGTTAATCGCAACTGTTTTCACATTGTGTGTGGCTGACTTATAGAAGGGTCCAACTTGGTGCTTTGTTGAGGGACCTTTTTCAAAGACATACTAACATTCTACATACTTCAGCTCTTACATTGTACTATGTGCTCTAAACATCGTGAAATCATTTATCCCTGGCCAGCATTTTCCAATAGCCTATGATCAAATTCTGGATACTACAACTACTACTACAACTACTGGATACTACTTTTTCTACTGCTGCTACTACGACTACAGATACTACTACTGGGGTTACAACTACTTCTACTACATGTAACATTATTTTACACATTTTATATATCAATTGAGCCTCATACCATACCACACTATACATGCACTCACCAACAGCCAAAAATTAAGACAGTACAAAACAATGATTGTGACATTCTCTTAGTGTTCTATCTATTTGTGATACTGTAACAGTAACTTTTTATAAACAGTGAGTATGTATGACGCCATGCAACATTCAATTTGCTTTTATAATCATTCTCTGCAAGCATGCAGTATTTTGCAGTCCACAATACCTTTCAGAGTACTTTTCCCACAGAATCAGCATGCAGTATCAACCATAATTACTATAATGTATAATTATTTACTCACCGCTTCCTGTCCAGATGGAGCCAGTCTCTGTATAAGGAAACAGACAGGGTTGCCAGCGTTACGCACAACCTCCACAGCCTGGTCATGGCTCGCCTCTCGCAGGTCCATACCATCAACCTGGGGGACAGTGGTTTGTTTGTTTCATACTCTGTACTCAATAGCTAGCAAGGCATGCAAAGGAACACACTGTGTCAATCTGCTCAGTTTGCTGAAGGAAAAAGCAAAGAGGGCTATGTCTTCTTACAACAGACAAGAAGTGAGCTCACGGCACAAGACACAGTGGAAGAAGATGGAAGACTGAATGCAGCTGGAGGACGTTTCTATGAACACAACTTGTGTCACTGTGTTCTACTATCATGTAGGCTTAGGATTTGAACCAGGGATTTTGTGGTGATCTGCCCGTAAAAAAATCCAACAGAGTTATCAAGAAAAGAAGGTGTGATTGACAAGCAGTGCAAGCTGTAACAGAGAGGCATTGTTCTACTTGTTATACTCTTTTGAGAATAACAAAAGACAAAAAACAAGGAGCCTACCTCCAGAACCCTGTCCCCAGGCTTGAGGTTTCCATCCCTGCCAGCTGGGCTGTCCTCCAGAACATGTTTGATGAAGATCCCCTGACACTGCACCTCGGTACGGTTCACTACCATGGACTTTCCCCCGACTATGCTGATGCCTGGAAAATAAATCATTTTTTATTTTAGATTCTTATGCCTGCAAAAATAATAGTTATCCTTTGATGTGCTTATGATGCAACACTCCACAGAAATGGCATTTCAACAAACAGCACCTGCACAAAAATCCTTACAAAAAGTCTAGGGATACAAAACCAGCACAAGGGGTGGCACTGCTAAAAATTGATAAACTTATCAGAGTAAACTACAGAAAAAGAAATGTAGAAGGACTGTACTACACATACACTGATTACAGCTTCAGACTTGAAACTTTTACTCAGCTGCACAACATTTGCCATACACACTTGTATACATATACAATGTGTAGACCATGTACATGTATACAAGTATATGACCAAGAATCTCCTACCCAGTGACTGGTTAGGCTCCCTGTATATCTGCACCATCTTGGTGGGTTCTCCAGACTTGGCAGGTGAGATGGTGGTGAAGGGTTTCAGGTGAGCAGGAGGAGACATCTTCTGAGACTGGTATGTGTGTGTGTGTGTGTGTGTATAATTATATTAGGTATAAGACAGTAGTATCTCCTACCGAGTGACTGGTTAGGCTCCCTGTATATCTGCACCATCTTGGTGGGTTCCCCAGACTTGGCAGGTGAGATGGTGGTGAAGGGTTTCAGGTGAGCAGGAGGAGACATCTTCTGGATCTTCTGAGACTGGTACGGGCTGAAGAAGGGCTTCTCCTGGCTGCTGGGGCTGGCAGGGAAATATCTAATTAATAACACATTAATTTACAAAATGTACAATCAAAAAGCTACAACATACTCTTGTTATGTACTCTTTCAGTGTTGCATCTGTGAACGATTTCATCAGGTTGGAGAATGATTTAATAGCAAAGTTCTTCATTCACAGACACTTGTGTACACTGAACCAGTAACATCTAGCTTCAGTGCACAGTGAACCAGTCGTAATTGCCCTGATGAAGATGACAGACGTTCCTCAAAACACCAGCTATTTCAAACAAAGCATGGTGGTGAATAAAGAACTTTGCTAATTCAATTTTTCAGTCTTTGTAACTGTAAGGGTATACTTATGATACATATTTGTACAATATACACAGGTGCAATGACATACTGAGAAAACTTCTTAACAAAAAGGATTCAGGGTGTGAAAGGTTCAGAAACACAATCTATGTTGCTGTCCATCTCTTTGACACTGATTGAAGAGTTGGCACAATGTACAGTTACCTACTGGGAAATGGGGGAAAACAACTGTCAGACAGGCGTGAATAGATGATCACTGTAGGATTGTAGCGTAGAGGTACATTCGTGGGTTAGGGTTAGTGGTATGGTGGAGACAGTACATGTACAGTCACATACATGTACAATGTAGCTACTTACCTTCTAGTGTAGCGAGAATACATGTTTCTGAATGGATACATCCTTATAAGGCAGCAGGAGAAAGAGAATGGAATGCGAACTGAATATAGAAAGCTATGATTATCAGCAGATGATCTTTTGCATTACAATGGCTATAAACATTAGTGGTAATGAAGAGATATGTCAGTAAGAGTTGCAAGATGAGCGAACAGAAACAGTCAAGAAAATGGCAAGAGTTTTTTTTGTTTTTGCTGAGTGTGATCATTGTACTGAAAAACCTAGAAGTCAGATTGTTTTTTAAAAAATCATTAGACTAGAAGAATTGAAAAGAAATGAAGGAAAACTTCTTTGTGTCGCTTTGAATACTAGTCTGGAATCCAAATCTACAGCTTAGGAGTCTCTTTGTCCTTGCCATAAATAGTGAGGATGATAGACCCTGCAGCCATGATAGGTTAAATTTTGGACACAAGGCTACAGAAAGTTAGGTAGGTTAGATGGTTAGGCTCTGCACATCTTGGTGAATTCTTTACCTCTCCTGGTTGGTAGGTGGGGGAGGCACAGTGGGGAGTTGAGGGGGAGGGCGGCTGGGTTCTGGAGTTTTGGTCACCACCTCTGAAGAGAAACTGGTCTGTGCTGCTGCGCTTTCCTTGTAGGTTGCGATGTCTTCTGCCTTGATGAATGTGATGCTGAGGAAAATAAAACATGCATGGAGAGATAAGTGTTGTGTAAAGCTCTATGTTCTAATCAGGTTGGTAGATCATGAGATGTTGAACACATTTATATGCTATTTTCCCTAGTAGACTATGGTTTCCATAGCCAAAAAAAAGTTACTCAAGCAACTGGATAAGATTTTGAAAACGTCAGACGTTTCAGCTAGTATCCACTAGCTTTCGTCAGTGACTGAGAGACCTGCTTTCCCCTCTGGTCTCTCAGTCACTGACGAAAGCTAGTGGATACTAGCTGAAACGTCTGACGTTTTCAAAATCTTATCCAGTTGCTTGAGTAACTGTTTTTTGGCTATCGTATTACCTGGATGTCTAACCTTCATCGACGTATGGTTTCCATAGTCCATATTTTACATGTTAGAGCGTAATCATAAACTACAATATGTACAGGGTTCTCACCAGAACTTTTTCACATCGTACATGTAGGAGACAGGTGCAAATGTACAAAGGGACAATATTCTGCACAAAAGCTGCACATTGAATTCCAAAAACATAACAACGAGGGGACTTGTATTCTCCCTGAACACTTACTCATAACCCTCTAGGAGACAAGACCTCATGCTTATTATGGGACAAAGTTTGTACATCTTTTGTACAATTATTTTCCCTAGGAGACTATGGCTTACACAGTCTGCGTATGTGTTGGATTGTGTTGGAACAATCTACTGTATTATGTTGAATACGAACAGATATCTGATATGCTTTTTTTTTATGATACCATATTCATGCACCCTTACCTGTGACAGTTCCTTTAGTTTATGTGGCAATGTGGGGCAAGGAAGAGACAGTTATACATTCTGTTTCTGTTTAAAGTTTTTCATGGATCAAGATATTGGCCAGGTAAAAATTGAAAAACCAACTTAAGGAAGTACTAGTCTACAATGTACAAGTATCTATTCTACATGTACATTAAATTTTGTAGTATTGTGCTACTTTGTACTATCCCATTGAAAAAAGTTCCTTTGAAAATGAAGGAGGATACAAGTAGTTTGGAAAATTTATGATACATAAAAATTGCAAAATGGGAATAAATCTCAAAAATTGTGAAAAATTCTTAAAAAATAGAGAAAAAATCCCAAAAGTGGTGATCTGGGGGATTGTGGGTATCTACAGGAGGAAGGAGAGGTGCATGATGGGTACCTGAGGATGAACCTGCTGCTGTCATTATCTCTAGGATGCATGGTTGCCGGGGAGACAGACAAACAACAAACACGTCACCATGGATACCACACAAACAACAACAACACCATGATTAAAATATCCACCAAAATATCTCACAACAGAAGATCTGCATGCAAGTTGTTGTAATAAGAAATATCAAAGTAATTGAGAGAGGTTAAGTGGTCATTTGTGCCTGAAGAAGGCCATAATCAGGACAGCAAAAACTTCAAATACCTGATTTTTGCCAAAAAGCAGTTACTCAAGCAGCTGGATATGATTTTGGAAACGGTCAGACGTTTCAGCTAGCATTCACTAGCTTTTGTCAGTGACTGAGAGACCAGAGGGGAAATGCAGGTTTATAAGCACAAACTATTGACTGATATGCAAATAAAGTGAAGACATTTTTTTTTTGGAGGTTGAAAAGGGAACAAAAGTCAGACAAGTCAAGACAAGATAATGCAAATTAGTCAGAAAGCTCCTGTACCTTAAGTGTTGTCTGTCCTCGGGGCTGGGAGTGCCAAATATCAAGTGCTGGAGAGATCAACCCGTAGCCCCCCTTCCCTGTTGAGGGTGGGCTGACTTTTGTTCCCTTTTCAACTTCCAAAAAATTGTCTTCACTTTATTTGCCTGGATGTCTAACCTTGGTCGACGAAGCTAACAAACAGACTCACCTGATGTCCCCACCCAGTAGAGACTGCCTCCTGAGCAGGGCCTTTGCCTGGTAGATGTTCAGCCCTTTGGTGCTCTCCCCGTTCACAGCAGTGATGACATCACCCACAGTGATCCGCCCGTCCTTACTGATGGCACCTCCATGTGTGATGCTCTTTACGATGATACCATTGCCTTCTTTGTCTGGATTCACGGTCAAACCTGCAAGTACGGCGATCAGATAACATTAATGGTGGATTTAAACTGGATTTAATATGTATTCTGTACATGAATCTGTATCTGATTGCAAATAAAGATCTCGAGTGATTGCCATAGAAGGATTTAAACTGAATATTGGCAATGAGGGTTATCGTTAAAAACTGTCAAAAACTTCAGAATCTGTTTCCTGGTTTTGCATTTTATTTTGTTTCTTGTAGAATGTGTCTGTTATAATTTGCCATGCTTTTTTGGTTGTTCTTTTATTTGGAAGAGAGATAAAAAAACATTTAATGGAGGTTGAAACTAGACGTGAATAGTCCCACATTTTTTATGATGAGAGGGTTTTGTGATCTTAACAGAAATATATTTTTCGAGGTCTTTTAGGTATCTTTTAGGTGGCAAAAACTTGTGACATATTGTGGTTAACTGTCTCAAAAAGCCTTACTTTCAGTCTTATAATGAGAGCATTTAGAATTTTTATTTTCATTTTAATATAAAACTAAATTAAAAATAGCAAACTTTCTTAAAACTATGGGGTCTAAGCAAATCCACACACAGGGGAAGGACCTGTAAGAAAACCCTAAACCTTTGCCAAAAGCAAACCTTGCACTATTTTCTATACCACCAATGGCGACTACACACTAGAGTAAACAGGCTAACCCTTCACACAGCAGCTACAGCGTATCCCTCCACACCAAGCCTACTTTTGGGGGAAAATAGGGGATAAAAGGATGAGTGCAATTTTGGGATAGCATGGAATCAAACGAATGCCAACTCCAACCTAAATTCACCGATGAACTCTTCTCAGGCTGACCCAGACCTGTTTCTGAAAAAGATGATTTTTGAACTTTCATCCCACAAGCGTTATAGTACTAGACTTGTTTGTTTGTCTCCTTCCTACTATACCTACCTCCACTCCAACTACTTTCACAATTAAATAAGAGCAGTGCTACTCATGTGTTAGGATTATACATTAAATTTTATGCAACAAAGTAACAAAACAAAATTAATGATGTCTACAAGCAAATAAGCTCTTGTCACGTTATCATATCTAAATGGGTTTGAACTGTAATTTCCAACAAAAAAAAATAAAAATTGAAATCTGTGACTTGGTGTGCAGTCATCACATGCTTACCGAGTCTTGTGTTCTATCAGCAAAACAAGACATTACAAAAGCAGTGGATTGCTCAATCCGTAACAAAGACTGGTCAGTTGACTGGAGTAAAAAATTTAGCAGTTCAAACCTGATACAGAGTGACATCTACAAGTGAACTCCCATGACCCCCCCACCTTACCCAGACTGGAGTTGCCCTTGTTGATCTCCACCGTCTGCTCCAGCGAACTCGGCAACAGCCTGGGCTCCCCGCCCGGCAACGAAAGGTCACCCACCGAGGTCAATGTCTCAGAGGATGTTGACCTGCTGCCGGTGCTGCCAAAGCTGATGTCTGCTTCCTGGGTCTCCTGGAGAGAAAAGGAAATAGGGTAAGTTTGGCAACAATCAGGCAAATTAGGTTTTTGTCACATTTTTGTGGCAAATAGTTAGAGTTGTATGGCAAAATACAGTCTTAGATATCTTTTAAGCTTTGGGATAGGGCAAGTTTGGGCAATGACAATTTCATTACATGTACATTTCTATCAGATTTTTGCAGTAAATAAAGAGGAATAGTGGCAAGAGTGAACTGTTACAGTAGATACCTTTTACGCAACAAGTAATAATATCTAAAAGGATTGAAACAAAGTTGGGTAATCAGAACGTACAAGCACATCAAGATGAAAACCTTTTCTAATCCATTCATTCATTCATCCATCCACTCATCTCATGGACCAAATAAACTGACCAAAACCCAAAGCAAAACAACCAAATGGTGAAGTTCAATTGACCATGAAAGATACCATGCTGTACATGTACATGCAATAGGAGTGACTAACACTGAACCCTAATATAATGCTAACAAGTGTAGCTGAAGCACAATCATGATGATTGTGTAGTGTGCGCAGCTTTTGCATCTGGACCACTCCCTGACTGACCGAGATACATAATATCTAACTTCATTCCTCAGTGTATATTGTACAAATTTAAATGTATGTGTCCTGCATGTTGTACATGTATGTTAGATGTTGTGTCAAAACTATATGCTTGATGAAAGAGGAGAATGATGGAGCACATTCCCAGTCAACACAGACACGGAATGAAATGCAAAACATGGACACCACCATTCGACCTTGACAGCTTTCCGCATGACCTTCAACTGACCTTGGCGGAGCTTGTCGGTGTGACCTCTATGTTGGTCTGCGTTCCGATCTCGCATGAGCGCTTGAGAGTCACGAAGGGACCTCGGTGATTCGAGTCGAGCAACTGGGGCATCACAGGACAAGTTTGGTCTAACAAAATACAGTCTCTATCCAAATTTCATTGAACCAATAGCTTTGCCACCATTTGCATGCTTTTTTTAAACCTTCTCCCTGCTGTCTAACCCCATAACCAGCACAAATTTGGTGCCAAAAGCCTGCCTTAGCTACCTTATGCACTTGCATTGCTGCTAGCTCAAAATCTTAATAATAAGTCTTACAATGTACCTACTGGTAAGATTTGTCTCTTTTTTGCATGCATTTTTTTTCAAATCTTGCTCGTTTAGCTCAAGACTTCATAATCTTGCTAACATATTTCAACATTCAACTACACTTTTAAGAGTAAATATTCAAGACTTTCTGACATTACAAATCCAAATTGCCAATGCAGGGGCTGTGCTCTGTTAGCTTGGCACATCTGCACAAAAAGACACTGCTTGGCTTGGGACATGGGGTCTGCAGAGGGGGGGGGGCAAATTAACCATAGCAATAAGGGGTCTGCATGGGGGAGGGCAAATTCAATGCTAAGCTGGTCTTCTGATAAGCCACTTTGCTAATAAGAGCCATGCTATGGCACATACAGGTAAAAAACCATGGCAGACACCATAGCCTGTCTAGTGATGATACCTCAGCATCTGATATATGCAACAGCAACAAACAGAATGTTGATACATGTATGCCTTTATTTGAAATGGTCCTTGGTCGCCCAGCTTTTCAAGCACACCGATGCAAACACAGCCTTACAGCATGCACACCACACCTCACAGTACAGCACAGAAGCAAAGGCCAGCAAGGGCAGGTACATATACATGCAGCTGAACACTTTGTAGAAAGACTAGGATAGAATATTACCCAGATTGAGCCGAATCGATTCTCTTTGATCTGGCTTAGATCCGGATCAAAGCCAGATCAAAGCGAATATATTTGGCTTGATCCAGACAATTCTATCCTAGTGGGAAAAGGGCCTAAATCTGTTTAAACATGTTGGAGGATATTCAATATGTTGTTTGTATGTTAGCCTCCACCAGGCTTCAGAAGCAGCTGGAAAGATTAAGAGTAGAACTTGGCCAAATAGACAGATAACAAGCCAGGGGAGTTAAAGGAGTACAGTTTGTTGCTCTGAAGGCAAACTGTACTCCATTAGTTACATTTGTACCTTGTGAACTAACTCCCTTGGAATATTATGTGTCTATTTGGCCAATTTCTACTTTTGCAAGCTGCATCTAAAGCCTGGAAGAGGCTAAATATATGCAACCTGGCAGTATTATGTCTCGAAGACACTCCTTACCTTCTCCCTAATGATGACTTGTACAGGTTCTGTGGGTACATGTATGGGAGCAGGAGCTGGAGGGGGTGCGGCTGATCTCAACTCCTTCACCACCACTTCTGTCTTGCGAATGTTGGGTTTCGGTGGTGGGGTGGGGGGCCTGCGACGGACTTCCACACCAGGGGCTTGGACCTGTGTAGAGCAAGAAGTGAAGACTGAAAACTGGTTCAAGATACAAAATTTAGTAACATTTGCAAAGCTAATGCTTAATGTTAAACTACACATGGTGTCACCCAACAAACTACTGCCCTGTTTATTCTTACTCAAACATAGCCCCTTGAGATCTATCCTTGACTTTTTCCTACATTGTGAATTGGCCTGCTCTGATGTGATCGATCGTTCACAAGCCTTCGAGGTAATACTATATTATGTAAGAACATACATGAGTGTACATTCTTGATGAAGCAAAAAATCAGTGTACTACACACTTTTTGTATAAATGTACATCAGGGTTTTGCCCATGAGTGTAAATCTGGTCAATGTAACCCAACACCACAGCACATATGGAATGGACACCCAACAATGACAGAGATTAGTAGGGGTGGTTTTAACTCAAAGGAAACGAAAACATGAAACCATCTCCGTCGTCCCCACACCTGTTCCACCTGTGACACCTGCAGCTCCTTGGCCTCCATCATGTCGCTCTCGTCCTCGGTAACCGTTGCTATGGTAGCTGTTGCCATGGTGACGGAGGCGAAGGAGACGGCCTCCTCGATGACGACGGGCGACTGTGGTGGCGTGGAGCGAGGCTCGGGAGGGGGGATGGCTGGGGCCGGCCGGGAGAAGGACTGGGGTGGGAACGAGGGAACGAATGAAAACACGAATGAACGAAACATGAATGAACATATGTATGGAAAATGGTTACTGTGTTTCAACATAACCATATTAATATCAACGAGTGAACAAATGAAAACAGGAAAGATTGAACATATGGAAAAATTGTTACTGTGTTTCACCATAACCACATTGATATCAACGAGTGAACGAATGAAAACACAAACGAATGAACGTAGGGAGTAATTGTTACTGTGTTTCACCATAACCACAATATGACGTCACAATGGAATTAAACCAAATAGATGGGATGTGGGTTGACATGAGAATGACAGAATGTATAAGCTAAATATGTATTATGTGTGTGTATGATGACTTTTTGTACAGTACAGGCCACGAAGTATGCATCAATCTCCTACAGGACTTTTTGCGAAAACTGATGCATATTTCATGCTCTGTACAGTAGATTGGGTACCATAAAGACCCAGACTGAAGCCTGACTTTGCCCTGTATCCTCACCTGTTCTTCGTCCTGGAATGACTCGGGCACAGGCAATGGTTTGGACACGCCGATTCTCACAATTCCCAGCGTATATGTATCATATGGTATATATGTGTGAATGATGATATTTTGTAGATTGAACAGTATAACAAATAGACACAGAGGCAAGACTTCGCCCTATCCTAACCTGTTCTTCGTCCTGGAATGACTCGGGCACAGGCAGTGGTTTGGACACGCCGATTCGTACGATGCCCGGCGGCGCGCCCTTCAGCGCCTGCACGGCTGTCTCCAGGTTAGCGTGCTCGAGATTAACGTCGTTTACCGACATTAGACGGTCGCCGGGGACGAGGCGGCCATCTTGTTGGGCCACACCGCCGTGCACGAGGCTTCGGATCACGATCACCATCTGGTTTGGGCTTAGTGGGTCCTGTGGAAGAAGTTAACGTAAGAGATTTTAGATTTAGCAGAACTTAATAGTGATGCATACCGGTTCACTGGACTTGGATCCGGACTTGTAAAAATGTTTAGGTTCAAGTCCAAAAAAACCTAAAAGTCAAGAACCGAGTCCGGACTTATTACCATAAAAGACCATTTCACATACCCCTTTTCTTTTTAAACCACCTAAAACCTTCCGTAGATTCCAAAATCTTTGCTGCAAAATGAAGAAAACATTGCCATCGGGCATCGTCAAGTACCAGCCTCCATGTTATGTGGCCAAAGTTTCACCCAGACAACATTGCAAGGTTGCCAACGTGCAATTTTGCATATGCCATGGACTTAAGTCCGGATCTGAACCTAAACCTCTGGACTTGAGTCCGGACCTGAACCTGAAATTGGGTTTAGGTATGCATCACTAGAACTTAATGAACATAAATATCCAGATAAATTCTCTGAAAATTCAGACCTTCCAGATCTCATGTATTACACAAACACAAAAGACAAACACCCAGAAAGACAAACACACGCAAATACAAACACAAAAAAAGACACACACACAACGAAACACACACACACACACATGGACGCACATGCACACAAACACATGCACACACATGCACACACATATACACACACACGCACACATATATACACACACACGCACACACACACACAAACACATACTCACACACACTCAGACACACACACACACACACAAACACACCCATACCCACACACTCACATGCACATGCACACACACACACACAAACACACACACACACACACTCACAGACACAAGCACACACAAACACACACACACACACAAACACAAACAAACATAAGACTATCAAACCTGGTAGTCCAGGATGCTGAAGCCCAGTCCCTTCTCTCCCTTGTGCAGCTCGATAGTCTGTATATCCGGACTCCACATGGCCAGCTGGCTCAACGGTTCCAGCGAACGAGACTTGTTCTTGTCCAAGGAGGGGGATTCTGTGGAAACAAATTTTTTCCTTTTTATTATAATAGACATGGCTGGCAACAACAACAGTTACTGTTGTGTTGTGTTGTGTTCTTAGAGTTGATAAATAGAAGGCAATTGTGTACAGGTCAAAGGAATGAACTAGCTTGACCAAATTATCATCCATAAATAGAACAGTGTATTTTTATCCCTTATCCATCAAAAGCTCATCAATCATATGTCATTGTCAGCCTCTAAATGCAGCACAGCAGCTATTATTATAACGATCATTTTGACTGTTTAAGTATCCAAGAGTTAGTGATTGGAGATGGCTTCATGTATACAATGTAACTTACAGATGACTGTCCGAAGTATTGTTTAGGTACAGGTCTAGGTCTGGGCTTGCACTAACTCTGTACTTGTGCCTTAAACCTTTAAATAGATAGGTCTAGTGTTCAAAACACATTTACGCAGGCATACCTGACTCTACAGCAGGGGGGATGGATCCCTCCGACCTGGCACGGGACATCATCCCCACGTCCGGCGATCCCGTAAACGACATCCTCTTACTGTTCAGCTCGTCCACGTCAAGCGGGCGGATCGTTGGGATGTCCGGAGGGCGTTCGACGGGTTCGGGGCGGCGGCCGCAGACGATACGCACATTTGTGGGGAGATCCTTCAGGATGCCAACCACTTCCCTGTGGTCCAAACCGAGCAACTGGTGGCCATTTACCTAGAGAACAGGAAAAATTGTTAGGAAATGAACTGAACAACAGATGGGAATCGAAACCCAAACCCTCTGGTCCTCACCTCTAAAACCTTGTCTCCACCCTTCAGTTTCCCATCCACTCAGGCCCGTCTTGAAGTGAACAACAGATGGAAATTGAATCCTCAGCGCTCTGGTCCTTACATCTAACAGCTCATCAACAACTGGGAATCAAACTCTTAACCCCCTGATCCTCACCTGTAAGAGCTCATCTCTTCCCTTCAGTTTCCCGTCCACTCTGACTGGCCCGTCTGGAAGGATCGACTGGATGTAGTGGTGCAGTTGAACCTCCTGTCCTCACCTCTAACTGAACAACAACTGGGAAACAAACCCCCAACCCCTGGTCCTCACCTTCAACAGCTCATCTCCTCCCTTCAGTTTCCCATCGACTCCGACCGGCCCGTCTGGAAGGATCGACCGGATGTAGTGGTGCGGACTAACCTCCTGTCCTTACCTCTAACTGAACAACAACTGGGAATCAAACTCTTAACCCTCTGATCCTCACCTCCAAAAGCTCGTCTCCACCTTTCAGTTTCCCATCGACTCCGACCGGCCCGTCTGGAAGGATCGACCGGATGTAGTGGTGCGGACGCACTTCTTGTCCGTCCTCAACATCCACGGTTCCCTCCAGACTGATGCCCAGCCCGCCGCCCTCCCGGAACTTGGAGATGTGAGCCACGACGATCTCCATGTCCTCCCCGGCCTGGTCCCGCCAGTACTGCTTGATGCCTTCCTCTGCCTCGGGTGTGAGGTCTACGCGAGGTACGGGACAAATAAAATCATCAGCTTCAGGTCTGAGGTCTACATTGTGTACACGTGTTTACAACGAAGAATGAAAATTACTACATGCTGATGAAGGTTAGACAACCAGGTAATGAGATATACAAGCCAGGGAATTGTTACTCAAGCGACTGCCTGTTCAACTACAGATACCGTTATTCAGTGACGAAAAGTAGTGGATGCTACTTGAAACGTCTGACAGTTTTCAAAATCTATCCAGTTGCTTGAGTAACAAATTCATAGTGAAAATTAGTCTGATACACAATAGTAGTTAGTAATACTAATACCTCTCTTACTCATTCTAAATAAGATGACAATGTAAGAAAAAGGTCTTACCAATTTTTCTCAGGAAACCCAATATCAAAATGGACTTGAGAAACACTCTGAGTCAGTAACTGTCTTTCAAGTACTCTAAGCCGGATAGTGAGTGTGAGTGAAAGACAGATACGGAAACAGTTTATCATGTGAGTGCCCAAGGTCATTGTCATTCAAACGCGGTTTCCTGGGTGATCTAAAGAGCCAAACTACATATTTACAGAGAGGTAAAGGGACTAGTGTGAAGTGAAAGCTTCTTTGGGGGCTCATTTCAAAATATCACTGTGGGAAGTCAGTCTGTGCCAAGAAAGCAGACTGAATTCCAACAGTTTTTGACTTTGTCACCAATGTTCACAAAATATCAAGCATAAAGCAAAGCTCGTTTCATGTAACCTTGCTTTCTGTCTTTGGTAACCTACTTCAAAAATTAAATTGTACAAAAATAAAACATCCGTTTTTTTTGACAAACAAAAAGACTCAAAGACTAGATCCCATCACCCTGAGACCTGAGACTTTGAGACTATTAGAATTAATCTTATAAAGTGTCAAACAATTCTTTACTCCTCTGCATGTAAAGCTCTACTGACCATAACTAGCATCCGTGAACAGTTGTATATCCTCCAGGTTGACCTGTCCCTCCTTCGGGTACCCCAGGGCAGGGGACTCTACGTCCCGGGGAATAGGGGAGGGCATGTCCTCACCCAGGTAGGGGTAGGGAGGGGGGGCCTGCTCCAGGGACGGGGTCTCAGACAGGTCAGGGGCAGGGGAGGGGGTGATGGCAGGGGAGTGGGAGGGTGAAGGGGTCGAACCTGGAGAGAAAATAAAAGAAAGAATGGGAATTATTTTAAAATCACCTGGTAGACAGTGGTGCGAACTTACAAAACAGTCAGTTAAATTCTTTGAAGAGTCCTCAATATCATGGTTTCGATACAAGAATTTTCACATGCAAACTGGTAAAATACCCTGTAAGTAACTTGATTATACTATACATTTTGTAAATGACTGAAGCCAAATTGTCAAGAGTTTTTGAATAGCCAAAAACAAAGGAGAGAAGTTACAGCATCTCTTGTGGGATACTGCAGTAAAGTTGACTACTATTTTCTAATCATAATAACATTGTGTAACGTTGCGTAATAACGTTGCTTTCAGATAGTTTGAGTTGAACAACATATCAAGTGCTTATTCTTCTGCATCTACACAAAAAGCTCACAAACAGACAAACAAACAGGTAAACGAACCGCGTTCAGACGGCGCAAGGAACTTGGGCCCGTCCTTGTAGCGTGCGAGCTTGAGGTGAACGACCTGGCCTGTACTGCGCAGCACCTCCACTGCCTGGTGGTTAGAGAAACCCTGCAGACTCCTGCCATCAACCTGAAGGAAGGAAGGAAGGAATAAGTGAGTGAGTGACAGTGAATGGATGAACATGTAGCAGGACCTCCACAGCCTGGTGGTTAGAGAAACCCTGCAGGCTTCAACCTGGTAAGATGAGAAAGGAAGGAAGCAACAAATGAAGGAGTGAATGAATGGATTATGTACATGTAACACAATGAAATGAATGAATGAATGAATGAGCAGTGAATGAGTGACTAAACTGATGAGACAGGTTAATGAAATAGTTGGGGCAAATATCTTACAACAATCCATGCTGTGGACTCTAGTCAAGAGGATTCCTAGACTTGTCCAACATAGATAATGAAAATATTGCTCGGAGTTTTAGCTTACTGCTAAGTTTGTCTTCCACAGGTCCTGGAAAAAAGTATGATGCTTTGCACAGAGTTACATGTTAAATAAATGAGGGAAATCAAACAGTAACTTACCTCGACAATCTGGTCGTTGACCCTGATCTTGCCATTCCTGTCTGCTGCACTTCCAGGTGCGATGCTCTTCACAAAGATTCCTGACAGTTCTTCTGTAACCAACGATGTACAGCCATTAGAAATCTACAACATTATTTGGGCCCCAGCCACATGCATTAATTTGCTAAATTTTGATTGTAAAGGAAAAATACCATCCTGATTTGTATAGGTAAAGTCATAGTCTTTGGAGGCTGAATGACAGAGAGCTTTCTACAATTATATCAAACTGAATGCATTCTTGATATCATGCACAACCATGTCCTGCAAATTACAGTTTTACACCAAAGTGCCTTTCCAAGGACAGAAAAATAGAGCCTGCCAGGGATTTAAGCCCAGAACCGTTGAATTCTGAGTCAACAACCCTAACCACAAGACCACCTTGCTACCTTACGAGTGAAGTTGAGTGGGGTGTGGGAAAAGCTGAGTACCTGTGGACTCACCCGAGGATTTCTCTCCCACATATCCAGCTATGGTGATGCCCAGTCCCTGGCTGTCCTTCGTGAGCTCCGCATCGAACTGTTCTATCTCTGCACTTGGTGGGCTCTCCTCCTACATGGATAAAATATATTTTATTACAAACAAACATAAGGCTTAATCTTCTAAAAATTCCAAACATGCCACATGTTGCAAAAGCTTGCGAGCACTGCCTAACTCTGTGCATGCTCCTTGTACAAAATACTGAAATGCAACCCTTACCTACAAAATGTACTTGTCTTCTTTTATAAAGAAAACTACTAGCGACCTTAAGCTTTGTGAAAGAAAAAAAAATTCTGTGCTTTAAAAATTTCTGTGCTTTTCAAAATGTATTGCTAAGTTTGACATGGTTGTCTAACTGTGAACTTGTTCCTCATACCCATGCAAGTATGAACAAACAGGCCCCTCACCTCTTCTGCCTGTTTAGCACTGGTAGGTGCAGGAGCCTGTGTGTTGTTGAGTTTCCCGCGTGCTATGAGAAGCCTAACATGGCTGCCAGACTGTCTCAGCACGTTTGCGACCTGCTCACTGCCCATGCCCTTCAGCGGCGTGTCTCCTATCTGCAGGATGTGGTCGGCTGGTTTCAGGCGACCGTCCTGGAAAAACAATCATAAAACTTTCTTTAGTAACTCATTTACATATTAATTCAGATACTCATTGATTTACAGATTACACTTGTACTAAAGCCAAGCCAAGAGAGAACACTTGTACGGAAAAAAGAAACATACAGTAAAAGGATGTCAACAAATAAGTTCCTGCAGTTCCACAGGAAGTTGCTAGGGGCCTTAGCCTGAGTTACACAATCTCTGTCAAGGGCCTTCAAGGTACCTGACCAGTGAAAGGGCTGCTAGATGCATGGTGTAGACAGTCTACTAGGGTGCCAAGGTTTGAGTTATATCTTTTTGAGACCAAGGGAATCACTTATCACTAAACTAGAAAACTTACAATGCACAGCTAACCTACATCATGCTTACAACAACAAAGTCACTGTACAGAAATCTGCGGGTCCAAGGCTTTCTGTGTGTTTTTAGGACCCTTCTAAACATAAATTGTGGACCATTCCAGAAAGGCCAATGGTTCATCTGTGCTTATTTTCCTCACCCTGTCTGCCACCCCTCCGGGTACAATGGTTTTGACCTCGATGCCCCGGGTTTGGCCACCGATAATCCCAAAGCCGAGACCTCGTCCGTCGTTCACAAGTTCAATCATCTCCACGTGGGCCCACTGGGTCACGCCAAGCTGGGGAACAAATCATGCACCAGTTAACAAACACTTTCAGAAGTATTAGTGCAATCTTGCAATAACAATGAAAGATAAGATACAATATGAAAGAGTGCAAGAGAAAGTGATGGAATGTTCCCATGTGAAATTTTCTTAGAGTTCCTACAAAGATACAATGTAGTGTCAGTAGTTACAGTCAAACCTGTACTATTGACCAACATCAGACCATCTGGCAGTTGTGGCCAATTTTTCAGTGGGCCCGGGCCCCCTAAGATAATTTTTTTCTGATAGACCAAAGCATTACGAATCCTGTCTATTGTGGCCACCTGTCTACTGTGACTGTTTTCTTGAGTGGTCACTATAGGCAGGTTTGACTGCAGAGGAAATCAGTTAGCTACATGTAATATTTCCAAGTGATAGTAAAATGTTGAACTTTATTCCAACACATTTGTGAGTTTAACACAGTAAGTCACCAACCTCAAGTACAAGTACAATGTATACTGTATAGGGTGCCTTGTGTCTAGTTACACTCTAGTTTCTACATATGTATGACGTTTAAGGTGTGAGTACATAGAGGATACAATGAGGATCCATTTGGAGCTGCTGCAAAGGATGATCAGTAGTAATTGTGAAAATCATCATTATAGTGACACCATGCATGTTGACTGATTGAGTGATTGAGAGTGATTGGTACACTTACTGCATCTGCCATTTCTGCTGGAAGTGCTGCACTGGGACTCTGCACGCAAAGGAAGGAATCATGGCAAATGTGATTTAAGTAACAAGAAGCAAATTGCAAACACATCAGCAATATTTATTGGTGTAATTCATTCAATCAAAAGACAGAAAAAATAACATTTAATGAGATATTGTCAAAAGCTTTAATTTCCTTAAGATGATGCAAAACATTGTACATAGCTGTCCAAAAAGTAGGAAACCATCACTTTGGTCTGATAACATTGCAGAATAATTATTTCAAATAAAATTATTGATTTACATAAAAATTGCACAAAAATTAAAAGCAATCTTTGATAGCTAAAGTATTTTCATAAGCTTACTTTTCAGCGAGTTCAGACAATTTAGAGAAGGAATTAAACTGATACTCACGACATAGTTTGCAGGTAATGAAAATAATGGCTCAAAGGCAATCACTTATAGTGATACCAAAGGCTAGTACCTTCTCAGCGAGTTCTGACAGGTTGGAAGGTCCCCTGCTGTCGGCTGCGTCCGGTTCTGGAATGCCTCCGCGCGCCACCACCAGCTCCACTATCCCGTGTGCCCTCTGTAGGATAGAGATAGCCTCCTGGTGGGAGATACTGGCATCAAGGAGCTGGTGGTCAATGGCTAGGATCTGGTCACTCTCTTTAAGTCGACCATCCCTGGAAGACAAGACGAGAGACATGACATTAGTGGCATAACAGTAGAGTGCTTGGCTCGGAACCAAAAGGTCCCAGGTTGGAATCCTGCCATGTCACTGATCTTCTGCTCTTGGGAAAGGCACTTAACACGACTTTCTGCACTTGACTCAGGTGTAATTAAGCTTCGGCTAGGGATGCTCTGTGAGGAAAGACAGTAGCTATTAATAAAAAGAACTTTTTAAACCTACCCGTCTGCCATACATATAGCTCCAAGCTGGACAACTCTCCCCTGCCCAAACTTTGTAGCCAAACTACACTGAACCCCAGTTTTTTTCCCTAAGTAACTTACCTGTCTGCCACCCCTCCAGGTTGGATATCCTGTACAAAGATGCCCAGTTCTCCCCTGTTCTCACTCCGTAGTCCCACCACACTGAACCCCAGACTTACCCACAAACAAACAAACAAACAAACAAACAAACCTGTCTGCCACCCCTCCAGGCTGGATATCCTGCACAAAGATGCCCAGTTCTCCCCTGTTCTCACTCCGTAGTCCCACCACACTGAAACCCAGCCCTCCGGTCTCAGGCTTGTACAGTTTGATATTCTCAACCTCTCTTCCCTGGGCTGCAGCCTGGGGGTGAAAAAAGAGAAAAATCAAAGATTACCCCAAATACATGTAACTATAAGCAAGTTGGCAAAACGTACATTGTACTGCTGCGTAAAACCTGTAATGCGCTGTGAAGATTGGCAAAACGTCTCATATAAGGATGAAAGTTCATCTGTGTTGGTATATAACATAATGATAACAGTTAAACTTTATTGTTATCGTAAAGTTTAACTGTTATCATAGTCTCATATAAGGTCATATTCACGTATATAAGGTTAACATCCCATCTGTTGTTTCCAAATGTTATGTCGGAAAAGATATCATTTGCAAAAGGCAAAATTATGATGCAACGTTGACCAAACATCCAGCAAAAACTGTGAAAAATTGGTGCAGGCGCAGTACATTGTGCCGATGTGTTGTGTGCTATCAAACTACTCTGTTTGGACTCACAGACACACAAATCCACATCTTGGCCACCCAAAACAATACTTCCATACCCTTAAGTAACAAGGAAATAAGAGATAGCTCTGGTAGGGAATATAGTAAATACAGTTCTCTGAAGGTTTGATTAATTATAAATTAATGAGGGCAATGACCTATTTGAATTCTCTAACCAGGTCACTGCACATCCCTATCAAATTTCACTTTTAAATCATCAAAGAAATAGGAAGAGCAACAATCAAAAGGGCCTATCATTAATGTAAATCTCCAAATATGTACAATGTAATACCAACATTTTGTTTGGAAGAAAAATTGGAAATCTAAATATATTTGCTCAAGCCAAAAATGCATGTGTGAATCATCCAAAATCTACAACCTCACAACTACTAAAGCCAGTATGCCTCTCAAAACTGATACTAACTTATAATTAACTTACCCTGTCCAATGTCTTCACCAAACACAAGGTAAACTTCAGCCTATCTTTCCGTGAGCGACTCCTTTTACCCATCTTTACTTTAAGCTCAGCTCTGCTGGCCACAGCATTCATGTGACTACCAGCTCGTCAATTTTGAATATGATACAACGATTATCATTAATATTTAATCACATCTGGCCAGTAATATTCTCCTTGCCTGGTTACGAGCTATTCGCTTCTTGTGAATTAAAATCATTAATCATTCATTTCATCCTACCCCTGAGTTATCCATCTATGTCGTTAACGATCAAGTTAACGATAATTCATAATGATTATTACACATGATGTCTGTATTATTTAGAGTGCTAGGGCCTAGGAAAAACAATGTTCTGTTTCCTGTTTCCTGACCGGCCCTAGAAAAAAACTGCAGACCCTAGCCTTCTTTTTTGGGTGGGGACCCCTGCAATTTTTCGAGCTGATCACCTTTTAAAGCTCCATGATCTCCCACCTGATTGATAAAACATTGTAAAATCGGTTTTCCAACATTGTCATTGAAAATGAAAGTGTCCTACCCCGGTAACTAAATGCAAGATTTACATTGTACTTTGTTAAACTGTATTCCTTGTATAACTTGGATCACTATATATCGCCAAAGTCTAAAAAAGGAAGAAAAAAGATAATCCCTACCTACCGACCCTAATTTTTCTAGGACAGAAACAAGAAACTAAACATTTTTCCCAGACCTCATTTAGAGTGCCAGCAATAAAAGAGATGGTGCCATGATCTGCACGGGGGAGTTATATTACAAAGATGCCATTTATAATTTATGAAGTTCTTTGAGAACTGGAGACGGGTTGAAAGAAGTACAGACTACGCGTAAAAATACATAGATTTTATCTCAGAAATGCAGTAAATTTCCTGCCTATGCCAACAGTGGTAACACAACACGTACATCAAAGACAAAATGCTTTCCAAACGTTTAAATCAAAATGAAAAATAATGGATTCTTTGGCAAATCTCCACGTTCATGATGAACATTGCTTTTAGACTAATAGTTTCTTTGTTTCCATAATTAATTTCTATAATTATAAAAACAAATTTGTAGGTATAGTCAAAAGCAGCAAAGTAACTTGATTCAATGTGTTTTTTTTTTTAAGAAAGCTGGTCTGAAACAACCTTGCCATCTTTCACTGAGACTTTCAACGTCATCTTACCCAACTTGAGATAAGTTTTTCAGGTAAGACAGGTAAGTTTCTCACCTGTACAGCTCTCTGGAAGTCCTCCTCTCCCATCTGAGGTGCAGCTCCGTAGACAGGCACAGCCTCAGCTGGATCAGCACAGAAAGATAAAACATGGAAAAATCAGAATAACAAAGGTATCTTTCATTAACCATTTAGTGAACATTAGAATATTATCATTTTTTGAGTACATGTCTATTTCACACTTTCATTTTGAATCATACTGGTTCTATGAAGACATGCCTATGCCAAGAAGCTGGAAATGATTTTGACCGTTTCCAAAATCATATCCAGTTTATGATACAGCATTTGTCATTAAAACATCTCAACTTGAAAACCATTTATGCCTCAGTCATGTTGTGAGGTGACCCTCTTCAAGGAGACCACCTGTCCAAGGTGACCACTTTTCTTTGGTCCCCTGGGTGGCTGGCTTGGACAGGTTTGACTGTATTTCTAACTAGCCTCCGTAGCAGGCTTATAGAACTGGGGGTTTGTTTGGTGGTCTTCGGCTGTTTTCTGATTAGCCGAGTTCTAACGGGGGTAATTCAACCAGGCTGGCTATGTTGTCTATATGCAATCAGAAAATAGCACATAAAAGCTCCCAAAGACCCTGAAGACCCTCCAAACCCCCAGTTATTGGCATGCTATGGAGGCTAATTTCTAACACTGTCCTACTGTCCATACCTAGCTGATCGTTGACTTCAGCCACCGTGGTCCCGTTTGCAGGCTTGCTCTTGGGCCCCATCACAAGATGGCCGGTCGGGGAGAACTCAAAGTCTTGTACAGCAGAGGGAGGGGAGTTCTCAACCTGTTACAACATACAGAAATGAACATCTGTGTTGATCTCCTACATGTAGTTCTACAGTACAAACATAAGGTACAAGAAAGTATGATGGCACCTTTGTCCAGTTTTGTACAGCAGAGGGAGGGGAGGAATATAATGCACAAAAAATGAACATTTGTTTTGATCTCCTAGTTCTATAACACTGGGGGGGGGGGTATTAGGATATTAGAAAGTACTAGTACTATAACACTTTTGTGTTGGTGATCTGATAAAATGCATAAATGATAGAGTCTTGTATTTCAGAGGGAGGGGAGTTCTCAACCTAGGAGAGGTACACAAGAAATATTTGTGTTGACCTGCTACTTCTATTATAATCTTAGGGTATCAGAAAGTATTATAACATCTTTGTGTTGGTAAACTGATAAAATAAAAAGTCTTGTACGGCAGAGGGAGGGGAGTTCTCAACCTGGGAGGAAATACAGGAACTTGTGATAGGAACTTATACGTATGAGTTCAACATCTACACTTTAATTGCAAAAAAAGTATAAACTTAGTGTCAATGTACTGATAAAATATTTTAAATTCATTGATGGATACATGGATGGACGAAAAAAACGACATAAGAGTGGAGGGAAGGAAAGGATGGAAAGTAGTCTAGAAGAAAGATAGGAAGAAAAGAATGGCAGAGTGGAAGAATAAAAGGAAGGAAGGAAGAATGGACAGGAGAAGAGAAGAAAGGGGAAGACAGAAACAAGAAAGGAAGGAAGAAGTTTGATCAATGGACGGAGAAATAAATGGAAAGCAGGAACAATGGTTGGCTGGCTGGCTGGTTGGAAGGGAAAAGGGAACAAAGGAAGGAAGGAAAGAAGAGTGGATGGAAGAAATAAAGTAGGTGTAAAGGAAGGAAGACGAAGAAAAAGAAAGAAAGGAATGAAGGAAGGAAGGAAGGAGAAAGGGAAGAACGTAAAGAAGAGCAGAAGGAAGGAAGCAGGGTGAAAAGGAAACTAAAACCCTTTCCACACACCTGTTTCTTGAGCTGTTTGACGGAAGCCTGGATGGTGAGGATCTGCCTGAACAGCGGGCTGTCCAGCATGTGTATGATGGAGGCAAGGTCGACGCTGCTGTCCCCGCCAGCACGAAGCTGTTCCTGCATCTTCTGCAGTACGTCAACAGCATGCTCCGCTTCTGGGGAGCGGAAAAAAAACGTTTGTTTGTTTGTTTGTTTGTTTCTTTATCTCTTTGAAATGTCTGACTGTTTTCGAACCTTCTTCTTGTAGTATATTAGCCATTGGAATAGTATTTTCCATCCACAGCAATGACAGCATGCTAGAGTTGCTTCTAGGGTGGGAAAAATGTTGGTTTATGAAGCAAGTTTTAACTGTGAATTGTTGGAACAGCAGCTGTCTAGCATGTGTATGATGGAGGCAAGGTCGATGCTGCTGTCCCCGCCAGCACGAAGCTGTTCCTGCATCTTCTGCAGCACGTCAACAGCGTGCTCCGCTTCTGGGGGATGAAAAAAGGTTTGTTTTTTCATTTGTTTGTTTGTAAATGTCTTTTTTTAGGTCTTCTTTGTTGGGTAGGCCAATAGAACAGTGTTTCATGTCCATATCATGCTAGAGTTGCTTCTAGAGTGGGAAAATGTTGGTTTATGAGAAGCAAAGTTTAAACTGCAAGTTGTTGGAACAGCAGCTGTCCAGCATGTATGATGGAGGCAAGGTCAACGCTGCTGTCCCCGCCAGCACGAAGCTGTTCCTGCATCTTCTGCAGCACATCAACAGCATGATCCGCTTCTGGGGGGTGAAAAAAACATTTGTTTATTTCTAAATGTAAATGTCTGTTTTTCAATCAAGATTCTTCTTCTAGTACATGTATATTAGTCATTGGAATAGTGGGAGCACTGGTACTGTTTCACAGCTTGCTCAGTTTCTTGGGTGAAAAATAATGTTGGTTTATGAAGGAAGTTTAAACTGTGAATTGTTGGAACAGCGGGCTGTCCAGCATGTGTATGATGGAGGCAAGGTCAACGCTGCTGTCCCTGCCAGCACGAAGCTGTTCCTGCATCTTCTGCAGCACGTCTACAGCATGCTCCGCTTCTGCATGGGCGGAAAGGTCATTTGTTTGTTTGTTTGTTTGTGAATGTATGTCATCTTCTTCTAGTAAGTTGTTAGATTTGTGGTCCACATCCACAGCATTCTCCCCAAATGTCTGAACTTCTGTGTTTGAAATTTCAAATTGAAATCAACACTTCTGCAAACTTTACCATTAAAATCAAGTCACTGTAGTGGTCATGTCATTAAATTTGTATGAAGAGAGTGCTTTGATTTACACTTAAGTTACAGACAAGCAGAACTAACACTGTTAACAGTCGACCATTTGCTAAACCATTGTAAAGATAAACACAGACAAATCCACTGAGCTCTTGACTCTCTCCCCTAGCCTGGTTACCAAATAGCGGAGAGGATGTAGGACTCGGGAGCTATATTAGGTTTGAAAACCAGGCTACTTGCCAACTTTATCAGCTGCGGTGAATATTGAGTTTATCTGTGGCCTGCTGGGACAGAAGTGATGCTGTAACAGGACACTAATCCTGGACCACTGACTTAGGGTAGTGCCAACTTTGCATCTCCAAGCAGATACACATGTAAGGGTTTGATTATGAAATTTTCTCTCTAACTCAGTCTAAGGTCACACATTCAAGTATCTCTAATACTTTGACAAAATGGTGGTTTACAAGATAAAAACCTTGGGTTTGTCACCAGAAAAATTGCAAGTTTATAACAGAACTCTTTATTACAAAGTACCATTATATATACCTATAAATAATTTATTTATCTAATATATTTTAACTTTTCATACATACATGACATAAATTGTACCGGCCATTTCCAACCCAGTCGTGCACTTTCACTAACAAATACAATTATTATCCGTGTCACAAAGACAATTGCATTTGTTAGCTTAGACTTTGGGTACATTGTACACATGTTTGTACCACGAGAAACAATTGCAACTGTCCATGTGCGCTCACTACACAGGCCTCCAGGCTTGTCAGATCTCTATAAATGGTAGATATATGACAAACGTGTGCTGTGTGTAACCCCCTGCCCTCTCCAACAGTAAACATCCACACTGCTAATGTCTCCCTACTCACAGTACTGGCACTGCCATCTGTGGTATGTTTTCTCACATGGGAGGAATGTCAGGATGTCAGTCTGACTAAATCATGCTTTTAGCAAACCTTCCACTGGCTAGGTCTAACTCTCTTAGTCTACTAGACTGAATATTCAGACTAAAAAACAGTCAAATTTTGCCAAATAGGGATATTCAGAATAATTAGCAAGGGGAGTTTGAACAAGATGGGGTACCATTTGCCCCTAAACAGTTCCAAGGAGAAAAGTTATCCTTACTACAGGCTGACTGACTCCTACACATGCATGCCAAATTATTCATCCTATCCTATTTTTGGCCGAATTCTACTATCCGTGAGAAAGGCCTAGTGGAAGCTAGGTCTGACCTAAGCCAGCTCTAACTCTAATCCAGGAGAATTATGAACATCCTAATCCCTATTGATTTATGCATATGAGCCAACATTGACCAATCATTGTTCGTTCTACTGGGTGTAAATACATGACAGCCGCCTTTGGTATGTTTTCTCACATGTTAAGAATGGTCCAGCCCATCAGTGTGTGATGTTGGGTATGCTACGGTCTGGTAGTGCTGAATTCCCAAAACATGCCGGCTGCATATTTCTTGGCAGGAACAAAACTTAAACAACTGATTGATAGAGAGGAAAGGAATTCCATTCATGTACTGGTATGTTCATGTGAACAAATGCATATTGTGTGTTACACAATTTCTTGGTGTTTTTGGCAGGAACAAAACTTAAACAACTGACTGATAGAAAGGAAAGGAATTCCATTCATGTACTAGTATGTTTGTGTGAACATATGCATATTAAGTGTTACACAATTTCTTGGTGTTGTTTTGGCAGGAACAAAGCTTAAACATTTAACTGATTCATTGATAGAAAGGAAAGGAATTCCATTCATGTATGTTTATAATTATATGAACAGTGTGCACTATTCGTGTTACACCATTCATTCATTTTAAGTAATGGTGCATGGGGCTTTGTTGTATGTTTTCATTTCAATTTTGCTTTTGTAAATTGCTTTTGTAAATTAATTTAGGCTGTAATGGTTTATCTCACTGGTTTCATTGTATAACTGTAGATGAACACAGATCTAGACTATAGAGATTGGTGGGAAATTTACATCAACTATATAGTATATTATTCACTGGGTCTTAAGTTTGTTTACCATGGTAATGGTACAGACTCTGTTTTCATTTTGATCTTCTTGTTCATTAGCGTTTTCTTTCTCACTCTGGAAGCCAACCATTTGAGTTGTTGTGGCCCTGGCCTGGCATGCAAACAAAGCAGCTATTTTCTATGAGATTGTGATCTAAATCTGGTATGTGAAAATACCCCTGAAAGTAAACAATGTCATTTGAATACAGGTCACTCCAGCATTCTGGATTACCTGGCTGAATATGCATGCACTGTGGGCACAAGGTTTACTGTAGCCTTGTTCCTAGTAATGATCTTCCTTGTAGTAGTAGTAAGTTCTACTGAGTTGTAGTACTGTTCATAATCATACATTGTATGTACCAACAACCAAGTTTTGACTGAAAAGTGTCCTGCAGGCCAATTTGAGCTCCTTGTGTATAAACAATGGTTCAAACAAGCTAACAAACAAACCAAACGAACTACACGTAGTTGCCAAATCTGAATCAGGCTGTACTGAAAAAGTCTTGTTGTTAGTACAAAGACTGTTTACTTGCTACAGGAACAGTTCTGTATTATTGGACAAATGAACTGACAATAACAACACCAAAGTTTGTGTACAGTAAACAACTAAAACTGCACACACATTCCAAGACAACACTCAACAGTCCATGTTCTTGGCTGTTTTACTGTTAGTAAATCTTACAATACTGCAGTCTTCATACTAGTAATTCGTAACTAAGTAATGTGACTAATTACCTTGAATGTTGACGGTGTGACCTTAAAGCACAGTACATTAGCAATTGGTCATAACTGACGTAAGTGCCCGGAAGGACAAGAAACAAGAAACTTGCAGATAAGAAATGACAACACACTATCTTTATAAGTTTCAATCCAACACAAAAACATAGAGCTTTCGACCGGTCACTCTGGGTCAGTCTACTGAGGAAGACAAGAGTGACCAGTCAAAAGCTATAGGTGAGAGAATTTTCTCTGTTGGATCGAACGTTTTAACTTTAAACATGTAACTACCAACACAGATAAATTTTCATGACAACACGCTACCTTGTGTTCCCACCGGCATGTTGCTTCTCTTGTCTGCAGTCCTGTTCGGACTCTTTCACCTGGTAGAAGTTCGAAGTGCCGGGACAATCTTACTGCTTGCAGTTTTCCCTGGAAATTATAAACAAAATATTAGAGACCCATGATAGAGCACAGAGAACAGACTAAGAATAACAGGAAATTGAAGAGCTATCCCAACTAGAAAATCGCCAAAGAATGTAGTAGTAGTACACTATTTTGATGTGACAACAACACATGGTACTGATGATAGCATGTTACATATCGATATATAACAAAAAGAAACCAAAAAGCAGTTACTCAAGCAGTGGGTTCTTCATTGTCCAATAGCAATACATAAGGAGTTGTATTAATTATTGTACATAAAGAATTGATAATTCATTTGCAAAACATAGGCATGATTTTTTTTAGGGTAGATCTCCCTACTTTATGTAAAAAAACGCTTCGTATCACAACAGTAGGCAGCTCTGAAAGGATGTTTGAACAACGAAAACAAATACGAAGCAAGCACAAGACTGAAGTCATGGGTTATGTATATCGATTCTGCCCCCCACCCCTTCGAAAAAAAAAAAACATACGAAAAGGCAAAACCGTGCACTAAAGCATATTTTGACGTTGAAAAGTACAAAAAACGTGAAATGTAGTGTAGCCTTCCTTGACATTGACTTTGCCAACGATATTCTTGCTTTTGTACTCAACACTTTGAAACTAAAGAACATTTTTTGCTTCATCAAATACGGTGCCATAGCAGCGGCGTTACGCTACAGTGCAAATTCCACCGAATTAGCAAGTTTCGGACCTAAAAGCTGCGTTTTTAAAACATGATCACAGCGAATTTGCATATCCATGCGAGTGTTAGGTGCTTCATATTGCAGAAAATACTACTTACGTTTCAGTTATGAGTTTGAAGGGTCCGAATTTGGCGATTTTTGTCCGGTTTTGCTGCTACTTTGGTCAGAGGGCAGCCATGACACATACTCCACCCCTCCCCATGACCTAATTACCGCCAACACAAAAATTAGTACCTCAAAAATATACATTCTAAATTCATTGCACATGACATAAATCGACTAATATATTTAATTTTAAACAAAATTACTAAATAGTAATTATTTGTAGTCAAAAGAGTATGTTTTTTTGTTTGTTTTTGCAAATAAGTGGTGATTTTTTTACAGTATTTTTGTTGTTTGTATCCCTGCACCCGACGCTCTACCCGGATAAGGTGAGGTCACGTGATGTAAATATTTGGCAGTCGACTCACCTTCAACATTCCAAACATTTCCTGTGCGGCCAATTGTCTGTTTGCGGTTCTTCCTGTAATGGTTTTGCGCCTCAAATACCTCCAAAGTATTTGGCATCGCCTAGTCTTACCCAATTTCCGTTTTAACTCGACCCGGATGTGCTAAATAGAACTAATACCCCTTGGACAGGATTGGAATCATCCACATCCAAGATGGCGGCGTGTTGGACAAAAAATCGAAACCTTCTTCGATTTTTTGTCGTTTTTGTCACGATCTGCCTTTCTCGTGGGTCGGCACAAGACGTGGAGGAAGCTGTGAAGTGTGAAGATCTTAAAACAGGACAATATCCTTTGAATTCTCCTAATTTTGCTCTGCTATAGCTTATATCGTGTAGATCTGGCAGATCTAGTTTGAGTAATCACAACGCCCCCTCCCCATTTCTTTTGGAGGAACAGATTTCAATTCTCCATACAGTTGGGAGAAGAAGAGTAAATTTAGAGTAAATTTTTAAAAAATTTGAGCATATTGAACAATAGATACATATATTCGATAAAAAAAGATTAAATCTTGCAATCTACTAGTAATTTTTATCTATTATTACCGTTATATGACCATATAATGATATACAATTGTACTTTCAAAAGTATTACAAAATTATTACAAAATAATTTTGAGGCTGTAGTATACAAATTTGCCTAACTGTCAACATTGGATCCGATGTAAATATGCTATGCAGTAAATAATGTTGTCAATCTGGACATACATGTACATGTAGTTCCTTGACTATGGCACGTACCACTGTCCCCAGCCTGCCATAGACCCAGACACACAGGCAGCTCTGGGCTGCAGGAAGGAGGGACTCGTCACAGGTAAACCTGCCATCACGGATGGTGTATTGTTGTAATAGCTTATAATAATACAGATTATGACCTGCACATGGTGATGAAACCATCAATGCTCTGGACCCCTGTGTTACTGTACTACATGCTATTACATGTACTAGTGTACTAGTGTATCTGACTTAATATTGCTGATCTGTAGAGCCCTAGACAGTGAGAGTTTATAATATACATGTACATTTACACACAGACTAACTACATTTGTACATGTTTTCCTATTCCAGTGTGGTGTTCAGCAGCTCCAGGCATCAACTGTACAGGAGACCTGAAGAAGGATGTACCATGTAGATATACGTATGTCCCAGTCCATTAAATCTGCATCTATACACAGTATAGCATCAGTCTCTCTTGTCACAATCACTAAAAGATGAGCTTTCTAGTAAGCTTACCTGCATAGGGATGGAATTGTACATTTCATTTTTACTTTCCCCTTTTAAATTACAGGAATGGGTACCACTATGACATCGCACTGTTAACATCCATATTCCTGGGAATGTTGGGGGTGGACAGGTTTTACCTGGGATATCCTGCAATAGGTGAGACTTATTCTTTTATTTTAGAAACTTAATTCCTACCAAGAACCATCAGGGCCAGTTACATACTCAAATGTGCAATTTATAGCTACACATATTTCACAATAAACCTCTGTAGTCTTCACCATCTACCATGTATCTCTAAATCTAATGATCTACTAGTATTTTACTTATGAGGTAAAAGAAATCTTCCTTTGATTTCTATCCAGGGTTGCTAAAGTTGTGCACTTTGGGCTTCATGTTTTTGGGTCAACTGGTAGACATCATACTGATCGCTACACAGGTACGTTATTTCTGCACTGAATGGGAATTATAGTTTCATTTCTTTCATCCATTCATTATTTGCAGCTCATAATGTGATTTAGGCAACACAGTAATTTCAAATCAATAGTGTAAAAGATGAGGTAAGAAAGTTAATGAACAAATAGGAAAATAGTAAATGTATTATTGTGTCAATCAATATAATTGTACATGTTTCAATGTAATCACCAAGTTAATGTTTTACTGTAGATATAGTAGATGATATTTCACGAATATGTCATTGCCTGGTGTTCATGTTAACTGCTTGTTTCTGTTCCATGATTAGGTTGTAGGTCCTTCTGATGGCTCCAAGTATGTCATCAACTACTACGGCCCCGGCCTGTCTCACATCTACATGGACAATCATACATATCTCAAACCACAGGAGGACTGGACAGTGTCATAGCCAGCAGAAACCTCTAACCAGGTCTTTTGTTGGTTGCAAAGACAGTATCAAATGGGCCTGGCTGTATCATTGGCAGCAGGCAGTTACCATTTGCTGAAGCCGAAACCCAAGCCTCTGCTTTGAGACTAAGCCAACATAGAACATGTCTGGACTAGCATACAGTCTTCTACTTCATTCCTCTCATACTGTCCTTCTGCACAGACCTTCTAGGGCATTCTGTGCTAATTTGTGCTGCTTTCTGATCGCTTGCGTGCTCTTGGGTTGGCATATAGTATTGAGAGGTATACAGAGAAGGTTGAACAACCTCAACCCTGGGTTGATAAGTCTGGTACTTAAAGTTAAAATCATTACTATACTATAGTGACAGTGCTGAGCACAAGTAAACAGCTGGACTGGTCTCTGATACTCTGATCAAACAATCAGGTCTGATCCTAACATTTCATTGACATACATGTAGTGCCAACATAAGTTTGATACCTCTCCTTGCAGATTTACAAAGATTTGTTTTTGTATGGCCAAGACTGGCCTGCATTGCACACTGTACATGTTGTATATAGATCTGTATATATGGATACAAAATTTTAAACGTAACTTAAAATAAAGAGTCAATAAGAACAAATACGCCTATATGATATCTTGATATCAAGGCAAAATAATGCATATCATACATGTACGTACATGTATATAAGAGAACAAATGGGAGTTCTATGAATGACAGAGCCCAGTTACATGACTAAGTCTTGAAGTAACTTTTTTCTTAAATATACCTGCACAGAAACACCATTACTTCCGGTGTATTTAAACATAAATTACTAGTGTAATTACTGTACATAAGGTTACTAGTACATATATCTGCCACGCCAGAAAATGCATCTAAACAGATCCCCAATGAAACATCCCCCAGTATAGTGCACTATGCATATCTGGGAGTGCTGCACTATAGATCTTTTAAACGCAGTGATTTTTCAAAGTGGCTGACATACATATTGGTTTTCCCCGACCAACGCATTTTTAAGTGTCTACAAATGTTGCACAGCTTGTATTTAACTAGTACCTCAAGTTTGCTTGCCTTGACTAAGTCAACAATTCTTTTTCTGTCAGTGAAGGCATTTGGTCAATGATTACCAACGTTTCTGTGCCTGCCAAACAATTTGCAGTAACCTAAGAGTGTGAGAAAGGATTCACTTCGACTTTAACGAAGCTACTGAAACAGGTAGGGCTTACAGACATCACAATCATCTGATGTTAACATTGTGGCTAAAATGTGCTCTAAGACCTTGGTTGACATCCTGCCCATTTCTACTGTGCTCAAGGGAGCGACATTGCCATGCAGTCTTGCTGTAGATGATATTTGAATAATGTTATCACTCTGAGTAAATCAAGCCCCTTTCTAACCAAACAAAATGTCTGGGGATAATAAGGAAAGGTGAAGGCCGTATATACATGTAATTCGTTCACAAAAGCTTGACTAGCCTTTTTTGGAACAGATCTGTGCGGGTGGGATTTCACTGCGGCGATCGGAGAGTTACGGTAAGTTTAGCTACGTCGTTTTTGACTGACGTTTCAGAACAATTGCAACTTGTAAGGGTCTCATAACGTTCGCTGTACGCGCAGACTTAAGTCAGTAAATCAGAGGCTTTTTGGAGGAGGGACAGTCGTGGTTTTAAGTCGTCCCTCTGCGCACGCGGAAGTGGGTGAAGTCGTGCCAAGTTTAGTTGTGGAAAAGGCTGCCGAAGATTGTTGTCCGTGAATGCTTTCATAGCCTTGCTGAAAATTCTGCAACAGGTAAGATCAAAAAGGAGTTAAAAAATCTTTTGTGAAATGCCGTGCATGTATGTGCGTGCTCATATGAATTAGCCTTTCAGCCTCTAATTTAAAGCCTTTCCATGTAAAATATGGGAAACTGCCAGGACAGTCGCAATTCAGATATTTTGGTACAACATATTGTATAGTAGAAAGGTTCTGAAGATATACGGTCGACATTTCCTCAATTTATTTCAGACTTTTCAAACAGACTTTATGCTTCATATACTAACAAACGTGTTGGTCTTTTCTCCTCATGCCAGTGCTGTACTTTCTTCGTGGGGGTAAAAAAAAGTGACCGACTATGAACAGACCAGGACCTTCATTCAACATGGGTAAGTTACCGGGCCGTAGTTAACAGCTATCAGCTAGTTCAAATAGTTTTTTTTTTTTATTCCAACATGTAATCACAAGACGTGGTGACGGCACACTTAAGTTTTTTAAACTTATATTAATGTCGCCACCAACACGGGGCAATGCAATACTCATTTTCATCTGAGCGAAGTGAGGAAAGTCGTGTAAAGTGCCTTTCTCAAGGGCACAAGATCGGTAGTATGTCAGGACTCGAACCCGGGACTTCTTGGTTCAAATAGTTGGTCGGTCTTACCCGGAAACTCCACCAGACTAAAAACGCGGTCTGAAAAACAGTAAAATCAGGCAAATAGTGAGAATAATTTGCCAGGGGAGTTTCACCACCATAGAGTTCATTCTCTTGGCCAATTGTTGACTCTATTTTGCCAAATTCCACTGTCCTGGTCTGTTGCCATCACCAGGAAGGAACTTTTTGTTAACCTTTTTTAAGTGGGGTGTGATCGCTGAAGTACCCTATAGGGCGTCGAATGGCCATAAATTTATACACGATTGGGGTGGTTAACATTGGTCAACACGTGGGTATTTTATTTGGATAGTGCGTTCTGATGAAGGAATGATATGCTTGTAGATTTATTACCAATCTAGACAAGAGGGCAATTTTAAATTATTTACGATCCACGTCGTTTCGCCTCTAGGTTCTCACTTGCCGGGCCAGGTGAATGGTGGGTTCACCATAACAGAAGAGAATGAAATGCCAGTGACTAGCCTGTCTGGGAACGGGACAGCCACTAAGAACAGAGCCCAGGCGTTTGGAGATCCCGAAAGGATTGAAAAAGGTCAGAATTCCATATGAAAACAGTATTTTAGTTGTATTTGCGAGGAAATGATATATTCATACTTAATAAGCATGTAACTATGATCTAAAGGAAGTAAAATGTGGGGGAAATGGAAAACGTGACAATTTGTATGTCATAAGGTGAACTGAGTTGACCTTTGTTTACCTTTTCCTCCCACCCAGTTTCTTATAAAGTTGCATAACTGGTAAAACGTAAACCAAAGTTCAAGTTTACCCACTAAGTAAACGATCCGTTGCTATAGAATGAGTCATTAAAAGCGTTTTTGCCAAGAGAACTATAACTGAACCTGCAAACTATTTTAAGTAAGGTAAGTTCGTGAGAAAGGGTTTACTGTGATTAAAAGGAAGATTTTGATTACAAAAGATTGGGGCTAACAAACATCCTGGATACAACAGTATCGGTATCCTATACATTGAGATTGAGAGAAAACTATCAATGGTCAACATTGTCTCCCTCAGATTACCCTAAAATGCCGAATGTCACGCAAACACACTATTAGTATCTAACATAGTTACAAACATTGTACCCTGTATATTACACAGATCGGACAGAAAAGTTTAACTTGAGACTAAGACCCAATGTAAAACACAGGATGTGCACTTATACTTGAAAGTAAATGCCTTCTATAATGCGTCACAGGTCATCAGCCGGTGTTTGAGTCTTTCACCGAAGACTATCCTGCAGATCCCTCCATTTTGTCCGCCATGGAGAGAACACTGGCCGCCTTCATGAACCAAGGTACTCTACTTCATTCTTTAACGTACGGCCTAAGCTGTTGGAACTCGGATCTTTTAGGAATCACAAGTAATATATCAAACTGTAGGGTCAGCATAGATCTTGATGACGTACAAAAGAAGTTGATGATCGAGTGATACCTGTGGCTTACATGAATCAACTGCGTGCTAGAATGACTTTTTTTACATTTATCATAAATGATTTCTCGCCTATACTGGTTTGACCAACCAATATGGCGGGCACTGATTTACATCATACTCACGTGACTTCCAGGGCTGCTATTGGTGGGGATCGGCACGGCGTTGATGACGTATAACCAAAACGGTCCGAACATCGTGGGTTGGGTGCTGGTGCCGGCCGGGGTGCTTCACATCATCTGGTCTTGGTAAGGCTTTAACCTCCGCGAAAATAGAAGTATTGTTTTGGGTGTGCCTGTCTGTGTGCATGTGGGCAACAGCAATAATAACTACCAATCTACAACGCACAAAAGGTCAGAAACAGGAAGCTATCTGGCCAGTAGAAAGTTGACCAGAAGTTTATTGGCTGGGTGGCAGTTGGAAAATGCATAGAGCTTGGAAAGACGTAAGAATTCACGATCATCATCATAGCTTGTCGCCAATCCACTCCAGCCAGTTCCGCGCTGCTTCATTGGCCTCCTGGAGATCTATGTCTGTGCAGGTAGGACCAAGCCTGCAACCGTGTATCAGGTGCTGAATGGTCTGGGGGTCCTCTCCACAGCTGCAAGTTCACGATAATGCCAACACACACACACACACACACACACACACACACACACACACACACACACACACACACACACACACACACACACACACACACACACACACACACACACACACACACACACACACACACACACACACACACACCTCTTCAATATTTAATAATCTTTCAAAAATGGGCTACTTGTCAACGTCTGTTCTTGTTCAGTTTTCTAGATAATACGTATAACACATTACCGATGTTTGAACGGGATTTTGTCTGTATCTGATGCAGGTACGAGTTCTATCTCCGTCTTCACAAGCTGCGTAAAGGCTCGGATAGGCCGTTATCATACAGGTCTGTTATATAATAATTAGAGGGTGTACACGTACTAGTAGACATGGCATGTAATGGCGTATTACAGTTGTCTCAATATTTCAGACAGGCATGTCGAGGTAGAGGAAAATTCTGTAGAAAGAACGTTTCTTACTTTCAATGACTTGTCAGGCATCTTTAACCCACCATCCATTTGATAATAACCAAGCAACCATTGCCTTGATCGATACCAATTTTAAAGGGAAACGAAGACATGTACGAAGACGTTACCTTTAAGTAAGATTGTACCCATCATGACAAAGTACTAAAAGCGAGAAGAGAAACCACAAGCACAAAATAGCTTATCTTTCAGTTCCATGTGTCCCAACTGTGGTCGGGACTGCCACGCTAGTTAGGGCTGACTAGCCACACTAGACGCTGCACACAGCCACGGACCTAGAATGCTACCATCATCTTTCGAGATGGAAGGACGCCTATTACCAGCCATGACGCTTACATTTCCTCCCCCCAGGCGGAGTCTGTGGTGGACCGGCTCGCTGGTTGTGCTGATCGTGGCGGCGTCTATAGTGGAACTGTCCTGTAACATCATCTTCGGCGCCTTCGTGCGCGTTACCTTCCCTGACGGGGAGGGACAGGGGCTGGCAACAACCGAGAATCCTTAAGGCTTAAGGATCCTTCTAATGTCTTAAGGAATGCCTAATATGTGTTTCAGGGCATGTTGTCCTCTGTCGTATCATTAAGAGCCGTAATTAATTCATTGTCAGGATGTTCGGAGCTGTTGTCTTACTCAGTGAACAAATGTCCCAGAGCGAGCCATAGATGCTATATACAGTCTTCATGATATTCCTCTTTTTATTAGAATTAGAATTAGAATTAAAAGAATAACGAAAATTACACATTGTGCAATTGTCATGCGTTTATTCTTATTCAATCAAGACAACACCAAGATCACATGTGCAGGTGGAAAACCAAAACATTAAAACATCACGCGTGCTTAACTGCTACATGGCGGTATTTTGGTTGCAAAACAAATACTGAAGTTACTGATACAGGCAGTAGCATTAACGGCATTGCGATTTAGGAACCTGGCATAAAGCACTGGTTACTTTGCCCTACATACTAGAATGACCAAATGGTGCATCAAGCCCATATCTAAATACTGTTGTTAATAATGAAAAAGGATTGGATGTTACATAATGCTATGCGTTTAAAGAGATCATCTCTTAACTTTGTTATCGTGTCACCCTATAGACTATAAAACTGGCCACCGCCGCCACGGTCGTCACCAAGCCGGCGGTCCGGAGATAATCTACCGCAGTTTTAACCTTCTGGATCTAAAAAGCAAAAGTAACACATTTTTTTTACTTTCGTGATGATATATACAACATATATTGAGCTATAAATGAATATTTCTATGGTTCTATGATAGATAGATAGATTTAGGGTGGGATGCACATTCGCTAATATATTGCCTAACTCCCCGTTCGAACAAGCGGGGTTCGCGTTCTAAGTTGTCTGTATATTTTTTATTGTAGGAGTGCCACCGGTTGTGGCAATCTCCATTGCCTTGTTATCATAACGAGGTCTAATCACTTGTAAGGGCGGTACTTACCTGCTCGCAGGTTCCCTCCCCGTAGCGACACCAGGTGACGAACATCTCGCACCCCCCACACTTGTACTCGACCAGCCCCTTGTAACGCTTGGCCCTCTTCACGATCTCCACCGGCGAATGCCGCGACATCTCATTGTCCTTGTAGTTGTTTATCTTGGCCTTGCTGGTTCCTGCAACTTTCATAAATGGTTCTTCCTTGATCTAGGAACATAAGGGTGACAGAGCTGTTTTGAAATATTGAAATGAAACTTTATTGCACAACAGTTGTCACAGGTACAATGTATGGCAAGTTTTTTTTAAATATCTATCTAATGCTTAAGCAGGTATCCTGCTAATGTAATGCTATAAATAATTGTCGTCTAATACTAATAATTACTTAAGTAATAAGGCATTACTTAAAAGAAATCATGTTATATCATATTATCTCACTTCCTCGACCAGAACAGACAGTCTGGTTGCATTACGTAGCAGCGATGATGGACCAAACAGTGGGACTAATACAGTGACCTAATATGCGAGAATGTTGTTTATCCAGACCGGTGTTACACCTGAAATTCATAAACACAAGGCGACATATAACCCATTCTTACCTCTCCTCTCTTGGCGCCAGTGACTGGATTACAACACTTCACAATATTCCCCTCCAGGCAGATGAGGTGGATAACCTGTCCCCCACCCACGTACACACCCCAATGGGAGTAGCCTATCCTTGGAAACTCTATCAGGTCGCCCACTTGAAGACATCTGTTCAAGAGGCATTCGTTATAACAACGGACCTCTTCAGACGGTATTCCACTTCCAGCCTTGGTCTTCGAGAGAGACATAGCTCTTCGATTGCGCCCGAGTTACATTCGCCTGCGAGTGCAAAACCGTTACACACAACTGTACTTTCACCCCTGTCGTTTAATGTCAGGAGCAGAGGTCAGACGCGATTATGTTTCCAAGCGTCGGTACCACTTTTACTCATGCAGGTGACACTTGAGTTTTGTAGCCGTGCCCGTCCTTTAGTTGACAAAGTTTTCATAAACGCTGCATGAAAACAGAATGTAATCCGATTCCAGCGAAACTGTACTTAACTTATCTTTACTTATCTTAACTTTGAAGTGCTGTAATTAGCCGATATGCTAACCAGCCCCCCCCCCCCACGGCTTTATGGTTCATCCTGCAGACGCTGTTGTTACCTGTTGGACACGGCTCTTACGTCAAGCGCGTAACATGAGCCTGTTCCTTTCAGTACAACATTTACCTTTCACCCTTGGTCGACCGAGTCCTTTCTTCACCTCAAAATTGTTCTCGGTCCTTTTGAACAATATAACAAACTGCTAGAGAGTCTAGGCACAGTTTCCCCCCAACAGAACTTGATATTTTAGGCTGTTTCAGGAATGATAACTCCTGTTCTATCATGTTCAAATGTGGGAAAACAAAAGTCTTTGATGTAGTTGATGCATGAAAAGGTCAGAAGGTTCACAGGCTCTCTTGACGGCTGAAGCAAGACTTGGCCAGGTGCCAATAGGTGACAAACCTATTACATTAGTACATTGTCTACTTACCAGTTAAGTACATGCAAAATGGAAATGATACGTAAATAGGCAAATGTTTTTCTTTTCTTTGTTGATTTTTAGCCCGGCTGCAGGTCTAGGGGCTTTCCACCTTTTAGTCATCGCGGGGATTCCCCGACGATACCAATTCCTAGACGATACCACTTTAGCTCGGAAATGCTCAATAAAAGTAGCGTTGCTTTTTTGTATACCTTGCGAGAAAGTTTCGTACTGCTGTGTTTTCTAGTTATCTATTTCAATCAAACGTTATTTTGTTATCTTTACTTAAACCATACAACGACTGCCTCTTATAAATAAGCTACAACAGTGCTACCGTGTTTCATTGAACACTGATATATGAATACATATTACATACTTGTCTCCTGAACACTTTGTTGATCAGTCTCCCGTGAAATCGAACGTTCTTCGAGCGTCTGTTTGTCAACACTATTTTGAACTAGTAAAAGGGAACAATAACTCTTCAGTGTAGGGCAGGATACTCTAATTTCTATTTTCTTAGAGACGAGGTTCCACACTATGCCGGTTAATCTTCTGGATGGTCACAATCGACGTCAGTTTCGGATAGACTTGATTCGCTAACATTTTCATCTTCTGACCTTTCCTGATACAACGCAGTCCTTTGCGAATTGTTTTCTTCAGACCTCCTTTTTATTGTCATAACTATCCAGCTAATGCCAATGGGTATAATGAGAGGAGGACAAATGCCGATCAACACCTGAAGAGCTGTTTTTGCCTGTAAAGGTAAAAAAAAAATAACTGGAATGTCATGGAAATCCCTAGGCTTGCGATATATCATTGACAGAAGTACTAGTATACCCTACACAACATGGTAAATAAATGTAATGGTACATCATCGTCGACCTAATCTCATCTTGGATAGACTGAACAAGCCATTCTTGAATGACATTACAAGGTACAAAGTGCAATGGTGCAACACTTTTTATACCGATATTTCACTATTCATTGGTATGTTTTTCTATACCTGCTTGCTGTATTCTTCCCCGTAGCGGCACCAGTTGACGAAGTGCTCGCAGTTTTTCCACAGCAGGTTGAAGCCTGTCTCCCCAATTTTCCCACGTGCCCTCCTCACGATCTCTGGGCCTGGCAGTGCGGCTTTCTTCTTGTCCAAGTAGTTGTTGATGTTTGCGAGGCTGTCCCCAACAATATCCCAGAAGGAATCTTCCCTTATCTGGAAGCCAAAGTGAATTTCATGTTTACCTTAGGTGATGCGCCTATTCCTCAGAACAGGATGATAATCATTTTGCATTTTGGCCACAATGTCTTTTTGCTACTGATCCTTACCTTGGCAATAAATATAAATGAATGAATGAACAGGAGTTCCACGATCTCATACCTTCGCCAAATGATGTTAACCCTTGCGGGTGACGAATTATACAATTTTAATCATTGATTTTGTAAATAAGAGCCTCATTTGCATGGATTATATCAGTTGATCATATTCTCCACCCAATGACAGCCTTATCATAACAAAAAGGCCATTATAGCACTACCACATAAATTATGCAAATGAGGTCATGATTTGAATAAATTATGTTTATTGATGTTCACCTTCACTTAACTTCCAAATGTGGCAAGTATGAAATTCGGGGTGCAGCAGTTACAACTATGGAATTATAAGAATTTTCCATTAATTATGCAAATGAATGAATGAATGAATGAATGAATGAATGGTTTATTCGATCATTTTGATCAGATAAAGTACATCGCAGCCATGGGCTGAATTGCGTACTTTTTACATTTAAAAACAGTTAAAAGTAGACTCTAAATACTGGCAAAAACTCATCTTTCTCAATTAACAATTCTAAAACATAAGAAACACTACCTTAAAACAGGTAGGTTGTATGACGGATACGTCGGAGTACTTAACGACACACACATATATGTAAAGGTACACAAGGTAAATATAACGTTCTACAGATAACAATGGGTATAGGTAAATGTCATTTACGTCGGGCAATTAGAACAATATTCGATCACAGATCTGTTTCATTCAGGAGGCGAGTCATGAAAGGAATTGGACTGTTCTGGTATCTTTTTGTCTTAGTTCTTATCCCAGTCAGGCGGTGCTTGTTTCTAGTGTCTCTTGAGCTGATGTCTCCTCGCGTAGGAGGGAGCCAGTTTCTGAATGACTCCGACTCCACCAGTCTCTTTGCAAAGTTACGGCACAAGTCACGTCGCCGGTCGTCTAGGGTAGGCAGGTCTAAGATGCTGCACGCCTCCTTGTAGGATGTGTAGGCCGGTCCAAGAATTATGCGACAGGCTCTTCTCTGGAGGGTTTCGATCCTGGCACGTTGTGCTGTAGTTAGTCCGGCATGCCACGCGGGGGCGGCGTACTCACATGTTGGGCGTACAAGGGTCTTGTAGCACAAAAGTAAGTCTTCTCGGGAGAGGTCGAAACACCGTAATCGTTTGAGTAAGTACAGTTTCTGGTTGCCCTGCTTTACCACATGGTTGACATGTAGTTCCCACCCTAGGTCCTCCTGGAAGTGCACACCGAGTAGTTTTACTGCTTTTACCTCCTCCAGTGGTTCGCCGGCTATTGAGAACTGGGGACGTGGGACATGGACTTTGGAGAAAGACACATGCATAACTTTACACTTCTTAGGATGTAGTTTCATTTGTCGGTTGTTTGTCCATCCAGTCAGTTGGTCTAGGTCGGTTTGTAAGGTAGAGGCCGCGCCTATCATTCGGCTCTCCGCCAAGTTCATGTCATCAACAAACTTCCACCGCGACGCGATGGCATCTTGGCACGCACTGTTGATAATGGCGAGGAATATGAGAGGACCGAGCACCGTTCCCTGGGGAAGTCCACAAGTGGTCACCGTCCAGTCCGAGTAGGTCCCATTGTATCCAACTCTTTGTGCTCTTTGGGTGAGGAAACCGCAGAGCCAGTTTGCAAGTGACGGCCGTAACCCCATGTCCAGTAGGCTTGTTACCGCGAGATGATGGTCCACGCGGTCAAATGCCTTGGAGAAATCCGTTGTCACAAGGCTTGTGATCGTGCCTCTCCGATCAGCCGTCCTCGCTAGTTGATTTACAATGTCGACTAAACAGTGCGTCGTAGAGCGACCCGGGAGACAGCCGAACTGTTTGTGGTCTACGCATTGCTTGATGTCCTTGTAGAGCCACGACGCTTATAGGTCCTCATTTACATAATCTATATCCTCAGATGTTTTTCTCGTTCTCAAGTAGATGTCACAAGTGTTTCATAGTTCTATTATCGAACAAAGCAGATTTATAGAATTTCCTCATTAATTATTCCAGTTAGCTCCTGATTTGCATAATTCCCATCTGATTATGTCAAGCATCACTTCAAATACCTACATACCAAAAATCACGACAATACGTCAACCGGTTCTTGAGTTATCGTCCTTCAAATATTTTTCAACAAATGCTCCTGCAGTTCCAGAACAAGGCGCTAGGGGACCCAAACTCATGTCACTTCTTCCCTACCCCAAGAGCTATCTACCAACCAAAATTCGTGACCCTAGCATGTCCAGAACACGAGATATCAAAACCGGAAGTTCAGCTGCAGTACCTAGGAAAGCCACCAGGGGGCCCAAAATCTAATCATTTCTAGGTCTCATTAAGACCTACCTACCTACCAAGTTTCATTCCAATCCATCAACTGCTTCTCGAGTTATCTTGCTAAACCACACACACACATACATACCCACATACATACATACCCACAGACAAACGCTACTGAAAACATAACCTTCTTGGCGAAGGTAATGACGGAAGGAAGGAAGGAAGGAAGGACTGCTTTATTTCAGTGTCGTGCGCTTCATGCGCCCACATATACGATACCAATTGATAATACAAAGTAAGTAGTGTAAATACATGTATGTCACTGTAAACGGCAGTAAACATAACTATGATGTCCGTGTTGGTGTGTACACAGGTGGTAACGTTTCCCTATAGCCTTGCGGGGAAAGAAATCCCATGTAACGCCCGTGGTTTTGATACAGAGTTGGCGAAATAACTCTTATGCTAAGATAGGTTTGTCCTAGCAGCCTAGAAGGACTTACGTCTGCTTTGTCCAACGTAAGTCCCGAAGGGGACTTCGAGCTCGACGGTCTCAGAATGGCACTGCTGCCGTTGTTGTCTCCGGTTCGGTGGATGACTCTTCCATTGCCCACAAAAACGGCCCAGTGAGCGTAGCCGCAAGCCCTGCGAAACTGTAGCAGATCTCCCTCCTCACAAAGTAACAAGACGCCTGTATTGTGACGATTGACGTAATCACTCATCTGGGTCCTTGAGGAGGACACTTCGTCTTCCATTTCCATGTTACCCTACCGCCAACGTTCCCCCTTTCTGTTGTTCAAGTTTTAGTTCCTCTTTTTTGTAGAAGGGGCTTCCCAGTTTCTATGGCTGAGTCATCGCTGGGATTTTCAACTTGATTCAACTTCATTTGATTCACGTCAATTCTGCCGAGACTTATGTGTCTGTCTTTTCAGTTAGTGACGCCTTATGGCTGCTGTATAATGCATAATGTAGTTTCAGCCAAACGCTAGCTTTTAAAGTTAATATTCACTCTGAAGTATCAAATGTTGCCGTTGTAACTGATTTCCCCTACCCCATGTTTGTGTGTGCGTCATAGCGGTGCTTTCCAGACAATACCACTTTTACTAAGAACGGTAACATTTGATTTTCACGGTTTCCTTCCTTTATTTAACGAATTCCCTATATCATACAGAATACAATTCCAGCCAAATACAATATATGTTATCTTTATTATTACTTATCCTAAGTATCTTTATTATTTATTATTCCTTATCCTAACTTGTTACCCGTTATAACTGCCCCCTCCACTCTATGATTCATCCGGCAGGTAACGTTACCTGTCAGCTCTGTCAGCACGTAACATGAGCCTGGTCCTCTTTGTTCTCAGGTCAACATCTGCCTTTCACCCTGAATTTAACACCGTAACCTACAAATGGCACTTAGAACTATGGATATGGTGACCGAGTCATAGCATGTTGGTCATAGCGGTACTTTCCAGACGATGTCACTTTTACTCAGGTGACACTTTAGTTTGGTGTCTGTGTCCGTCCTTTAGTTAACCACGTTTTCGTCAACACTGTATCATAAAGAATTAAATTTCAGACAACAAATAGTGGGTGAAAACAATTCTTAAACTTTTTTTATTGAACTGCCAAGAGTACATGTACAACCACTATCAAGATATGAACCGGGTAAATTCAATGCGACCATCTTTAAGACATCTCTGTAGCCGATACAACAGTTTGGTCATTTCCAATTAAAGGAGACAATTGCTGCAATAAACATAAACCATAGGAGAAATTGGTGCATAAGCTATATAACAGATGTCGATCATATATGCAAAATTCAATTCACAGCACTTGTGTAACCATGATAAATAAATGATAGATACAGCACATATAAATAAAAGGAGCATTTATACAAAGCCTAGTCTGATTAAATCACTTTACGCGTGCGGCCCGCCCAACATCCAGCCAACAAAAGGAACAATAAATTTCCAGTGTAAAGAAGGGGCTCATTTTTTTTAAAACCGGTTGAAACCGCTAAATATAAGTCTGGTCTTAACCGGGTGCAAGAGGTGATGTTCTACGCCATGGTGGTTAATTCGTAAACCTCGGACCTTTCTTGCCAGGACGGCCTCCTTTGGTAATTGTTTTTGTCAGTGATCCTTTTTACTATCCAACCAATGCCAAATGGTATAATGAGAGGGAAAAAAACGCCGACGGACGCAGCAGCAGCTGTATTTGCCTGTAAAGGTAAACAACAATAATAACTGGAACGTCGATCATGGAAAATCTCTAGACTTGGGATATATCAGTGACAGAAGTTAAGCTAAACAAGTAACGTCACTAGTATACGCTACACAACGTTAACATAGTAATGCTACATCATCATCGGCCTATACCCATCTTGGATAGACAGTTTCTAAAACATTACAAAGTTACAAAATGAAATGGCAAAACACTTTTTAGAACAATCTTACGGGAGTCATGATGTTTTTCTGTACCTGCTTGCTGTATTCTTCCCCGTAGCGGCACCAGGTGGCGAAGTGCTCGCAGTTTTTCCACAGCACGTTGTAGCCAACCTCCCCAACGTTCTTGCGTGCTCTCTCCACGATCTCAGGGCCTGAAAGTGCGACTCTCGTCTTGTCCCGGTAGTTGTTGATTTTTGCGGGGGTGTCCCCGACAACATCCCAGAACGAATCTTCCCTTATCTGGAAACCAAGGCATTTTTGTTGGTGATGCACTTATTCCTCAACAAACAGGGAAATAATCATTCGGGCGATGATGTTTTTTTTTTATCACATTAACCTTGACAATAATTTTGGTACCGGAAAGTATGCGACAGTACGCACAAATGGTCATGTTTGCGTAATATATTGTGGATATTATTTTGCATATCGTTCTGTCGGAAATAAAATCCCATGTAGCCCACGATCTGATTGACCGAACAACGCTACTTTTAAGGTACATGTAGATTCGCTACAACGTTCAAGGTGTTACCTCTGCTTTGTCCAGTATAACTCCTGACGGAGACTTTGAGCTGAGCGAGCTCAGAATGCCACCTCTGTCGTTGTTGTTCCCCGTTCGGTGTACGACGTGGCCACCGCCCACATACACGGCCCAGTGGGCGAATCGACCCCTGGGAAACTGTAGCAGGTCCCCATTATTACACCTTGACAAGACACCTTCATTGTGACGGTAGATGGCTTCAAGACTCATCTTGTCATTTGACGACATTTCTCTTCGATTGCTTCAAACGTACGTTTATGACAAACCTGTTTTTCCTTCTGTTGCTGAAAGTTTGACTTCTGTTTTGTTGCAGCCATGGCAGAATGCGTCAGCATGTAACATGAGCCCGTTCTTTTGAATTTCCCCCCAGTCAATGTTACCTTTCACCTTCGACACGTCCCTTTCATTTAAAAGGTGGGGTTACGGGGAAGGGCTAATGGACTCACGTGACATGCTGACGCAAGAGTTGACCAGGTTCAAACAGGTGACAGCGATTGTCAGGGGTGCCAGAGTATACAGTGCAATTTTACGGAATACAGTGCAATGGTATTAGTATACAGAGCAATTTTACTAGTAAATTTTTAAAATTACACTGTATACTAGTAAAATTGCACTGTATACTAATACGATTGTACTGTATTCCATAAAATTGCACTGTATACTCTGGCACCCCTGATTTTAGGATTAACCAAACAAGCATGGTAGAAAATAATACAGATTGTAGGTACGGCCCGGTTTGATATATGATATATCCTACGATTGTAGTATACGTATGGTCACAAAGTAGCGGTTGTAAGATAGTCCTGCAATTCAAATGTCTTTGATCCTCAAAGTTTCATTGTTTTTTTTTGTCATAGCCTGCTTAAAAATTCCATGACATAAAAATCTACGACCTACGATGAATGTGACCTCGTCGTCAGTCTGTACACACAGTTTTTTTTACCAAGGGAAGAATGAGGCATAAAAGGCAATGCTTCTTTTGTTTCCTTCGTTTATTGCCCTCCTGTCCTTTATGACACTACAGACATTCAGGAAAACAGGAATGAAGCACAGATGATGCAACAAGTCTACTTGGAGGACTATCAGTACACAAGTCGCAACCTGTTTGGTGTATCGATGTTCATGAAAGTGCAAGTGAAAAGTAATTAGCATCTCTTTTCCATAAGCCGTATACATGTAGTGTTTTAGGTTTAGAAACACCTACAAACAAGCAAACTTTATAGCATAGACAAGAGAAGATAGTCCACAAGACATAGGGGTCATCTTCCGTACTCTCAGTATAACACATCCTTCTCTACTGATTAACTAATGCAGTACGGTAGCGTAGTGAAAGCCATAGCTTAATTTATACATAAGTCCGCCACCACAATCTTGTTCAACCTAGAGAAATCTATCCAATTATTTTACTCATACCACTCATACCAAACGGTTCATCCAGCTTTTCAAACAGTCAGGATGAGGCATAGAGGACCACCGTGTTTCTCACTTTCTCAGCAGGAATGAACCAGCTTATTTGGAGGACTTGCTGCTCTGGAACATCGGCAGGGCGAACAGCGCGCTGAGACTGAGGACGAGTAGTTTTACTGAGCCGGGTGCCCAGCCGGCGACGGTCAGACCAGTGCCCACCGACCCGGCCACGACTGCCTGTAGAGTAACAGTAAAAAAAGCGTCTTTAGATCCATGGAAATAGTTCTGCATGGTCAAGCGATGCATTAACGATACGAAACTAACACTAAACACATTTATCCGATGGAAGTTCATCTGTGTTGATACTAAGCAAAATACAATGTTGAACATCATTCCAACACAAAGAGTACACAGGGATCAAATTTCAGCGGCCACATCACAACAGTGGTCGTTCCCTTAAGTTGAAGTTAAGTTCAGTATTGTGCTATACTCAACCACATGTAATTGTTAAAAGAACTTAGGCCAGAATATTAGAAACCAGCGGGTGTTCATCTTGTGTGCAACTCGAAGAGGTACATGTACTTTCGTCCCCCAGCATTTATACATACCTTACGCCACTGTAACGTCATGTACCTTACCTGTTGGCTCTGTTCCTTGCCGTAGCGGCACCAGGTGGCGAAGTGCTCGCAGTTTTTCCACAGGACGTTGTAGCCCTCCTCCCCCAGTTTTGACCGCGCCCTCTCCACGATCTCAGACCCAGGCGGGACGGGGCCGTTCTGGTCTTTGTAGTTGTTGATCCTGACCAGGCTGTCTTTAGCGACGTCCCAGAAGCTGTCTTCCCTCACCTAAGAAATGTGAATATCTTTATGCCCATGACACACGCGGGCTATAGAAAATTCACACATTCCCAGTGACAAGCTGGTGTGTTACGCCGAAGGGCGGTTATACCGGCAACACATCAAACGTCGAAACTATGTGTGTGTGTGTGTGTGTGTGTGTGTGTGTGTGTGTGTGTGTGTGTGTGTGTGTGTGTGTGTGTGTGTGTGTGTGTGTGTGTGTGTGTGTGTGTGTGTGTGTGTGTGTGTGTGTGTGTGTGTGTGTGTGTACATGTATGTCTGTGTGTGTGTGTGTGTGTGTACATGTATGTCTGTGTGTGTGTGTGTGTACATGTATGTGTGTGTGTGTGTGTGTGTGTGTGTGTGTGTGTGTGTGTGTGTGTGTGTGTGTGTGTGTGTGTGTAGTATGTGTGTGTGTGTGTGTGTGTGTGTGTGTGTGTACATGTATGTCTGTGTGTGTGTGTGTGTGTGTGTGTACATGTATGTCTGTGTGTGTGTGTGTGTACATGTATGTCTGTGTGTGTGTGTATGTGTGTGTGTGTGTACAATATGTATGTCTGTGTGTGTGTGCGTGCGTGGGGGTGGCATGTACCTGCATGATACGACTAATGGACTAATGGTATGGTTACAAAGGTCGAAGGCCTTTTCGGTATCAGGAGCTTTGTCGGGCCGCAGAACTATATCAAGAATGACTTAGGTTTGTAATTATAGAATAGTTGGTTTGCAAACCAGTTTTCAAGACGATATGACCAGGCCCTGAAGCGCACGTCGTCTTACCTGTGCCTTGCCAGTCCGCACACCGGAGAAAGACAGGAGGCTCAGAGGATAGCTCAAGAAGCCGCTGCGGCCGTCGTCCGCGTCCCCTGCTCGGTGGATGACTTTCCCATGTCCATCATACACGCCCCAGTGAGAGAACGTGCCCCTGAAAAACTGTAGCATGTCTCCCTCCTCGCAACGGGACAAGACGCCTTCGTTGTTTCGGCGGGTGTCTTCAGCACTCATCCCCTTCGAGAACGACATTTTGTCTTTCTGTCGCTCTAAGTTTCGCTTCCCCTTTTTACTTGTTTTTCACTTCCGCTGAAGGGGATTTCCAGTTTCGAGTCGTCGAGGGGATTTTTTAGACGAAACTAACCTCCAAGCAGATCTTATGGTGGCTGCAAGACTGTATACTTTGGCAAGACAGTGTCAAATAGGCACGGCAGTATCTACTTGAAATTTCGCTGGCGAAAGAAAGATACAAGTACAAAAGAAAAAGCCCGAATGTCCCAACTGTCTTTGACCCAAATGTCAGTGTTATTTTCCCCCCTCCCTAGTGATTTTGTGTGAGACATAGCGGTACTTTCCAGACGGTACCACTTTTACTCAGAAGGTGAACACTTCAGTTTTGTGTCTCTCAGGGTTTCCGTCCATTAACGAAGTTTTTCATCACCACTGTGTCATACAGAATGCAACTCCAGTCATACGTCATTTAAGTTATCTTTACTTTATCTATCCTAACTTGTTACCCGTTATCACTGACCCCCGCCACCTTTGTGATTCGTCCCGCGGCACCTGTTGGACACGGGCCAGCTCTTACGCCACGCGTGTAACATGAGCTTTCAGTCCAACATTTACCTTTCACTTTTGGCCGACCGAACCTTTTCTTCACCTTAAAATCTAGTCAGTGTAACGCAAACTCTGCCGTCCGCGGCTTTAGTGGCCCCTCCCCGTAGAGGGAGACGGCTGGGCAACCGTAAAGTGATTTAATCAGGCTACTTGAAAGCGTTGAACGTCCTTTTGAACAATATAACAAACTGCTAGAGAATCTAGGCACAGTTTCGCTCCAACAGAATTGTCCGTTTTGTGTCTATCTGTTCTTTTTTTTATATTCCAACATTTCATGACTAGACATGGTGACAGCACACTTCCTCTTGATTCCGAGTCGAGCACGCTGCCGCTACGCCACACGCGACCCCACGACGTTCTTTATGACAAGGTGGTTTCATCAAAGCGATTTATATGCAGTAGATAATGTAATTTAATGTTTATCTTTAGCACAAGCTTAAGCTGTTGCCACCTCCAACTATCTGACTGGTTCAGTCTAAAATTGACGTGATCTTTTGGACAATGGTAATAAGTAGCTTATTAACAAAGTTGGACTCTTATGATCATACCATGGTTGGACATTGGTCAGCCCCTTCGTCACTCATGTCACCTGAGCCCGTTCATTCAAATTCGTCAACTTAAACCTTCCGATATGCCTATATCATCATAAAAAATCATAGACCGTCTTTTTTTTAAGAATCTTCCCGGAACAGAACTTGGTGCCAGGATGTTAGGAGCTGTAGCAAACATTGTCATATCTTTAAAAACAACCCTAGTAACATCTAATGATTTTCTAATGATTGCCTCTAGTGTGACTAAAGGCAGCTATGCTATAGAAGGCAACATAGTACTAGCAGTGTTACGCTACAATAAGAAGAAATACAAAAAAAAAAGAGAGAGACAGTTAAATTTGGCCAGATACATGTAGCTAGATTTTAATCTTTCATATCAATCTTTGTCGTAACACAGGCATCAGTGGAGTCTCCTTACGAACGTCTTCGCAGTCGTCTAGCAGCGCGCCGTCCTAACATGAAGCCATCTACCTAAATGGAAAAACAGGGGAGGGTAAACAAACAAACAAAAAACAAACGGCTAAGCATAAGCGACAGCACAACACGGCACTGAAGACAAAAGTTCATGACATGAAGTATACGATTTTTTTCCAGCCTGGTGCCAGAGCCAGAGGCGACAAGCCGACCCAGGCCCACTTTAGACTAGAAGGTGAAGGAAATACTCGTGTCTCTAAGTCACGGTCACTTAACTGCAATACATGGCAGCGTACCTGCTTGCTGGTTCCCTCCCCGTAGCGGCACCAGGTGGCGAAGTGCTCGCAGTTGTTCTTCAGCAGTTTGTATTCGAAATTCCCCAGCCGAGACCGCGCCCTCTCCACTATCTCTGGGCCTGAGAACGCGGTGTGGGTGTCGTCCTTGTAGTTGCAGATATCGGCTTTCCTGTTTCCGACAACTTTCCAGAATGATTCTTCTTTGACCTGGGTACACAGGAGCAACAGAGATGTTGAAAACACGCTAAATTAGTGATAGAAATACAACAGAATTATTCTGTGCAAGCCACGGTCCGTAATCTATGATCTAGGATTAGTAAACGGCCCAAACGCCACCGCGTAAGAGGAGCTATAACCTCGGGGTCAGTGGCAGCTTCGCCCGGGCAAAGTCCTGTAGGTGTAGCGTCTCCTGTGGCTGTTGCACGTTGCTTGCTGACTGTATTACTAAGTCCTTTACCTGTTCTTGTTAGGCGGAATGTGAGCCGATGTCATTTCGGGCCCGGCCCGACTTCCGGGTCCGCCGGCGTCTGTAGCGGTGCCGCGGTACTTTCTCGGGCGTCGAGTAAAATATCTCAAGATCGGTTCAACGGATTCCTATGTCATTTCTGTCAACATTTAACAACAAAATTCCCTTTATTTTGACGTGTACTTTGTTAATATTGGTGAAAGGATCGCTGAGATATCGCCTTCTAAAGTTGTGAGACAGCTTGTTTACTTGAGTTTCGCCGGGGCTAGGTCACTTCTGGGGCGCGGCAATCTTCACAGGTAGGCATGGAGGAGAGGGAAGAGGGGGGCAGCCGGGTCAGGGAGAAAACTCGCCAAGTGGGCACACTCCCGCCGAACAGACTCCAGTATTCACCCAAGAACAGACAAAGAAGTGACGGTTCACAATCCAAAGATCTTCCTCTCACGCTGGGATTAAGTTCCAGGCAGAGAGAGACTCTGAAAACAGCCCTATGTTGAGGAGCTGCTTTAGGCCAACGCCGCCATGTTGGGCGCCATATTGCTTCTTACTTTACTACGGCTCACAACCTGTCTTTCCAGCCGGTCTATGAAAGCAACACCGTAAAGATTCTCCCATCGTGCGGTACTGGGCCTGGGCGGGCGGCGGTACTCTAAGCACCGTAGGCCATAACTTCTCACCTGTACGTTGATAGGGACGCAGCCGCGCCGCTCCACTGTGACGTGAATGACGTTTCCATCTCCCGCGTACACAACGAAATGAAAGTAGCATTTCCTGGGAAATCTTAACAGGTCCCCTGGTTTGCATCTGGATAATACGTTTTTGTTGTATTTATACCCCGCCTCAGCGGCGCTGTAGTCTTTTAAATTGTTCTCTGTTTGCTTTCTTGAGTGCTGCACCATGCACACTGAAAAAGGTCGCGAACGCGTTTTATACCCCACCGAAGCTTAGCCCCGCCTCTGTGCTCTGATTGGTCGGTCTATCATCTATGTGGTTACGTCATCGCTATTTTCAGGGATTACGCAACTTAAAAAAATGTCTACCTGTAGAACGTTGCCCTTTGCTACCATTGCTTTTAGGTACCGCCATCTTTGAACAAAGGTCAGTATATTCGACAGGCCTCCTGTTTGAGTGATCATTGATTACGTTTTGCCACTTCCACTGAAGCAAATCACCCTTTCTTCCTCCATACACGACCTCTTAGGAGGAAATTCCACGCTGTGCCCCTAAAATTTGACCACTCACTTAAATAGCATCATTTTTTTTCATCTAGACCACAACACACCAATTGTAAACAAAATGTAAACGGTACAAAACAAAAAGTCAACTGTCTGTGGTAATTAGGTGTTTATTCTATTTCCCAAATATTTCTATATACAGATGACCCACAAAGTTGTCGCTCAAAACCAGAACAATAAAATACTTTTAGATATAAGTGGTCCAATTATAATATGCAAGACATATATAACAGATAATGTTACATGTAACATACGTATGCATGAAGATACAACATATAAGTGAAGATACTGGCCAAATTGTTTGGAATTATTCATCTCCCTATAAAATATGTTATAAGAAGGTATTATTATTATTAACATAACTTCATAAATGTATAATGTCTATAATGAATCACATAATGAGTTTGCACTTGCTTTTAACATACCAACATGTCAGACGCTGAATTGTAGAAAGTCAGAAGCTGTATGTGATTGCAAACAGACCTCTAGAGCACAGCTCTTTGTGTATACAGTACAGGCACAATTGAAATGGAATGTTATAGATTATGTTATGTAGTTGGGCCGGTTTCCACATGTGTTGTCACCATGGGGTGACTCATAGGCGTGTCTCATGAGAAGTGGAAAGTTATGGAATGTCCCTAAGATCTAGAGTTATTGTTTCATTAACCTCCAAGCAGATTCTGTGTGGCAAGGGGCAGCCAATTGCAATGGATACAGGGTAGTTTCCACCAGACTCCTTTTGCAGGCTGATAAATAAGTAGAAATTGGCCTAAAAGGGAATATCATGGGCAGAGGAGATGGCCGCCATACAATCTCCAGCTTGTCTTTTTAGGTCAACTTCTACTATTTATCAGCCTGCAAAAGGAGTCTGGTGGAGACTAGATACAGGAGGTCAATGGATACAAGAGTCACCTAACACCACAGAATTTGCTTGGTGATTAGGAGTTGCCATCCTTTTCTTTATCGCCGTGAAGTTTGTTTCTTCTGGGTTCTTCTGGGTTCCTTCTGGGTGTCGCCGAGCATCCAGCCTGCCAGTAGGGCTGTTCCCGCCGCAAAGGCCGTGCCGACACCCACGTACCACAGGGCGTCATTCACCTGCGGAGAATACATAGGACATAGAGTCAACAAACAAACAAAGAAACAAACTTTGTGGTGGCAAGGTGGTCTTGTGGTTAGGGAGGGTTGTTGACTCAGAATCTGAAGGGTCTAAGACTTGGGGTCTGAATTACTGGAAGGCTGCACTGTTGTGTCCTTGGGAAATGCATTTTAAACCTATGATCTCAATTGACTCAGGTGAAAATGAGTACGTAGTTTCGGTTAGGGACGTCACTCGGATAGGACGTTAAATGGAGGTCTCGTGTTTGGGGAGAGCCACACCCTACGCACGTTAAAGAACCTACCACAGTTATCGACAAGAGCAGGGGACCTTCCTGGTGTGAGTGGCTCAAACCTTACAGTCTGGTCTTACACGCAGCTTGTACTTACATATACAAACGTCTACATGCTGTTTACCCGTTATTCATGTACAAAACAAACAAACAAATAAACAAACAAACAAACAAACAAACAAACCTGTTGGCTCTGTTCCGTCCCGTAGCGACACCAGGTGGCGAAGTGCTCGCAGTTTTTAAACAGCACGTTATAACCCTCCTCTCCCAGCCGGGACCGAGCCCTCGCCACGATCTCCCGTCCCGAAGGCACCGCCCTGTCCCCGTCCTGGTAGTTGTTCTTCTTCACCATGCTGTCGCCAACAACGTCCCAGAACAGGTCTTCCATGATCTAAAAGGGCAAGGAGTACATTTCAAGTTTTTTATAGCACTCAAAGTGACTTTATAAATTGTGTATTTTGCTAAAGGGGAAGCTGTGGAAATGGGGGCCTCATTAAACTGTAGCCTAGCCAGGGTGCCAGACTGTTTCCAAGGTCTACACAGACCAGTTTATCGGTCCCAGGCCCAACATGCCAGGAAGAAAACTTTACCAAAGCCCCCAACACCACCCCCCACCCCTTAAGTTAGACCGGCACGTTGGGTAACTCTAAGCATAGCGCGCTATGGGTCTGGCCTCCAGACTACCATGACTACTGATATCCTCTAAATAGATTAACGAACAGGCAAACAGAAGAAAAATGGAAGAATTGATGATTTTACAGGTTGCTACTCGTAGCATTCTTTCAACCCAGTGACAGCAAAACAACATTGCGGCCGATGAGTAAACAAGCCGGGCAAACCCGAGTGACGTCATTTCTAATTTTGGCATATGGGGGTGGGGGGCCTTAGTAACTGAAAAAAAGCTTATGTGGCAAAACATCTCACTGTACTGACAACTCACCCTCAAACGAGAAAAGAAAAAAAAAGACATAGAAACGTACATATAACACGAAAATACGAGAAGTTAAGAGTTGTTGACTTACCGTATCATAGGTTACATCATGCCATATTGATTTTGAAAGTTTGAGAGTTCTCGGTACAGGTAGTAGTACAGGTGACATCTTCTCACCTGAGCCTTTTCGAACATCTTCCCTGAGATAGAAGCCCCCTTGGCCGGGTTGCCGAGTCCGTCACTGATGCCGTCATTTTCTCCAGACAGATGTATAACCCTCATGTCCCCTATATACACGGCCCAGTGAGAGTAGGCCTGCGACCTATGAAAAAAGTGCTAGTGTCACGGAAATGAAAGGTAACCTACAGTGGGTGTCACCGGAAGACGGAAGAAAAATGTCCAGACTATGCATTATGTACAAAATGACTAATAAACTGGTGGACGTACCAATCACTAAGTACCTAATACCAGCCCAGAAGAGAACAAGAAATAGCCATGCCTTTAATGTACCAGAGTTATCAGGATTGAGGCGTTCAAGAATTCATTCTTTCAGAACTATCGCAGAGTGGAACTCACTGTCACCAAGTGCAGTAGGGACATTGTCATTAGATAGTTTTCAACAATGTCTAGAGTTAGATGTTCAAGGACTAGGTGTAACATTGTAGAAAGCTGCCGCCGCGCCGCGTGCCTGCGAAGCTGGTGTTACGCCGAAAGGCGGTTATACCGGCTCTACAGATACAGATACAGACCTGGGGAACTCTAACAGGTCTCCCGCCTCGCAATCCGCTAGGACGGTTTCGTTGTGCCGGCGTACTTCCTCAGAACTCACGCCGTAACGGAACTGAGACACCGATGCGGACATTTTCGTTGTTCACGCGGCTTCAAATTCAGGAAAATCAGAAGTTAGTTCTGGATAGAACGGGTTTCAACGGCTGGTTTCGGTTCCTGTTAGTTGACTTCCGGGTTTGATGTCATAGTAGTAGACGAAACCAACCGGTGGGGATATACATGTACATCGTTTATGTGCAATTTTTAACGTATCTAAACCTTAATATATTCCAAAAACAAACGCATACTAACAAATAGCTGATGACATGTGTAATTTACTAGCTATTGTGTTATGTTTCTAGAGTTTAAAAGCATTGACAGCCAGTTTCGTACCCCCCTCTATTCCAATGGTTTATCCTACACGTACCACCCTACCATTGGTCCAATCTTATCTTACCTGTATGTCGTCTTACCCGGGAAATCTTAAACTACCATTATATTTTCAAAACAGTTACTAGAATTTATCTAGTTTTATTGTTTTCTTGTGTATCTCATTACTTGGATGTCTAACCTTTATCAACGTAAGGATCGCATGTTTCATAGCAATGGATTGTATGAATACTTCGCGCTGGTCCAAGCGAGGATCGTATGTTTCTTTAGTAATAGATCGTATGCATTTCGTGTCGTTGGTATATTTCTTAGCGATGGAGCCTTATGTATTCGTAAAAAAACATGACTTTTGATTTTTTTTTTCATTGTTTGAAACGGATAAGAAGCAGAAGAAAAAGAAGAAGGCCCAACCATTGCGCCTTCTGTAGAGGTCTTCTATGACAGAACAAAATGAATAGTGACATAGAACGACATCATCGTACAGCTGACATAAAATTACACGACATACATACAATTATCTTATGTGCTTCACGTTTTAGAGTCTCTCATGTGCCTTAGTACATGTGTAGTCCTCGCTTGAAATCCCAGTATGATGACGAATTGGCGGCACCCAACAACTGCCGCACACCTATGCGATACCCGATGACCCTGGGACGGAACTGGTTCTACCAGACTGATTATCATTGTTCTGGGACAGCCACGAGTAACGGGGGAGGGCGTCCGAGTGGTAGGGCTCTACTACAGACCACTTTGTCTACAGTTTTGCCGTTTTAAACTCGTCATTTTGAGGCCCCGTGTCCTCTATATAAGGCTGTACACTGACTGCATGTATAGCAGGTCCAACAAAGACGCTACAACTGTATCGACGTCGACTGTGTAACAATTTGTGGTGAGTGTTGCCATTCCTTCTCTCTGCCTATCTTAAGTTAATTCTACTGTGTACGTATCCTGTTACATGTTGTCGTCTTTGCATGCTATTTTGTGAGCTATACATTCTATTTTGACTTGAAGATGCGTTTTCCTATGTTTCATTGTAGAATTGCTGAATTTATGAATGGAATGAGTTGGTCTTAGTTTGAATTTATGAATGGGGAGGGGGTAGTGGGTATGTTAGTTGTAGCATGACGCCGTATTCAGAGTTGGGGCGGACCACAACCCTTAACGCTGAGTATAACGTTACAACAACAGGCTGTATAGTCTTCATTAGCCTCCGTAGCAGGCTTATAGAACTGGGGGTTTGCTGGTCTTCGGCTGTTTTTTGATTAAAAGGGGGGTAACTTCAACCAGGCTGGCTATGTTGTCTATATGCAATCAGAAAATAGCTCATAAAAGCTCCCAAAGACCATGAAGCCCCCCCCCCCCCCAAAAAAAAAACAGCATTTGAGTAAGTAAATGTTCTTGGGAAGGCTTTTCTTGTGTAAGCCAACAGGTAAGGGATGTCATGCACAAACAAACACAGCGAGAAAGCGGCGTGCGCCATGTGTAGCCAACCGTGATCTTTACAAAGGACCGTCTGGTATGATTATGTGATTACAAACATGGCGGGCGTGTTAGAGGTGTTCAGTCTATTGTGATCATGTCTTATGAGAACATAACATGCACAAAAAAAGCATATTTTAACCGACCACGAATGCAGAAAATTTCATGAAGACTTTGCCTCCATAGCATGCCAAAAACTGTTTTTTTGGGGGGTGGGGGTCTTCATGGTCTTTGCGAGCTTTTATGAGCTTTTTACTGATTGCATATAGACAACATAGCCGGCCTGGTTGAATTACCCCCGTTTTAATCAGAAAACAGCCGAAGACCACCAAACCCCCAGTTCTATAAGCCTGCTACGGAGGCTAATAAAGACTATACATCTACATGTATATAGGCACAGGTACATGTTATTTAACTGTGCTGATGCACATGGAATAGGAACATAGTATTTAGCCGTGCTTTAAATGTTGTAATTACACAATACAATCTACATGCACATGGCAGCTTTCCTGTGTACCTGTATACGGGCACAGGTACATATACAGGTGTATATGTACGTGTATATACGTGTATACAGGTGGGAATATGAATACTGAAACACAACTAGGTGTATATATAAAATGAAAAACAATTAAGGTGTTTGATATGACCTTTCTGGTGGTCGACATGTGTTTAAGAATTAATCATCTAACAAAGGACGAAAACCTGTCCGACTGCCTTATACGAGTGTCGAACACAAAGGGAAAATGGATACGAAGCAACATAATTACATTATAGACTAATAAGATTGAAAACGTATAAGCAAAGAAACAAACAGACAGACGAGTACGATATACTATCTCTGACATACTACATGTAGCTAGTAACCTTGGGCGTGGGGCTGCTAACAAAAGAGTAGGACCGGTTGGGTTAGTCTGTATGGCACGTCGACTCTCCAAGCAGAGGTTTGGGTTTTGGCTTATTTTTGGCGTGTTTTTAGGCTTTTCATCGGGCTTTCTTTTTGCACTGGTATGTTTTTTTTTACGCCATTGGTATCTTTTTTTCAGGTTGGTATAAAAAAGATACCAGTGCTAAAAAGAAAGCCCGATAAAAAAAGCCTAAAAACGCACCAAAAATACGGCAAAGCCCAAACCTCTGCTTGGAGAGTATGGCGGTACCAGCTGCCTTTATAATTAGTGCCCCCAGGCAGTGCACAAAACTATAGAAAGAGACGCGTCGCTTAACAACAACAAGAGGCACTTCCCAACACTAGCGACGCTTTTCGGAGAAAGCAGGATCCAGAGATAGCGTTTGGGTAAGATAGCCTAGTATCCAGCCCTGTTCAGGTCGTGTATGCTCTTACCGTCGCTACAACCACAGAGACAAGCTGAAGAAGGCTGGATGCTAGGCTAGAAAAATACGTAGTGATACCTTATTGTTGTGTAAGTATATATGGGGAGGGGGGCGGCATTTTGAATATTCCCTTCCTACAGAATTTGACTGGCGGTATGAACTGTATGCATACACATGAAATATAAGACGTACTTAAATGACCTATTTACATGCTTAGACTAACAAAATGTGTGCCACAGCAAAAACACCCGAGGTTTTCAAGATACTATTGTGTTCACCCTGTGTATAAAACACTGTAACTACAGGATTTGAATTGCAGGTTAATTTTGTCGTGTTTATTTCAGCTTTTCACTGGCAGCTTCACCTTAGAACCAAACCAGGATGTCTACAATTGTCAGGATATCAGGAAAGCCCATACTGCTGGCCGTTTGCCTAAGTTTTATACTAACAGGTAAAATGCTCCTCCAAATACTAGACTAGTATAATGGTAAAAGATATGTCATGCAGATTGCTATGTTAATCGCATTTTAGGGGTATGGTTGTTGTTTATTCTACGTAGTTTCTAGTGTTTTTTTCCCAGTTCTTCATGGCATTTAATGGTATCCAAGACGGTAAAGGCATCTGTGACCCCAAAGTTTCACTACCCCGTTTTCTTCTAAGTTTACAAGAGACTGTTAGATCTTTAAGAAAGTCTTAATCCAAAGGGATTACAACCTCAATTGACATGTCTTATCTTACCCTAGGTGTTAGTGCTCAGAGTACCACACCCAGAGTTGCTGTTGTCAGTCCTGTGGTCGACGGGCAGCAATCTAGTGCAGTACCACAAACTCCAGCTGCAGGTTAGTCTCAAAACAAGTAAAAAAAATCAGATGGGTACTTTATATTCTTTTTTATATTTTTGATTGATTGATTGATCTTTATTGCTCGACAGTTGTACATGGTACAATGTATGGCAAGGATGACAATGTGGTCTTTACAAACATACTAGTCTATTCCTGGAAACTAAAACTACATAGATATAACGTGAATGGCGTATTGGCATGATGTACATTATCAATGATATATGATGATATTACAATGTTAGCTTGGTGGTGTTAGCATGTTCAGTGGCAAATGTCACTATACTAACAAACCCTTTTAGAGTTGATTTGTATTGTATTAGTCAATCTAATGAGAGATGATAAGATTTTTTCCCATTTGTTTACGCACAGGTGCTGCTTCTACAGCTCAGGCTACAGAAGCACCACCGGGCGCCACCACTTTACCACCGGCAGCTGCAAACGTCACCAATCCTCCGGCCACAACGGCCCCCGACGATAGAGGTCAGCATCGTTGAACAAGTTTTATAGTGCACATTTAGACTGTATATAATTACGGATGGCAAAAAAGAAAATAGCCACATTGATGTAGTACGAGTATGACTACGCTTTATTGTACATTGTGAGAATCACAGACAAACAGACGGACCAACAGGCAGACAGATATTAGCAGGTGTATGATATACAAACGAAACCAAAATAAATGGTCAACTCTTAACATTTTTTGCCTATGTCTCTATTTTTCAGTATGCAGGTCTAACCCCAACCCCATGCCTGGCGAGTTTGTGATGCAGTGTGAGGCTGACGGCAGCTTCAGCACTAAACAGTGTCATGGCTCGACTGGTCTCTGCTACTGTGCACATCCACAAAAAGGAACCATCTACCAGGAGACGGCCAGGAGGGGAGAGATGGAACACGACTGCGCAACCTACTGGCAGACCAAAGGTAAAAAAACGATTAAGGCAATAGGTAAAAAAAAAATTTCTAAAAAAAATTCTTTTTAAAAAATCAAAAAAAATTCTGAAAAAAATTCTTTAAAAAGTTCTAAAAAAAATGTAAAAAAAAATGTAAAAAAAAATTTCTAAAATAATTTCTAAAAAAAATTTCAAAAAAAAATTCTAAAATTTCCAGGGTGTAAGACAAGTGCCTTCCCCATGCCTGGCGAGTTTGTGATGCAGTGTGAGGCCGACGGCAGCTTCAGCACCAAACAGTGCCACGGCTCGACCGGCCTCTGCTACTGTGCACATCCACAGGACGGAACAATCTACCAGGAGACCGCCAAGAGGGGCGAGATGGCACACGACTGCTCGACATACTGGAAGACCAAAGGTAAAAAAAAACAAACAACAACAACAAAAAGCACTCGACGTACAGTTCGTCGAATGAGAAAGATATTTTGTTCCTGATGTCATGGTCTTTGAGTTTGTGGTAACGTTTGCCACACTTCAATGACCAAAAGTTGTATAGTACATAATGGAAATCACAGATAAACAAGCAAACAGATAGACTGGCAGAGTGTCAGTTGAAACTAGATGTTCAAAGCTTACGCATGGCAATCGTTCATTGTAATATGAGAACAAAAAGAAAATTGCATCGGCCGGGAATCGAACCCGGGCCTCCCGCGTGGCAGGCGAGAATTCTACCACTGAACCACCGATGCGCCTGATTTCCTATCTCTAACTTCTGTAGTGCACAGTAAACTTTTTTTCTATCATGTGCTAATGTAAATACACAATAGCCTGGGTTGTAACACTCCTGGCTAATCATTGGTTTGCAGCAACTGCAAAGTTCTAGCTACATGCAGAAGTCCTTGTGGTTGAAAGAAGATGCCGATGTACTCTTGTTTTGAATGACTGGAGATGGAGATTGTTGTCAATACTTCCAGTGCGCTGTGAACTCTATAGTCAGAGTCGCCTTGATGAAGCCCATAATTGATACGTTTGCTCTTAATCTTGTTGTGGTTGTGAGTGAGGAACTTTGATATTCAGTTTTATCTCTGACTTCTGTCTGTGCTCCAGGTACAGGTGGCTCTGTTCTAGACATCGTGAGGGGACAGAACACCGGGGCGGTGGTGGTGGCAGCCATCGCCTGTATCCTCATGCTGGGGATCATCGTCTTCGTCATCTACGGGGAGGCAAGAGGGATCAACATACCGTTCATGAGAACCGAGCTTTAGAATCAATCAATCAATCAATCAATCGATCAATCGATCAATCAATCAATCAATCAATCAATCGACTAGTCAAAGGCATAGCTAGAGATCCAATTTTTTATTTGACAATCAATAATGGATTGTCTTGTGCACTACGTTTAGCCTGACAGTAAGGGTGCTTTATGCAGTACAGTATATATTACGTCGATTAATGTTTAGTCTTCTAGTGTGTCTAGAGTGTTTTGTACTGAAAGGTTTCTTAGTGGCACTAGTCAATCAACTATAATAGTGAGCAATTTTAAAATCAAAGATAATTTCGGGAATCAGAGTAATATAGTCAATAAGACTGCTAGATTTATTGAATCCAAATGCTCGTTGATGTTTTTTATGTTTATGTTGGCAGTAGCACATAGTTAGAAAATTTTAAGCTTTAGTTTTTTTTTTACCATTTGTACGCTTTGATTCACAGTAGTTGCGAGAAAAAGAAGGCTTTTGAATGACACAAATAAACGCGACAGTATCGTCCTTGTATCATGTTGGAAAACTGATTAAATTTTCATACGTGATATAATTACAAATGTCCGGACTCAAATGTCAGCCTTAATGTCACGTCAGCTCTTGTCATAAATAGCTGTCAATGATCTATTATGGACTGTAGACAGGAGAGTTGGAGCAAGGACATTATACAGAAGATAATGTCCTTGGTTGGAGATACGTGGCCAATATTGACCATTGTAAAATTTTGATTGACATCAGCCCTACAGATTCGGATATGGCTGAACAGTCCTACATGTATATATACAGACAGAAGAGATAGTATAGCACTAAATCCATGCACCACACCTGCTGTCTTGTATTGTGCCGAAAGGGGGCACTGCCATTACAGTTTTACCTTATTGGGCAATGAAAAAAGCTAGTCTTTGCTGAGGGGCGTACATGAATCGGCATACACTCGACCTAACTCGACAACTAACTGAAAGCCTTCAAGTACAGTAGAGGCATCATCACTAGATAGATAAAAAAGGCTATCTAGTGAGGATGGCTACAAGCCCACTCAGTGCCCTCAATGTCTAATGGAGCGTTGGCCACTTCGAATGGTCACTTTTGAGCGGCGGTGCATGTATACCAGTTCCAACCTCACCTATACGTGGGCAAGGGCACGTTCAAGATGTGTACAGCGTAGCGCACAACTGGATGCTTTTGATTCATTGCGCGAAGACGCTGGCCTCAAGGTACCTTTCCGGACCATTTGAGGCCAAGGGAGCGTCTAAGACGTGCCCTTGAAGTGCACTTTGCGTCTTCAGGAATCGGAAAGCGTGTTCTTAAGGCAGTAAGCCATGCCGCGGGGCAGAACAGGGTAAAACAAGCCAGAATTTATGCACCTATCCCAGTCATTCACTAGGAAGGTTATAATGAAAGTTCATCTGTGTTGGTAGTAATCATAGTAAAACATTGAACTTTATTCCAACACACAGTTGTGAGATACCTTAACGAGGGACTTGAGAATACCCTGTGCCCTTGAGATGTCCTTAGATATCCTTAAAGATGGAAATCTTGTTTTCCCACAGTCTGTAAGGCTTCGTTGATAACTTGAGGGATGAGCTTTTACCTGGTACATACTTGTATCCGTCTTATTCATTCACTGGTACAGTTCACTATCAGATACCTTTTATGGACCATTAGAGATCCCAGGAGCCCTCGTGGCTATTATTATTTTATTGAGATGCAGAACATGCTCTTTAGGCAGTCTATGATGTTTCCTTTGTAACATCTGCAACATAAATGTATCTGCAACATAAATGTATCTGCAACATAAATGTACTGGGAGTCTGGGACAGTTCGCTCATCTAAGATGTCATTCAGGGCTTTTAGAAATCAGACGTGTTCTTTTAGCTTACTCAGTTACGGCACGCTGGCTCTTTAGACGGTCTGCGATGTTCCTTGGGCAATAGAAGACAAATAAGCTCTCTTCCTCGACATGCATGTACCTGTTCTGCTCATTTACTGTTTAATGATTCAACATACTTTCACGGGCCATTTGAGATCACCGGTTGCCTTGTACAGTAGTTCGTCTTTCTTTGAGTTGTTAAGCTTGCTCTCCAGGTAGTCTGCTAACCTGTAACCTGGCTAACAGAGATAGGAAGAAGCAGAATTATCTACAACATGCAGTCATTTGTCCTGTTTATGGTCTTGAGTGTCCCTGATGGAACATGCCTTAAAGGTACTTTTAAGGCCGCCTGTCGGTGTCTTTGTACTGATATTTTTAGAGATAGGAAGGAGGAATAAATCTACAACATGAATCCACCTTTTTCATGAAAGATCTTTTCATGATCTTGGAAGGCTCACTAATGCAAAATTTCTGATATTTTTAGAGATAGGAAGGAGGAATAAGCTACGGTCTTCAGCATACATTCTCCAGAGAGGTGCACTGGTCTTAGATGCTTTCATGGGCCATTAGAATAGATCACTGGTGGCCTTTTAAAGGTCTAAGACGACCACTAATGCAACATGCCTTAACGAAACCTTTGCGATCAAAGGTGGCCTTGTACTGACATTCTGAAGACAGAAAGGAGGAATACATAACGGTTTTCAACATACGTCAATTCAATCTCCAAGTCGGTCCACCGGTCTAAGATGCTTTTACGGGCCATTTAAGATCACTGGTGGCCTTTTCATGGTCTAATACCGGTTCCTAATGCAACATGCCTTAAAGATACCTTTGAAGTCAAAGGTGGCCGTGTACTGACATTCTGAAGACAGAAAGGAGGAATAAACAATGGTCTTCAGCATACGTCCATTTAATCTTTGGGAAGGTCCACTGGTCTAAGATGCTTTTACGGGCCATTTAAGATCACTGGTGGCCTTTTCATGGTCTAAGATCGCTTCCTAATGTAACATGCCTTTAAGATACCTTTGGGATCAAATGTGGCCTTGTACTTCACTGAAGACAGACAGGAGGAATGAACTATGGTCTTCAGCATACGTCCATTCAATCTTTGGGACGGTCCACTGGTCCGAGGTGCTTTTACGGGCCATTAGAGATCACCGATGGCCTTACTAACGCAACATGCCTTGAAGATACATTTGAAGTCAAAGGTGGCCTTGTACTCGAAGACAGAAAGGAGGAATAAACTATGGTCTTCAGCATACGTCAATTCAATCTCTGGGAAGGTGCACTAGTCTAATAGGCTTTTAAGGACCATTTGAGGCACGGGTGGCGCCTTGCACTTTACTTACCTTTATTTGAGATGGGAAACTGGCTCTCCGGGCAGTCTATGATGTTTGTCCCTGGACAGAATAGATAAGAGCAAGGTATAATCTTCACAATGTATTATCACAACCTGTGTCCCCTTAATGGATACCCTTTCTGGTATCTACAAAGAGAAGCTGTCCCTTTCATTACCCACAAATTACAGGCAGTCATCCTGAAAGTATAGATCAACGACATCCCAGGCCTTGAAGATTTTGTGACAAATTCTCTACCGGTAAATATAGAGTTTTCTCTGCTGTTGGCAGTGGGCGTTCAAAATGACACATGAAATACTGAACCGCTGCCTGGTACACTTTCACAGGATGGCATTTTAAAAGCAGGCTAAGAGTCACAATTGATTGCATTGACACAAGAAGTATAAGAAAATCATGCCTTATTGTGGACTGGGTTTCTAGGTTTTCCAAAGGAAACATGGTCCTATTCTTGCTCTTCCTCTCCTCAATATTCCTCGTCTTTAGGTTCTCTCTCTCCCTCCCCCTCTCTCTTCCCCCCTCTCTCCCGAGGACAGTAGTCCTAGACGTATCGAACAAGCAGGACGCACTACATGAATCACATCGATTAGACAATAGCAGACGTAATCGCTGCATTCGCACGGGAGTCTGGTTTGCTGTTCAATCCATCAGCTCCTCCCAGGAGTACTGTAATTCACTTTATGTTCACGGTGGCAAAACGTCACGGTCTGAGAAAAATGGACATGTTCATGGCACTATATATTCACGGTGGTGACAGGTGCAGGAAAAAGAAAGTCCAGGAATTATTTGGTAACTGTAATTATAACTTCACTGTACAGAAGTGACAGTGAAACAGTGAACATAACAGTACAGTGAAAAAAAATCAGGAATTACAGTACTTATTACACTGCCTGATGCCGCAGCTGGTAACGACGCTTACAAGATAAGAATATGTCAGAACGACTGTAGGGATTATCCACTGAGAAAAGTCTACTGAAGCAAGATACTCAATAATTGTACAAATGGTTTTGATTCAGTGAGAACATCACATATAAACAGCCAGTATTACATATCACTGCATCAAAGTAAAAAAGCAACAACATTGAATCAGAGTCTTTTCTTGTCTCCTGTTATCTGCCATTCACATTCCGGCATGGCAACAGACACATTTGCCCATTTTTGGCATATTGACCGCTGTCAGAGGGCAACAATATTTCTTGTTTTATTTCCCCCAAATCAGGCGTAAATAAATGCGCGCGCTGATGCCATCCATAAAAATTACTTGCTGTGGCCTAATTATTACGACGCTTACAAGATAAAGAAATGTCAGAACGAATGTAGGGATTAACCTTAGAGAAAGGTCTGCTGAAGCAAGATAAATGGCATGGGTCATGATACGATGATGCTACTTTGACAATGTATGAAGTTAACACTGTAGATCATTGAGAGAGAGAAGAAAGGGCAACTAACATTAGATGATATAGGTAGTATATAGTATTGTTGCAATATATAAACTCCTAGCACTTAGTATTAGAATATAGCGTTACAGTATGCAATTGCAATGCTCATGTTTTTATCCTCTCGACTACATTTGGTCACATTTGTGCATTTAGCCCATTTGGGCAAGAACATGCAATAAAGATTCATATCATATCATTGTCAGTTGCCTCAATACACGCCATAATGGAATTGGCTGCTTAGAGGAGGTATCAAGATCAACCTTTGGATAGTTGTCAGGGCTAATGTAGCCTCACGGGGCTCAAAAACTATTATCCTACTTTGACAATGTATGAAGTTAACAC